GTCAGCTTTAATAGTTTTTTTCTTTCTTTGTGAAAAAATGTTGTTGTTTGACTTGCATCCCACTGGGATTTTTTTGCACACAGCGTTGGTGTACGGTGCTTTTTTCAGGAATATTTTGCTGTTTTTTTTATGGATTTTCTGTTTGTACAGTCACGTAGTCACTTTAAGATGTTTTCTTGTTCGAGTTTTTGTTTTTTTGTTTGTTGTGGTTGCACCCGATTCAAGAGCCGAATTGCTCACAGGGCTATACCAAAATAAATAAATAAATAAACGGAAACTGCTAACTTACCGAAAGAACCAAAGAGTATGGATTCCTGCAGTCACGAAAGCTTCAAATCAAGATTAGTGTGTTGATATATATTCGCATTGAATTAGATAATGGAGTTATAGTGCCCAATTCATTTCTGAACTGCCAATGTTAATTTGGAAAACAGATTGGCAGAAAACTGGAAATTTGGCCATTGTATTCACCCGATATTGAAAAAAAAAAGTTTCTGACAACACAGTGAAGGCTTTGTCATAATCTTCTAACAATCGGATGCACATGGAAAGATTTGCATCAGTCACATTGTGAGTAGCCCATGTGCGGTCTAGTGTCAATTATTTGCATTCACACTCTGCACACGCAGAGCTCTATGACTGGAGGCTGCATTGCAGAGGTCAGGCGCCTTGCCGCTCACAGCCCATGTAATCGTCACTGAACATTGTCATTAGTCAATAGAGCAGCCCATTTCATTGAGGTGAAGGTTACCAACAATAACACTTGACTCGCAAAAGTGCAGTGGTCAGCTTTAATAGTTTTTTTCTTTCTTTGTGAAAATAAGACGCAAGATAAATCTGATTATCAGTTTAACTCTGCTTCGCTTGCAACCGTCATCCAATGGGACAGGGAGCGGGGAATCCCAGGAATATCAAAACAAAACGGCGTAACGCTTCGTCACACTTAGGGCATAGCGGTGACCCCAGGCGGGGTACCAGGTCAGGCGCCCTGAGTCACCACGACGCGTTCCCCACGCCAGCGGCTCCCAGCCGTAGGCGCTGAGACAACGCGACTCCCCGTGGCGGAGTCCTTCCGCTCCCTGCCAACACCACACGTCCGTGACCTCGCCCCGGCGTGGAATCCACGAGACGTGCCCTGGCGTCTCGTGTTCTCCAGAGCGAAGCACCGTAAGGACCGAGGACTCGACCTATTGTAGTTTGTGGATTGGCGTGGCGGGTACATATACAAGCGTGCGGGTGTGTTGTGGGAAAGTTTTGCTGGGAAATACTCTTGAGAGCGACTCATAAACACGACTTGGAGATGCCTCTAACGTGGGAGGCGAAACGTCGTGGAGGAGAAGGGAGCTTTCTAGATTTGAAGTTTGCGTGACTGCAAGGATCCATACTCTTTGGTTCTTTCGGTAAAGTCACGTAGGCGAAAAAATAAACAATAAATAAAAAATGAAAAATCACGACGTTTCGATTGTAACACAAGCAATTATCATCAGGTGTGATAACTACAGCAAGGACATTTTTACTGAAGTGGGTTGCACTTCAGTCATTTAAAAAATATATTTATTATTATTTTCACCTACGTGAATTTACCGAAAGAACCAAAGAGTAGAGAAATGAGCTATCCTGAAAACGCAGCTTTTCTGAGCATTTCTCACTCATCGAGCAGCGAAACCCTATACATCAATACAATTGTTGTTTGAATTGTTACCCTGATGCATCTAGCCATTCAAAATTAGGAATTCCATACTGACACTTGACAAATGTCAAGTGTGTGGTGCTGGCGTTATTAAAGAGACGTTGTTAGAGCCGAGCGTGCCATGGCCGGCCTCCGTGTTTCGTGCGGGAGTCGCGGGAGTGGAGGCTGCGGAGGGGAGAGACCGCCACCACCACCTCAACCACCACCATCACCACCATCACCTCCACCATCACCACCTCCACCACCAACACCTCCACCATCACCACCTGCACCACCACCATCACCTCCACCAACATCACCTCCACCATCACCACCTCCACCACCATCACCACCATCACCTCCACCATCACCACCTCCACCACAATCACCACCACCACCACCTCCACCATCACCACCTCCACCACCATCACCTCCACCATCACCACCTGCACCATCACCATCACCTCCACCAACATCACCTCCACCATCACCACCTCCACCACCATCACCACCATCACCACCTCCACCACCATCACCACCTCGACCACCACCATCACCTCCACCACCATCACCACCACCATCACCACCTCCACCACCATCACCTCCACCACCTCCACCACCATCACCACCATCACCACCATCACCACCTCCACCACCTCCACCATCACCACCTGCACCACCACCATCACCTCCACCAACATCACCTCCACCATCACCACCTCCACCACCATCACCACCGCCACCATCACCACCTCGACCACCACCATCACCACCACCATCACCACCTCCACTACCACTACCATCACCACCTCCACCTCCACCACCATCACCACCTCCACCACCATCACCACCTCCATCACCATCACCACCACCTCCACCACCTCCACCACCATCACCTCCACCATCACCACCTGCACCATCACCTCCACCAACATCACCTCCACCATCACCACCTCCACCACCATCACCTCCACCATCACCACCTCCACCACAATCACCACCACCATCACCACCACCTCCACCATCACCACCTCCACCACCATCACCTCCACCATCACCACCTGCACCACCACCATCACCTCCACCAACATCACCTCCACCATCACCACCTCCACCACCATCACCACCTCCACCACCATCACCACCTCGACCACCACCATCACCTCCACCACCATCACCTCCACCACCATCACCACCTCCACCACCATCACCTCCACCACCTCCACCACCATCACCACCATCACCACCTCCACCACCTCCACCATCACCACCTGCACCACCACCATCACCTCCACCAACATCACCTCCACCATCACCACCTCCACCACCATCACCACCACCACCATCACCACCTCGACCACCACCATCACCACCTCCACTACCACTACCATCACCACCTCCACCACCATCACCACCTCCACCACCATCACCACCTCCATCACCATCACCACCTGCACCACCACCATCACCTCCACCACCATCACCTCCACCACCATCACCACCTCCACCACCATCACCACCTCCACCACCATCACCACCATCACCACCTCCACCACCATCACCTCCACCACCATCACCACTTCCACTACCATCACCTCCATCACCATCACCACCACCTCCACCATCATCAAACGCAAATACAACCCGCTCAAACATAATTACAAAATCATACATTTCCACACGTGATAAGCCACTTTGTAGAGCTATCATTTGTGGCCAGGTAGCTTCTGAAAAATTAATGAATATCTCAGTAGGCTTTACCTGGTAAGATAATTCTAGAATAAAAAAATAGTTAAAATGTATTTGTATATTTGCTTAAGTTATTTGTTTATCTTTCCTGTACGTTGCACTCCTTTCGTGTGTTTGTATTGTAACGTTCTGACCCGCCCCTACTGGACATTTGTGAAAAAGAGCTTCATAGATTTCTGCTGCACTGCCAACAAACTCCATCCTCGTGCTGCCCAACAAACTCCATCCTCGTGCTGCCCAACAAACTCCAACCTCGTGCTGCCCAACAAACTCCATCCTCGTGCTGCCCAACAAACTCCATCCTCGTGCTGCCCAACAAACTCCATCCTCGTGCTGCCAAACAAACTCCATCCTCGTGCTGCCCAACAAACTCCATCCTCGTGCTGCCCAACAAACTCCATCCTCGTGCTGCCCAACAAACTCCATCCTCGTGCTGCCAAACAAACTTCATCCTCGTGCTGCCCAACAAACTCCGTCCTCGTGCTGCCCAACAAACTCCATCCTCGTGCTGCCCAACAAACTCCATCCTCGTGCTGCCCAACAAACTCCATCCTCGTGCTGCCCAACAAACTCCATCCTCGTGCTGCCCAACAAACTCCATCCTCGTGCTGCCCAACAAACTCCATCCTCGTGCTGCCCAACAAACTCCATCCTTGTGCTGCCAAACAAACTTCATCCTCGTGCTGCCCAACAAACTCCGTCCTCGTGCTGCCCAACAAACTCCATCCTCGTGCTGCCCAACAAACTCCATCCTCGTGCTGCCCAACAAACTCCATCCTCGTGCTGCCCGCGCGAGGCGCCAGAGCGCTGCCCGGTCCCCGCCGCGGTCGCGTGACGTCACCGCACGAGGGGAAGCGGAAGCGAGGCCGAGGGCGTGGCCGTCTCCCAGCCCCTCCCCCTGGAGTGCGGCTCGCGCGCGAGGGACCCCCCCGCACTCCACCCCCGCACCCCCCTTAAGAGCGCGCGCGCCCCCCCTCACCCCCTACCCCGCCGAGAAGGCGCCACGTGACCTCAGCAGCAGCAGCGGCGCCGGCGCGCTCAGGTGAAGCCCCGTGCGGGCCGCTGGCAGCGGCAGCCCGAGCGGTCGACGGACCCAACTCTGCCGTGTCGCCCTGCGCCCTGACGCGGGGAGAGTGCTGGTATTTGAGCGTCAATGAAAGCCGGCGTGACACACGATAGGAGTAGGGGGGGGGGGTGGCGAGCAGCACCGCACCCGGCCGCCTTTGTCGCCAGCGCTGATGTTTATACACCGCACCGGGGACTCATTTAAGGCCGAGTCGACCTAGAAGCCGCTTCAGATATTCGCTCTCACAAATATTATCTGTCAGCGGGAAGCAAAGCAAGGGGTTCGGAACAAGCGACCAGTGGGCTCGCATGGTTCACGCGGCTGCATCCACATGATGACGCCTTGGAGTTCGCACAGAATCAGAAAGGGTTTTATTCGCCATCAACGTTCACACAGACACGGAATTTACTTTGGCAGGATGGTGCATACATTCAACATATAGAAATCTAAAATCTTAAATAAGTGGTAAACAAGTCTTACTAAAATAAGGGTTCAAAGTCTAACTAACACCAAGGGGCTAAAGTATATAAAATTGAATAAATATAGAATATAAAATAGCAATAAGATACAATCTTAAAATAAATAAAAAATACAAATAGGGTAACATAGTTAATATTGGCAAGGTGTTATTTGTAGATAAAAGCGATGTGGCTCGGTCACCCCCCGTAACCAGAGCTTGCCAGTGTTACTGTCCGCGGTGTTTGTCTTGACGCGGCCCCACGGGCACCGCTGCCAGCCACGGACTCTCGAGTCCACTCGGTACCGCGACTCCCATTGCCGCTAGGAGGAGAGAGCTGAAGAGTTGAATATGCTGACTTCTGGAACACTCCCTCACCAACAACACTCGAGCGCCACAATTCAACGTTTGTAATAAGAGGCAATGGGGTATATTCAGGTTAAGTTCTCACACAATGGCCTTGTGACCTGTGCTATATATTTCGATCAAGAATCTCACCCAGATCCGGAAGACGTCCAGAATAAACACCCCATTCTAGAGCAAAACATCGCACCTTCTAGCTCTTTGCGTTTAGTCAATAACACCGGTGTAGCCGTCAATCGCATCATAATAGGGCGATATGCACATCTTCATGAAAGGAAATTTCAAAAAAAGACCCACAGTAGAGAGATTATGGCATTTGAACCCAAATACAGTAAACCACTTAAGTCTGCGCTCCTTCAATGGAGGAGGAACAGCAAAACCTCGCCAACTCACCTGAAGCCTTCTCGTCGTGGCTGGCAGACCTCGAATTGGCATTTAGCTGCTGAACATATTGTCATAACAGACTATAATCAATCCTGGTCCTTGTCATAGTGTGGAACCGGCCTTACGCTGAGATGATCGATGCATCTCGTTTAATGGGTTTCACGTTTCTTACATGTCCAAGGTGAGTGGCCGCACTTCCACTCGCAAAGATGGAGGAGCTGAAGAAGCGCCTGGATTTCCAAAACGTGATCGTACAGACACAGGTATGCGCCGCTGCCTCTGCATACCAACATTTGCACTGCATGGAATTTGCAGTCCCGAATGCATGAATGCCTTCGTCTGAAGCCACGGGCAGGTCTTTAATCGAATATTTATTGAGGACCTTTGTATGACAACTCGGTCACAAAGAGTAATGGATAATGACTAAATGTAATAAATATAGGTTCTGTTTTAATTCTTATTTGGCGAATTAACTTGACGATTAAAATATAGTTCTTTGCAAGATTCTTGCTAATCTATTGATTTTCAATGCAAATATTCATGCATCTGAATGAGACCGATGCTAGGTGGGGTTTTTCTCACTTTGAAGCAGTTTTTGTCAATTTGTAATGTTTTAAAAAAAATATTCGACATTTATAAATTTCACATGCAGACATTTGAAAAAGCTTTAACAATGCTATTCATTGAATGTGCAACGTGTATTTTGTTTAAAAGTGTTTGACCTTATGTTCCCTGTTTCCATAATTGTAGGCAGTGGATAAGCTGGTGGCTGAGGTGCTTAAAGAAGTGAAGGGCACTGGCGTGATTGACAAGACATCGCATGAGGTATGATTGGCATGTCTCGAACTTGGGTCTGTAGGCTGCATACCTTGCACGCGTATCTCATTAAGCCTGCCCTCACTGTAAGTGTGCTGCTGAGTGCGTTTGGGTCTCCAGGAAGGCCAGGCATTCATTATTTTATGAACGGTGCTTTGTGCAGTGAGATTGAAGCTGGCAGCTGGGTTCCCTTGGACTTAATCCACAGCATATGAACATCATATAAATATTTTCACATCCTTTTTAATGTTACTACAGATGTAGCCTCGCTACCAGTGCACTTGATTGTAGGCATGCACCACACGAATACGGTACTGAACATATAAAGTATTTCTGAAAATACCGATATGCTTCTTCATCCTCTTGTATTTTTCACATTTCATTTGTGCTTTCGGCATCATGCTCATTAGAAGAATGCATTTACATTTGGATATCTCGCATGAAGCAGTGCACAACTAAATGGTATGAGAACAGTCTTTGGAAGATGACATCACAGAACTGCTTCTGAGGTCCCTTCACCTGCTTATAAGACACTAGGTGGACCACCACACTTGCCCTGTTGTCTTTGTCACGTGATAAAAACAGATTCAAGCCATTAGCTGGATTATGCTAAGTTAAGCAAAATAAATTTATATATTTTTTATGTGCAGTCATTGTTGACTGTTTTGAGACCATGAATACTTGAAAACACGGTTTTAATGATGAGTGGCTGAGACCCAAATTCGAATGCAAGATTAATCTCAGTGGAGTGGGCGCAGTGCTGTGAGCCACCAGAATATGTCGCACTTTGAATTTGTTTGCCGCTGCACCCAAGGCTACTTGTTGTCTTGTCTTGATTGGCGGTGCACGTGCTGAATGCTCTGTGCCAGAACCCGGCCCTGCAGCTTCTGTGGGAGAGGGCCTGCGGGGGTGACGTGTTGGTACGCAGCTGCTGCTGCCAGGCCCTGGTGGCCCTGGCACGCAGCGGCGTCGCAGACCCGACCTACGTCCTCAACACCTTCCTAAACATGGTGCCCTCCGCCTCGTGAGTGCCTGGCACCGCCAACACAGCTGTCATCTGGTGGCACTAACCTGGGGATTGCTTTATTACATGTGAACTACGAAGCATAATTATTTTTGTTATTAATATGCTTATTATTATTGAGGATTTTTAGACTGATCATTATACAGTTGCAATTAAATTCCAGAAACATTGAGCAGTTATCGTGTGACGAACGAATGTGTAAACACACGAGGATAAGAGTTAACACTTGTCTTGAATTGAGAAAGGTTATATTAGCTTTTGAAAAGAGACATTTGTAGGGAATTCTAAAGTGGGTCAGTGCAAGAGAAGAAGCAGAAAGAGAAGTGTTGTGAGCAGCAGTGTGGTGGTTGAATGGAGTGTGGGTGAGAAGCAACAGTCAGTCCGGTTGACCGAGTCCTCAACACGGGTGGAGGAATCAACGAGTGAAGTTCACAAGAACAGTAACCACAGTCATAGCGATAAAAAATCAACTGCCGGTGAGCGAGCAACTGGAGTGAATCAGTGAGTGCTGGATCATCAATCAATCCGACAATCAATGCTGTACATTGAACACCCTTGTGGCGTGGCCGTGTTGTGTTGGCAGGCATCTGCACGGGGTGGTGAGCAGCCTTGGGGAGTTGCTGCTGCTGCCTGTGCGGCAACTCCTGGCCAAGGATCCAGGCTGCACTCACTTCAAGAGCCCCTTCACCATCAGGTGAGCGCTGGCGGGGTTTGGTTCTGCGCAAGCTGCCACTATTAATACCATGATTTACAATCGGTTATTGGGTGAGGTTCATATTATGTGGAAGGCCTATATGCATTGAGCATACCCAAAATGCACCAAGGATCATGGTGTAGCCAGAGTACGGGAGCTCCCACAGTGTAAAGGAGGTGCACGGCCTGCATGGACTGCAGAGAGTATCAGACCTTTTGAGGTTGATTGGATGCCATGCCGATCAGCTGTAAGTTTCAACAACAGCAGAGGACTCAGGGTTGTAAATGCATCAAGGATAGTGTGGTTTCTTAGTTATTTCTCGATGACTTCCCTTTCCACAACTCTCTACAATAGTTGTACCTCAGTGTGCAAAGATTGTAGCAAGCGTCTGCCTTGGTGTTCCACTCTTCAGAGTGGACTGCTCTTGGTAACAATGCTTTAGCCCAGAATTGCTTTTTTGGTAAGGCCACGCTGACGTCACGCGCAATGGACATGCCGCGACGCATGTAGGCAGTAACACACATGTGCATAGGGCAGTGGGGAAGGGGCGCTGGGACACGTGGTTTCAATTGGGGGCCACCATACCATATATGTTGAGAACCACTGTTGCAATGAGCATGTGTGTGATGTCTCGTAGGAGCCGACCCCACCCCTACATTAGTGTACTCACGAACCGGCCTGACAGCTGGCCTGTCCTCCTCCAAAACATCTCCACCATGCTTTGCACACAAGAGGAGAGGTATTAACTTGGCACCCATCCCACACACGCACCCACGGCCAACTGCACACACAGCCATGAGTAGAATGTCACTGATTTATCCAGATATAAAACTGATGTTTAGAGGTTACGAAATGTCAATAAATCAATAGAGAGCAACTCAATGTTTTTCTATTTCAATAGAGTTTTGTAAAATTGTACATTTTTTGTCTCTTATTACTCCTGTTTGTATGTGTGTCAGGATGTGTGCATATATATAGTATTTATATATATTTTTTAGTTCCGCCAGATGGTAGAAATGGTTAGAGTGCGCATGACTCACAATCAAAAGGTTGAGAGTTCATATCCCAGTCGGGGTTTGACTAAGCCCGTCATCTCTTCAGAATCGATAAATTTACTGCCATTTAGTGGGAAGACAATAGCGGTTGTCCTGAGGAGAGATTGGTCCCTACCATGGGAATGTCAAATATCCTCTGCTGACTCAAGACCACCAACAGAGATGAGCTTTTCATGTTTTTCTTCCTTGGTTCACTTTACTCTCAGAGAGCCAGGTCACTGAGATTGCAGGGGGAAGGTAGTTGGCCTGCTGTCCTGTGGCCTGGCTGTCCTTTGCTGTGCCGCATGACGAGAGTAACTCCGCTACGTTGCAGCCTCACTGGCTTTGTGGTGGCCGCGCTGGAGCCGTTCGTGCGGTTCGTACTTTGCGAGCCGGACGAGGGCCACGCCAACGCCACCCTGCGGCTGGGCCTGCTCCAGGCCCTGCTGCAGACGGAAGGCATCGGCGGCGGTCGGCGCAGGCCCACGCACCGGCACGCGCTCCTGCTCCTGCACAACCTTGTGCCACACCTGCAGGTCTGCAGCGACTCTGCCTTTCACCTGTTCACCTGCTCATTAAGGGACGGCTACTGCTTGCGTGTCACAAGTGATTGGTTATTGTGCCTTTTAGGAAGTGCAACCCAAAAACAAATGCTTGTTAATTTGTTAAATTTTCAATCTACTCGCTTGTAAAATTGACTTATGTTATAGGAGAGATGGTGTTTCACCTATCAGAATATAACTTTTGTGATGCGGCCCAGCGGAAGCACATTCTCCGCTTGTTGCAGAGGGTCTTGGTTTGACCTTGGCTGGCCGCCCAGGTTAATACTACTGTGGTGTGGACTAACCTTAAAAATATGTGGTCTGCTTCACAGTGGATGGTAAAGATCCCCTCACATCATTTAAAACTCGTAGGCCATTGTGTGCTGGGGTCATGGTCTAAATTTACCAAGTTACAAAATAATATCCACAAATTACACAATTGGGATTACATATAGTAATCATTGCCCCCTCCTGACAGACTAATACACACTTGCAGGCCAGTGCTGGTTCAATTGCTACACAGGGACAGCTGCTCTGAAACACCCTGTTGTGATAAAAAATAAACCATTATTATTCTAAGAACAAAGACGTTGTTTCACCTCTCAGAATACAACTCTGTTGGTCCATATGCATCAAGTGTACCCAATATACACCACGGATCAGAATCCGAATATGTATTTATACTGGAGGAATCCGATGGGTTATAAAGCTCTTTTTCACAGATGTCCAGTAGGGGCGGGTCAGAACATACGAGAGCCGGGGTACAGGAGCTCTGACTGTGTGAATGGAGGTGCAGGAACTGCAGGAACTGCAGATAGTTTCAGAGCTTTTGATGTGGACACTGTTTGAGATTGAATGGCCTCTGTACCAACCAGCTATAAGTTTCAACAACAGCAGAGGGGTCGGTTGTAAATTTGTCGAGGATAGTGTGGTTTCCTTAGTTCCCTCTCGATCACTCCCCTTTCATAAACTGTCTACAACAGTCGTACCATAGGATGCAAAGATTGTAGCAACCGTCAGCCTTGGGGTTCCACTCTTGTTAACAATGCTCAGACTTGTAATTTAATTTAGGGTTTGGCCACGTAATAATCTGGCCAAATTTGTGTCATTAAGACACTCCACCACCCAAAATAGCCAAACAAATTAAGTTGCCCTGTTTACATGCATTTGATGCACAAATAATTATTTCAGCTCTTCGTAAAGTTGAAGAACATTTTTTACTAGTTGAACAATAGGTATTACGTTTTGCTTGAAATTACATCAAACTTCTTCATGAGAATCCAAAATCCTTTCAAGTCACTTTACTCCTGAGCTTGAACACGTGACAATTTTAATTGTTTGGTTATGTCAGGTGGTCGAGGGTCTTAACTATACAAATTTGGCCACAGTTCTGTGGCCTAACCCAACAGTCAATTATGAATCGGAGCATTGGCTGCTGAAACCTACATGTTAAGGTAATGCTCCTACTTGAATGTCAAGGATACCGACACACGGCCCAGGCATGTGTCCAGCATGGTACACACTATTTTGGTGGTATTTCTCTTTATTGACCATTCTACTTCACGTGGCTGTAGAGTAGACACAACACCATTTTATATGACAAATGCATTTTATGACAATCCTGTGCATTAAATATTTGAATATAAATCTAATGTATTTTTTTACCTGAGCAGCATCATTCCGCATTCATATCTCATGCCACTTTACGGCTTTGACCGCATATGTGTGTGTGTGCTAGGCATGGGACCCAGCACGTCTCTGTGAATGCCAGCTGATCATGGAGTTTCTGGCCAGGGCCATGCTAAAGCAACCCGAGCTCTGGCAGTCCCAGCTCCCACAGATGGCCCTGCAGTTACTGTGCCTTGCTGAGTTGGTCCTGCGCATCACAGGGGACTGCCAGACCGTCGTGTCACTGCTGCAAGCCATCCAGGCCACAGTCCCTGAGGTAACTTGCAGTGTTGTGTAGGACAGCAGATGCCTGCGGTTGCTGCTGCTGCTGCGTCCACGGTTGTGACATTGCAGCACAATCTCCGTTTGCGTCGCTTGACCGGTTTCATAAAAGTACAGCATTTTGAACAGCATTTTAATTACATTTAGTTTTTACGTGAAGCAAGCGTGGTGCGTCTTGTGTAATTGCTTGCGAGCGAGTGCTCCTGATATCCACGTAAATCCGCTGCCTTTGGCTGCCTCGTGCTGATAATGCCATCATCCACAAGCGGAATTGGGAAGCGTGATGAGTGTCGTGAGTAGTGCCAGTGCCCGTGCCCGAGTATGTGGGTGGGCTGGCGTGTGCTTGCCTTTAGAGGTACAACAGTCACTGTTAAATCTGTTGTGTGCTCAACTGAGCATTGGGTGGTGCCGATGTCTGTTGTCCATCCTGAGCCAGTGGTGTAAATTCTGCATTTCTTTGGTGGCGACTAGCATGTCTGTAGTAGGGCTGAACGATTAATCCATTTCAAATCGAAATCTTAATTTGAAACAATGCGATTAGCAAATCGCAAAGACTGCGATTTTTTGCAATTTGAAAAGTCCTATTACTTTCTTATTGGAATTGTTTTTTGTATTATTATAACTTTATTTATTTAACTTAATAATTGTTCTATGATTGCTTGTTCTATTTCAATTACATTTTTAAAAATAAATACATGTTGGAAGCAATTCTTGCATTAAAATATATAGAGCAGTTAATATTTTGATGGTATCATGTGGTAATGCGCCATCACATGTTTTAAATCTGTTACACAGTGAATATTGAACTGAAGCTTTACTTAAACATTTTTTATAGCAAATTAAATCGCAATATCTGTCAGAAAAAACGCAATTAGATATTTTCCCCAAATCGTTCAGCCCTAGTCTGTAGCATAACCACTACTGAATTGAAGTTGACCCACAACTTGAGAATTGAACCTGCAGCCTTGTGATTTGTAACTATTTCTCTGACCAGTTCTGGGAATTTGCATTAGCTTCCCGTGAAAGTACATAAATATTAAATCATTGATACTGCACTGGGAATTTGCATTAGCTTCCCATGAAAGTACATAAATATTAAATCATTGATACTGCACTTGAAGGAATTTCATGGACTTGCACTTGTATGCCACCAACCAGGCAGATAGAGGCACAGTGCCCACCTCCAATAAGATTACCATGCAACGTGCTTCAGAAGATGTGTGAGCAAGGGCACCTTGAGTCGCAGAGGGAAGGCACTGAGTGATATTAGGGGGAGGAGGGGGCTCAAGGGAAGTGGGTGTGCTGGATTTTTTTTGTGCTACAGGGCTTGTCAGAGGCTTGTACCAGTCCTCAACACAATGCTTTTTTACTTGTTCTTATATAGCTTTATCATGCAACATAGATCCTCATTTACTGGCTGGCTTGCCTGCATTTTAGTTTGTAAATAAGCGCCGTTTTCTTTCCATAATAACTTTAAACATCTGTCCTTGTAATCTGTATCCCTGCTTGTCTCCCTATAAGAATAGGCCATTCTCATGGGATCTTTGACTTTCACATGTGGGATTTATTTGGTGTTTGTGAAGAGATTTGTGGGTATATTCTATGGTTCTTTCGGTAAAGTCACGTAGATAGAAAAAATAATAACAATAAAATAATAAAAAGAAAGTGAATAAAAAATAATTAAAATAACACGACGTTTCGATCGCAGCACAAGCAATCGGCATCAGAAGCATTTTTTATTATTTTATTATGATTTTTTTCTATCTACGTGACTTTATCGAAAGAACCATCGAATATTAATTCCTGCAGTCACGAAAGTTTTAAGTCAAGATTTGTGGGTATTCTCATTGTCTGTGATGCCACGCTGTGATGCCCCTGCCTAAATGCCCTCCCCTCTGGGCTGCTGTTGCTGTCTGCAGAGTTTCCCACACCAGCAGGTGCTGGCAGGCATTAGTCTGCTCCTGCTGCTGTCCCCCGCCAGCCAGAGTGAGGTGGCAATGCTGTCCTTGGGTAAGTCTGGCAATCTTCATTATGAACGTTTGCGCCGGTAGTCTGCAGCCTGTGCGCTTAATTGCCTCTAATGGAGGCCTGAAATTACGTGTGTAATTAAATAAGCTTTTAACAATAAATTTCTCGGTTGATCGATTGCAGTTAAGAAGTTGCTTGCAACCTGTGTTTTTATTGTTTTCTGGATTAAAAAATATATATACTTTCCCATTATTATAAAAGACAGAATCTCGTTTGTGTTTTATTGAAACTTGTTGACAATGGACTGTTTTTCCATTGAAAAGTGCTGGCATTCTCGTGTGTTTGCCAGGCGCTTGTGGGCGCAGTTGTTTCTTTTTTAGATACAGCTCACGGACACCACAGACGCCATGTGTTCTAAAGGCACTGAACACTGAACGCTGATGTGGAGTCTGTTATTACTCGCTCACCAGTGTGTGATAAGCCATTTTGTTCATAACGTCAGTTATTCTTTTCCATAAACGCCTCATTGAGTCTCTTTCTGCAGGATCACATGTTGAGATATTTGGCCACTTCCTTTATATAGGGAGTGTTTTTCTAGACGGATAAATTTGGATGATCCAGACGAAACTTATACAATGACACAGATGAGGGAATAACACTGAAAGGTTGGCAGAATTGGGCTCACGAGTCAACCTGCTGTGTTGCTATCTACTGGCCACCTTGCAGCGCGGCAGCAGTTTCACTGCCCTGATAGCGCTGGACTTCCAGGTGCGCGCACCACTGCACGGGGCACGTGATGCGCTGACCCTGACTGTGATGTCCGATCTCACAGTGGAGAGCGTGCTGTGCCGGGGAGACGCGTGCGGCCCTGTCACCACGGTGCTGCTCATGCCGCTCCTGCACATTGCGTCGTCAGCCCCACGTGCCAGCACGGGCCTCGACTGCCAGGCTTGTGCCGCTCAGCTGCTGGACAAGCTAGAGCGGCTACAGGAGGATCGCACGGGGTACACACAGGTGGGGTCGCTGTTCTTTGCCTTTGTTATCTACTGGTGGCAGACCCGTCCTGCTGGTTGCAGACCCGTCCTACTGGTGGTAGACATGTTCTTTTGGTAGAAGATTTATTTTGGGTGGCTACATGGCCCAGTGGTAGCACGTTCACCGCTTGTCCCAGAGATTTGTGGTTTGAATGCAGCAGTCCGTCCTAGTGAATGAAATAACCGTAAAATACTACGCCCTGTCTGCTTCATAGTGGATGTTAAAGATCCCGTGATGACAGTGGGTGTTGGTGTAATGTTCCAAAATTACCTACGAATTACTCAATTGGGATTACACATAGAAACATTGCCCTCATACAGCAATACTGCAGGCTACACATGTGAAATGTTGTGCTTTTGTGACGATAGCCTCCTGCTATAAGAATGACGTGAATACTGAACGCACCAATGATAAAAATTGATTTGTCAAGAGTGAATGTGTCAATGGTGGTGCGTGCTTCATGCAGCAGGAGTGCGAGCTGGACTTCCCCCTCACGGGTTGGTACGCCGTGGTGCGCTCCGTGTGGAGGGCCGTGCTGCGCTTCTCCCTCGACGCCGGCCAGGCGGAGCGACACTGGCTGCAGGCAGTGCGGGGATCCCTGCTAGTACAGGACAGAGTCCCCTTGCACGTGACCTTGCTGGTGTCCTTTCTACTGGCCACCAGCGGCAAAGAGCACCTGCAGGAGGTTCTCGTAGGCTGCAGTTCACTCGCCCGAGCTGACCCCACGCAGGTGATGGCGCATTTGTTGTCGAGTTGCATAGTTATGCATGTTACACTCGTCATGAAGATTCAATTAAGTCAGTTGCGTAAACCATGTGATAACAATATTCTAATATCAGCTTGGGTCACCGTGGCAGCAGGGTGGCATAGTGGTTTGATTCCTGATGAGAACATCTTTCGGTGTGGAGTTTGTATCTTCTCTGCATGTTCTACATGGGTTTCCTCTGGTTCTCTCCCATAGCTAAAACCTGTACAATTTAACTGGTATTGCCCAAACATCGCTGAAAAGTTGTCTGCCAATTGCTCAATGAGTCTTGACAGTCAGTGAGGCTTCCCTGCGTTAACAAGCATAATAGTCATCATACTAACTTGCAAGGTTTTCACTGTGTGTGTCGTGTGGATGGGTGTTCTGCATGCCACAGGCCCCGTACCTCATCCCTGTGCTCATGTACAGGCTGGGCAAGCCACTGGAACCAGAGATATACCACAGCCTCCTGTACAGCCTGCCCACACTGGGCACCCACAAGGTCAAACCACTTCCTCACACATGCTCCACTCAATTCCCTTGCAAAGTGACCTCGTGTACTTGTGTGGCATTGAGTACCGAACATAAAAGATCTCTGTCCTTTTGTCTGTGAACCTCTGGACTAAATTGTTTTCTCACCACTGCCCTCTGTTGCAATCTTAAACCGACCTATCGCTGCACAAAAACGCAACACGTTTGTCAATAGCATAATGTGCTGTGTCTGTACTATGTGTGCTGGGTGTGCTGTACGTGTGCGCTGTGTATGCTGTGTCCTGTGCATGTGTGCTGTGCATGCTGTGCATGCATGCGTGTGTGTGTTTACTATGTTGTGTGTGCTGTGCTGTGTGTGCTGTAGGCTTGCGTGGCCCAGGTCCTGCGCACTGTGCGGCTCCTCGGCACCTATCCCTTGATGCGTCCAGTTGCTCTCCGCTTGCTGTCTAAGCTGTGGCAAACACAGGTACACATTCATACGTGCACCCATACAACAGCAACAAGCGCCATTCACCACTAAGTGGCGGTGACGACACTACGGCGCTTGTGCTAGGCTATGGGCACGTTAAGGCCACATGAAGTGTCGAACACCCACTGACAGGAGGTCATGGGGCAGACCCAGGTGCCATGGGTTAACTGACTGAGATGACTAGCCGATGCATCACCTGTGCCCCTACTATGCCAACTTGCTGTGATTTAGCCGCCCGGCGCTCCACTCGTTGTTGTGAGCGACGCTCCTCTGCCCTCCATTGTTGCTGGAGGGCGACTGCCTCCAACTGCCCAGTAGCGACCTTCACGAGCCTCCTCCACAGAGGATGATCTTAACACCGCTGGTACCAGTCATCGACAAGTCCCCTCAACTCCACATCCTCTCGTACCACATCAGGCCATCTCTTCTCTAGCCTGTGCTGTGCCCTTTAGCGAGACAGAAGCTGCTTTGTCCTTGTGCGCGTCTATGTGGGGATGCGCGTGCAGGATCGTGTGTACCCAGAGCTTCAGAAGGCAATGGCGGCCCTCGATGGGAAGGCTGGGACCTTGGGCTGTGAAGGACTGTGGGACTGCGTATTGTCCAGAGCTGCCACAGTACGCGACATATGTCGCAGCAGGTGGGTGGAGTGTCCAAATGCATTTTGGATGGCAGAGTGGCGCAGTGGAAAACACTTGGCCCTCACAGCAAGAAATACGTGGGTTCTATTCCATACTCAGATGCCTTTCTGTGTGGAGTTTCCATGTTTGTGTTCTGCATAGATACCCTCCGGGTTCTCGGGTTTCCTCTTAGACCTTAAACAAATCACATAACATATCTGGTATTGGCCAAATATATCAATGATAAAAATGTATCTGCAAATTACTCAATTTAGATGATGTTTAATAATAACAACATCGTCCTCTCCTGTGAAAATTTGGAAGGACCCTCCTGACAAAGAGTCCTGACATTTGGTGAGGTTTTCCTCAGTAAACAAGCATAATAATGCAATTTAATATTAATTGCCATATTCTTTGGTTCTTTCGGTAAAGTCACATAGATATAAAAATAATAAAAATAAAGTTACTAAAACAAAACACTAATACTCTTTGGTTCTTTCGGTAAAGTCGTGGAGGTAGAAAAATAATAGATCACGACGTTTCGATCGCAACACAAGCAATCGTCATCAGGTGAGACAACCACAGCAAGAACAAACTGCTGAAGTCGGCGAGAGATCTGCCGTGGCACGAGGTTATAGAGTGGGCCTCGGCAGTAGGGGGGGAGAGAGAAGTGGGGGGGGGAGGAGGCGGGGCAGAAAGTGAGGATGGTTATAAACTCAGCAAGAATAGGTCTATATTATAGACTGCCAGTACACTCACCAAGCTTAAAAACCAGGCTACAGTCTACATTATAGACTGTCAGTATGCTCACCGAGGTTAAGAACCAGGCTAAAGTCTACATTATAGACTGCATGTACACTCACCCAGCTTAACCATTGCTATAGTGTACATTATAGACTGCCAGTACACTCACCAAACTTAATAACCAAGCTATTATAGACTGCCAGTACACTCACTCCGATTAAGAACCAGGCTACAGTCTACATTAATGTTTTTTTAGCATTTGTATTTTTTCAATGTTTTATTTGTATTATTTTTATTTTTCTAGTCACTTTCTTTTTATTTAATTTTTTCTATCTACGTGACTTTACCAACAAGAACCAAAGAATATGAATTCCTGCAGTCACAAAAGTTTTAAGTAAAAATGTAATTGCCATACTTAGAAACAGCTTTGTCTGTGCATTTATGCCTATTTACATATCAGTATGTGGAGAATTTTCAGGGACAATCCAGGAAGTCAAAATTCTGACTCGCTGGAGTTTATTTTGATTCCCTGGGTTCTCCTGTTGGATGCTTTGGCATAGTTCCAAGCGGAACGTCATATCTAATTGCTGACTGCTGATCTGTAGTTCCAAGCGGAACGTCATATCTAATTGCTGGCCGCTGCTTTGTGATGAACAGCGGGTCATGGAACACGACCTCGGCGACTATCCCCCAGCTCTAACGGTGATGGTGCACCCCGCAGGCCCTACCAGCACGGGGCGGACATGGTGGCGGCCGTGTCGCGCCTGCTGGACGAGTGCCGCAGCGACGAGCAGGCGTCTGCGGCGGCGCTGGCCGTGCAGGGCCTCTACGCCCTGTGTGACGCCGAGGTTACGCCGCCGCTGCTGCCGCTTCTCCTAATCTCCCGGGGCCATGGCTGGGCCCGCTGTCCCAGCAGCCGTGTTCCTTACAGATGCGCTGTGCCGGCACTAATAGGCGCTACTCGCTAATAGCACTTGCCCCAACAATCTCTCAAAGGCTGTATGGGGTGGCGGGGGGGGGAAAGAGTCTTCATATTTTTGTGTATATGTCAAATTGTGTTTATGGATATGTGTATTTGTGTCTTGTTTGTGTGTATTGTTCGGTGTATATATATATATCTTTGTTTATATTTGCGTATGTAGGCATGTATTTATGTAGCTGTGTGTGTGGGTATTGCTTGGAGAGCAAAGTGTAATGGATAGCTCCTTGTGCTGCAAACCAAGTTCAATTCCACCTCACTCTGCCAATATCGGTGATGTGCGTATATCCAAACCGGTCCTGGACCTCCCCTAGGGTGACTTGGCCTTAAATTAGTGTTTGGTGTGGTGGGTAAACATTAGCATGAGGGAGATAATGGCCACAGGACGTTTGTTAAATGTGTAGTGTAGCACAAGTCGGAGACGAGGTAGTAGCAGGAGGCACCTTCTTTATTAACACTGCTTAGGTTCACAGGTTCACAGGCTCGTTCCTTCTCGATGTCGTACAGCCCAGCCTAGACACAACCCTAACCGCGTTACACTGACGGCGTCGACCGAGACAACCAGCAACTGTCCAGCCGCGCAATTATCGAGTGAAGGCGCCAGCGACAAAGGCGGCGAAGACAACAGCGACAACGAGACGAGTCCAGTCCCAGAACCGGCAGCCCGGAGCTCTCGCTCTCCACTGCTTTTATCCTACTCGGTGCGGCTTGGCTCCGCCCTGGCCACGCCTCTCTTCTCGAACCCACTAGCGGGTTCCAGGGGCTTCCCGGTGAGGTCTTCCATGACCCTTGCCCCAGTTCCTCCGTCCCTGCAGGCACTCACACCGTGTGTATGCTCAACGGTGTCTGCGCTCACTGTCCACCACGTTGCTGGACAGCAGTCGGCGTTGTGTCACTACAAATGCAATACCTTGTCTTTGTATATATTGGTATATATCGGTGTATGTTTGTGTATTTAGATGGGGAGCAGTAGTATTACCAACTTGACAATCTGAGTTCGATTTCAGCTCATGGCCACCAACATCAGTGACGATTATCTGAACCGGTCCTCGGCCTCTCCGAGGTCGACTCAGCGTCAAAATTAGTACTTGGTGCATTGGGTCAACATTGCCACTCGGGAGACAAAGGCGGCCGGACATGGTGCTGGTCACTTACACAAACTTGTGCCGTGCCGGCATTCATATGTGCGCGCTAACAGCACTTGCCCCAAAATTCTGAGGGATATACAGGGGATCTTTGTATTTGTATATAGCTGTGTGTAGCGATGTGTCTGTTGCTTGGTATATATATGTGTGTGTTTGTGGATGTAGGCGCATGTGTAGGCAATCTATACAGCTGCCATCATGTCTGTCTTGCAGGTGGTGGATGTGCATTCCGCATGGTCTGCGCTCTCTTCGCGGCTGCTGGCCGACCGTCGGCCGCTCGTGCTGAAGAACTTGAGCGAGCTGTTTGCTCTGGTGCCCTTCCTGGCTATCAAGACGCCAGAGTATGAGGTACGCCACACAGGCCAACTCTACACCCTTTGTAAAGCATTTTGGCGGCAGGCGAGGTGGCGCAGGGGTACCGCTCGTCCCTCACAGCAACAAGTGCCAGTCTTTGATTCCCCACTCGGGCACCTTTCTGTGTGGAGTTTGAACGTGTTCTCCCCCCTGTTCTCTGCAGTTTGAGTGAGTGTGTGGAGTGAGATAGTGTGTGTGGAGTTCGAATGTTCTTCACCCTCTGGTTGGCATGACTTCCTCCTATAAGCTAAAAACATACAATGGATGTTTGTTGAACTTCTTTTGCACCGTAAGTAGCCAACCATGATATTTGGAGGTGTGGTGGAAGGACAACAAACTAAACATAAAAAGCAGTTCTGAAAAAATGAGTTTTAAATCTAAATCTAAAAGTGTATAGCTCCAGTGGCTTCCTAATATCGGAAGCAAGAGCATTCCAGACAGCTGCAGAAGCGCATCTGAAAGCGTGCGATGCAGTGACCGTCTTTTTTTGATGGCGAGCCAAAAGCCATTGCGAGGATGTAACTGGTATTGGCCAAACATACCAATGTTGACAAAGTACACAATTGGAATTACACATAACAACATCCTACTTGGAAACCTTGACAAGACCCTGCTGAGAAGGAGTTGAGGTTGTGGGAATTATTCTTCACCTTACCAATGAGCTGAACAAGAATAATTGGTGCAATGCTTGTGCATCGCGTGACGATTTAAATTGTTTGGCTGTGTCGGGTTGAGAAGGATTTCACGACATAAATATGGCCATATCATGTGGCCGAACCGAAACATCTGTTATGAATCTTAATATTGGCTGCAATGAGCTATGTGTAATATTTAACAACATGTAAAACTGAGAATAGGTTTTCCCCTTTTTTCTGGCAACAGAACAGGTGTTAAGATGTTAAAACACCAATCTGAAACCTTTTACAAGGAATCATGTCTACATTAACCACAATACTTGTGGTCAGAATGCAAAAACAAACTCTGATAATATATACATTGTCTTTGAAACTGATTGGTCCACATCAGAGACAGCTTTCTTTTGAGCCTAGTCTCAAACGGTGTTAGACCAGAGGACGCATTCTGACCACAAGTATTGTGGTTAATGTAGACATTTTTCCTTGTAAAATGTTTCAGTTTGGTGTTTTAACATCTTAAAACCTGTTTTATTTGCCAGAAAAAAGGGGAAAACCTATTTCCATATTTTTGTACTGGCAATGGAGATCCCATGATGTAAAACTGAACTTAGGCTATTTAGGGCTCATCTTGAAACTTGCTTTATGTCAGCACTGCCCCAGGCTAGGATGTCTGCTCGGGTGTCACTGTACTTAGAATTCTCGACTCTCATTGCCAAGTTGCAAGTTCGAATCACCAGTCAGGGGCTAACTCAGATGATCGTTCCCCAAGGGTTGATAAAATCCGTACCACATAATGGGAAATTAATCGTACTTGTATGATGCAAGACTAGCGCCCACTATTAGTGCGTGACATTTTACACCATTTGCTGTGAACAGCCAGTGGCGATGGCACCTTCCTTCAATGGAACGGGATGACAACTTGACCTGAATCTAGGACGGACGTGAAGATTGAAGTGACGATCCACAGTGGATCAGAGAGAGTATGCGGACGTGGTTTCCAGCTGCGATTGGTGGAGGGCATAGAAGACACTTCATGCCATGCACTGTCTGAAGGTTCTCCTGTCTCCGTGTCAGAGATTTCAGGCTGATGTGCTGAACCTTCTGTGGAGCTACAGCCAGGACCAGGTGAGAGCACACTACCTTGAGTGCTTGGCATTGTAATTCGAGCAATCGGTTATTGGAGGAATTCAGATTATCTTGAAAGGAACACAACGTTTTGGTGCATGAACTCCAAAATACAACTAATGACTAAAATAGTTATATTAAAATTTCCATGTAAGTGCTTGATAAACCAGGGTAGAGGCTTTGTATGTTGCATATCGAACTATTTTGACATGGTAATTTCAGACATATTTGAACAGTTTCTAAATGTAGCCTTTAACATACTCGTACTTTTTTGAGTTGATATCGTTAGCGCTGCATCTTGAGTATTGGTGACCAATGGGAGCATTGCTACAGGATGCGGTGACGGCGGGGGCTGCGTACAGGGCCCTCGCCGCCTTCTCTCCCACCCAGCACACAGTGCTGCACCTTCCTGAGCAGGTACCGTGTCCAGCCTGGACAATACTTTACCACTCCCACCATCAACCATACCTGGGTGGCAGGGTTGTGGCGAAGTGACAAGACTTGTGCCTCGCAGCAAGAAGGGCCTAGGTTCCTTTCTTAACTCGGGTGCCTTTCTGAGTGGAGTTTGTACGTTCTCCCCATGTTCTGCATGGGTTTCCTTGGGTTATTTGGTTTCCTCCCACAGCTAAAACACACACCCAGTGGATATTGTATCAGACCAAAAATCACAATACTGAAAAGTTACCTGCAAAATGCTTAATTGGGTTTATAGATAGTAACATCACCCCCTACAGGTAGACTATCGTGTTTTTCTACTGTTTGTTGTTGTAACGTTCTTACCCACCCCTACTGTGATTCCTCCAGTATAAATAAATATTCTGAATCCTATGAAACATAGCACCTCTGTGAGAGCCCTGCACTATAAGAGTGGCAAGTTTATTCTAGATTTGAAGCTTTCGTGACTGCAAGGATTCATAGAAGAAAAAAAAAACAAAGAGTGGCAAAATGTACTAAATCAATTTTGTTATTAACTTTGATATTTAACAGAGCAGACAAATCTCTTACGTTTATGTATTGAGATCATCCATTGGTCCAGCTATTAGATGGAGTGATTTTCGCTGCACTGAAGTTTGATTGCGTGTAACGGTGCTGGGTTTTACAACTCCCCATACCTGCTTTGACTTTGCCAACAGGTGAGGCCAGAGCGACAAGTGACAGCCGAGGAGGAGGGGGAGCAGGAGGTGGATCTGACCGTCCCTGGAGACTCCTACATCAAGCTGCTGCTACTCATTCCTGCACAGGTCTTGACAGGTACCACTACTCCCCCTCCTCTCCCATCTCAGTGCAGTCCTTCAGTGCTCTGCCTGCTACATTCCACTTAGGTTCCATAACAGTCAATATGATGATTCTACTTCTGTATGTTCTCTGCTCCGTGTATTTCTCCCTTTATCGCTCACTGTAATTATAAGCATTCACCATTCTTATTTGCACACTTTTAATCTCATGTTATCACATCACCACAGTCCTCACATCCCCTCCACTGGCTCTCAATCCAGTCCCGCGTCATTTACAAGATCGTCCTCACAATATATTCAAGATCTTATATGCAATCGCCTTTGCCTACCTGTCCTCTCTCATCATTTTACCCGACTCTCCAGAATTTGCCCTTCACTCCAGCAGCCACGGCCTCCTGCCAGGGCCCCCAGATGATCTCGGGAGACCCAGCGTACGCACAGAGTCAGTGCGAGTATCTGCCCAGTGTGTGTCCCTGTCCCCCAAGATGCGGGGGAGTTGCTGAAGGCGCTGGTGGAGCACGAGCTGAGCGTGATGCCGCGCGGGGTGCAGCACGCCGCCATGCGTGGCGCCGCCAGCCGCTTAGCGCACGGCAAGCCCGGCGCCGCCGTGCCGGCGTTCATGCTCAGGAGCTATGAGAAGAACAAGCAGCCAGGGCTGAGGCCGGGCCTGGCTGGTGAGGCTCGCTCACACAGGGTTCGCCAGTAGTTGTGAACTTAACCTAGTTTAGGCCACACCTATCCTGACTCGGCCCTGATTTTGCGTGTGAACATTGGCGTTTAAGGAGACAATGCAGTGAGGTGGGGTTCTAGCCACAGCAGTTCTCTTGTATCAAATTGGGTTTTATTCTCTCTCTCCCTTGTTCCTTTGAGTTCGAGGGTGACAGCGGCGATCATTAGCTGTTGGTGCTGGGTCTCCACGTGGTTCCACAGACCAACGTGGAAGCAACAGTGCTGGCCACATTGGGTGTGCAGAGTCGCCTGGCTTTAATAATTGAGCTGAACGCTGATTTCCCAACTGCGCAACGCGGTTCTTTTATAAACCTCGTGCGCCCACTTTAAAGATCGCGGTGCCATGTGCTACTGTCAGCTCCCAGGTGCTCGAAATTTGAGTCGGGGATGTTAGCTTTGTGCATGTTCCATTTCAGGGAATCTTCATCTGGCCATTGACATTTTAGCAAGTGCTTGCTAACACCACATGCCACTGCAGTTGAAAGGGCTATAGAGATCCTATGTCTCCGTGTGTGTGCTCCTCTCAGCTGGGTTGCTGCTGAGCTATGACCTGCCCATGCAAGTGGATAAGGAGGGCCGCCCTGTAGCCCGCTTCCTTGTGAGCCGTGGCCGCAGTTTCCAGCAAATGCTGTCGGCGCTCATACAAGAGGTGCCGTGAGTGCACGAGGAGCACCCTGACACTCACAAAGATGTGCATTGCATCTACATAACCTTTCAGCCTTATCCAGAGCACCAGCGCAAAAAAAACTGAATGTGGCAATTTTATCATTTAGACCACCAATCCAAAGAGTTTAGAATGTGGCCATCCAAGCAGGCAGCAGTGAAAGACACAACTGCAGACCGGTTTCATCCTCATTAGGACTCATCAGGAGAGCACACCCACACTGTGCAAAACGCCTACAACACTTTCATCAATCTACATTCATCTTGACGACGGCCTCCCCGGGTCGTGGGGGGCTGTTTGGAGATTCTTCGCTATGGTGGTCAGTACTGGTTGGTGAAGGAGGGGAGAATAGATGTTGGAGCATAGTATAGTACAACAATGAATATTGCTGCACTGCCCTCTGCAGTCCACACCATAACGCCAAAGCAGCCTATAACACCTGTTAACTCATGAGCACCTGCTTCTCTAAAATAACTTATTTGTCTGGTTATACTCAACACAGTGTACATCACGGTTGATGAAGTGAATAACCTGTTTAGGCTTAGCAATGCATGCATCCAGTCATTGCAAGTGATTAGGTCACTTGAGGCAATTAATTGGGAATGGATTTTATTTGGGTTCACGCTCTCTCTGCGAGGTCCTTGTGAGGGTGCTGCTGGGTGACCGACACATACTGTCAGGGTGAGCACCGTCAGTGCTGTGTCGCACGCGTCATTAACAATGGAGCGTGATTAAAGCCATCAATTCCAACCTTTTCATCTTGCAGTGCCGTGTGTGATGCTCTCGTTAGTTTCCTTCGATTTTTTTTCTTCTCTTGAATAAAATGATCACGTTTTAACACGAGGTAGAGCAATTGAAAAATCAGTGGTGCAACAATTCCGCAATTATTTTGATACTTTTAACAATTTCATTACTGACGTTTGGAGTGTTTTTGCTATATATATACACACACGAATAAGACAACACAGAAATATAATGTAACCAAATTTGCAATTTGTGAGCTATTATTATTTAATTGATTCGTACGTCATTTTGGGTTAGACTCCAATGATCTGGCAGAATTTCTGTCGCATGACCCTCCACCACCTGACCTAGTCAACGAATTGTCACGCATATGCGCATTTAACGCGCCAATTATTGTTTCAGCCCCCTGGTAAGTTAAAGAATAAAGTATATATATGATAAATATGATTGTAAGATTTGTTCTTAAACTTTCCGGTTTATTAAGCTGAAATAACATTTATAATAATGGGTGCTTTAAACGCTCATACACATGATAACTATTGGCCGAGAAAACCTACGCGTTAAGTACAATGACAAATACCACCGATATAGCATTTAACAAACTTGGGGCAAGTGCTGTTAGTGAGCAGAATTATTGTATGTGCCTGTAAATATCCTTGTATTGCTGTGGGCAGCAGGCTGAGGTCCTAAGGTCTCAGCCGTGTTCAGGACTTACACGATCTGAACCTGACCTGAGCTGTGGCTGAGCTGCTTGTGCATTTTTTATAAGCAAGCTCAAGTGTGAGCTGAGGCGTGTTAGAGACCAAACCAGAGCCGAGCCTTTGACTAAGACTGTGGCCCTAAGTGTAACCGTCTCTGCTGCAGGTCCCAGTACAGCCGTCCGAGTGGCACCGCAGCGTGCTGCTGCCCCTCGGCTGGCAGGGCTTTGTGGAGCGAACGTACCACGCGGTGCTGCAGGTGAGCGCCCGGTCTCAGGACCAGCCTCTCAGCACAGCAGCACCAGCAGCACCAGCAGCACCAGCAGCACCTACCTGCTCGTGTTGAGGACTCAGTGGCGAGTTGTTATCTCCCTTGCTTGGTACACAGAAGGTCGTGGGTTCGATCCCGGACTCTCACGATGCCTGTTGTATATTTGTAGTTTGCGTGTTCTCTCTCCCTGTGGCTGTGTGGATTTTTATCCGGGTCCTACAGTTTTGCCCTCCACATTTATAAACAACATGCATGTACAATATTTGACTGCTACTATAAATGCTTACATATGATATAAACCAGGTCGCCTCTGAAAAAAAGCGAATAGCTCAGTGAGATTTACCTGGTAAATGAAAATAATTTTAGTTTAGACTGTGTCGTCTGATACGCATTGTGTACAACCACCACCATACTACTACTACACGTCACCACAACACTTCGCTATTATTTTTGTGATTGCCCACAAACCACCGTGACAGCATATAATAATGCAATACATCATTCGAATCTAGTTTGAATGCAGTACATTTCAGAGTGAACGTTCCTTGCCACCAATGTGTGCGGAGCTGTGTCAGACCTGTGAGTTTGTGGTGTGATGTGGTGTGGCTCGTGCTGTTGAAGGGACGACTCGGGGAGCTGGAAATTCAGCAGAGGCAGGGAAAGGAGGACCCACAGGAACTTCAGTACCGGCAGTTCCTGGCTTGGATCTGGTGCGGCCGGTCTTCTTGTCGGCACATTTACATTTTCACACACCACCCTAGCCTACTCAGTCATTCGTATGCTCATTCCCTTTAGTTGAGACTGAAAATCCCTCTGTTATTCAGAACCGGTTAGGAGGAATACGGGGAGTAAATCTAGACTGCAACATATAATAAACGAAGCTCTCTTGGTTGTGCACTGTCATGTTTTATTTTTATTTGAACAGTTGCAGACCACAGGCCTAAAGACCTAATATGCTAAGTGGCCAGCAATAAACAAGCACATTCAAAGTTGTAACAGATGAGGGTGAACATGTTTATAAATTGAGAGGTGAAAAGACCATGGGAAAGTAGGCAGAATTCCAACAATATTTCAACACAAGTTAAAATATTCCTCATTGACTAGTGCATCCTTATGTTTTCACACGGGACGCGTGTCTGTGTGCGCTACCTGCCTGTGCATCTTGTGGTTGCGTGTGACTGCCTGTGTGTGGATACTACATCTTTTCCATGCGTGACTTTATGCGCGGTGGCAACACTGTGGATGTACTGTTGTGCACGCTTTGGTAACTAGGAGACAGCTTTATTCGATGTAAAATCTCAATCATGGGGGCTGTGACAAGAACTGAGATGAACTTCCAATGGTGTGGTGTCAGCAAACGCATTTTAAGTATAATATGGACCTCGGGCTGTTTTACATGTCAGAATGAGAATCTTTATTTGGATTGGAGGAGTTGGTAATCGGTGTGCATGAAGATGTATGTGATTGTGTGCTGCTTAAAAAGCCACCGCTGGACGATTTGGTATGAATTCTGTTTCCTCTGTGCTCCTCAGGGCACGTGACACGCTTACAGAAGTGCTGAAGTCCGCAGCCAAGTGAGTCCTCCTTTCCCATGCTCCACACATCTCTCTCTTCACCAATTCATAACAGACTTATTGGTTAAGCCTCGGAATGATTTGGCCGATTAGATACTGTTCAATAACTCACCGGTGGATGAAACAATAATTATTGGCATATTAAATTCTCGTTCTCGCGACAAATTACCTTGTTTGGTCTGTTGGGTAGTAGAGGGTCTCACGACATAATTTTGGTCAGATCATTCATTACGTGCCCTAACTAAAAAAAAAAAAATCATCGTAACATTGGCTGTGAAAACCTATGCGTTAAAGATAAAATTAATCTTTATTGCTGAAGAAGCAATACTTCTTGAACACTTTTTTGGTTTAATGCTCTTTTTTAATGGTTTATTTCCTTCATTTTTGGAAATCCACAGCCAATTACCGAATGAAATGTGTACTCTCTGGTGTTTGCTTTAATTTCGTTTATTTGCATTAAGACATCGCCACTAATGTGCTGGCCTCACCTTCCCCTGTGAACGGTGCTGGACTTGAGGCAGCTTAGCAGTTAGCGTGCTGCACAATGGACCTGGCAATCCGAGTTCGATTCCCACTCACTACCAACACCAACGACGAATATCTGAACCAGTCCTCAGCCTCCCTTAGGTCGACTCAGGCTGAAATTAGGTACCTACTGTGATGTGTAAACATCACCTCTGGGGAGACAAAGGCGGCCAGGCGTGGTGCTGGCCACCCTCCCCCTTGTATACCGTTCCCACCTTCATAGGTGCTCACTAACAACACTTGCCTCAAGAGTCTGTTAATGCTATATGGGGAATCTTTGTCTTTGTGGCAGGGAGAGCCCTGTTGTGCAGGCCAACACTATCTTAGCACTCGCCTCTCTCGCTGCCACCGTCGTCAAGCACGAGAACAGCCTGCCCAGCAGGCCCGAGGACAGCACGCAGGTCGAACACATTAACACATGCGGCACAACACCTCCATTGCCACAGTGGTGGTTGTCCTTTCAGATGCATTCTCTATTTGACTGCCATTCCCGCTTTGTATGTGTATATTTCCTTTAGTAAAAGAAAAAAAAGAGTGCCAGAATGGAGCTGTTTTTTGTTGGCCGCAGGGCCTGTTAGGGTCACCAAGAGGCTATTTTTTAATGGTGAAAGTGTTGTCTCTGATTTTTGTTTGTTCCCTGGTCATGCATTCCTTTTTCTATCTCTTGATGTAATTCTGAGAATGAAAATCTCTCCATGCTTTCTTGTATGTGCACTTTCGGGTTTCTTTTCATTTGTCAGTATCCTTGCTTGTGATCCATATGTCATGGCTACGCAAAATATCTCGAGGTGGCCAGGCGACTGAGGGGTGTGCCGTGATCACAGATCGGCGCCGACATTCTGCCGACACAAACCTGGCTGGAGATGGTCCTGGAGACCCTGCTGAGCGTGGTAGATGGAGGCTACCTCCCCAAGGGCCGCACCTACAACTGGTTCCACCAGGTATCTCTCGTGAGCAGTGTCCACCAGGGCACACGGCCTCGCCTGCCATTCTCACATTGTGCCTGTGAAATGGGGATCCCTGTGACCCGTCATGGGTTCGTGACTCACACGAGCGATATCCAACCAGGGAGATCCGTGTTGTGTGAGCACAGCAGCAACAAAACAAAGAGAAAAGCACCAATATGGCAGAGTAGTGCAGTGCTGGATGGTCATGGTGCACCCACTTATGTGCACCCCACCTACCCTAGAGGACCCAGTCTCGGGAGAACACGTGCAGCGCCCTGGCGCGCAGCTGCGCTGCACTGGCCCTGTCGCTGCTGGTGCCCGCGCTGGCCATGAGTCTCAAGGACGGCGTGGCTCGGGCACTGGAGGTGCTCATCAGGGCCCTGCCGGGGGCGCCCGGGGCCGACGAGACGCCCGTGCTGCTCTTCCACTGCGGCCTAGCACTGGGGCTGTTCCTCGCGCGCCTGCACGAAGAGCGCCTCGCGTGAGCAGCCATGCTGGCACGGCCGCACGTAACACAGGGCGTCGAGACGTTACAGGGGAGTGACCACCATGGTTTATGCAGTGCCACTTGATTCGGTGGTCTCGTACCGCTGCCTTGTAATGTCCGAAACTGAAATATAATTACTCTTTGGTTCTATTGGGTAAAGTCACGTACCTACGTGACTTTACCCAATAGAACCAAAGAGTATGGATCCTTGCAGTCACGAAAGCTTTAAATCTAGAATTGAAATATAATTCTGGGCACAGCTGCAGTCCGCCTCGACCAGTCCCCCAGAAAACTAGTTTTTGATATTCTCTAGATCTACTTCCCAGGTGAATATATTTCTCTGGAAGCGACTTTATGTCAGTTTGTGTTTTTCAGTAAATCAAAGGTCCCAGTCAATCGGGGTTGAGGCAGTACAGAAAGGGACGTTATAGTCTGCCTTTATGAGATTTATCAGTGTTTGAATGGTGGTAAAGTGATTGATCACTTAATAAAAATCACCTAAGCTCACGTGTATTATTTAAACTTTATTTGTGGTATTTTGCCAATGAATGGTGTTCACTGGTGCCATCGTGTTGTTTTGTGGCTGTGTGTTCTGCATAGCGAGGTTAGTGAACAGAAGCTGTCGTTGCTGCTGATGAGGGCGCTGGATAGCCTGGAGACGAGCTGCTTCCAGCCCCAGCTGGAGCACACGTACGTAGCAACAACAACCGCCATTCGCCACTAAGTGCGGTGACAACACCACGGCGCTTGTGCCAGGCTTCGTGCACGTTAAAGCCACGTGAAGTGTCGAATGCTCGCTGGCAGGAGATCACGGGACAGACCCAGGTGCCATGGGTTGACTGATTGAAATGGTTGGCCAATACACGTACGTAGCACACGCACACACGTACGTAGTGCATGCACACACATGTAGTGCATGCACGCACTCGTCCATAGCGCACGCACATGTACGTAGCGCGCACACACGTATGTAGCGCATGCACACACACACACAGATAGTGCACGCACACACGTACATAGCACACATACTCGTGTGCGTAGTGCGTGTACATGCACGCACGCTCGCCTTGCAGGCCATACGCACACCACACCCCATTGTGCACCACCCCATCGTGACACATCCAGCTTTCAACATTGTATTTGTTAGATGTTTTAGCACATTCATTGGTGGCAGAGCAGAGAGTATCAGCTCATGACACTTGGGAACCTGGAAACTTGGCTTACAAACTAGAATCTCGGCTGTACCGCCTCCGGGATCTTATGAATCCCCTCTGCCTCTGGGCCACCCCAAATAGCAGCAGGACTTCATGCGTCGTGGTGTGCCGTGTGGTGCGCAGGGCAGGTTGTGTGCTCGGCCTGGGCCTCGTGCTGTCCGTCATGAGCCAGAGCAGTCAGACGGAGAGCCACGTGCACGTGCGTGCCACGCGAGACAAGCTCATGGCGGCGGTGGCGGCGGCATGCGAGCAGACTGGCCGCCAGCAACAGGAGGTACGGGACCTGTGCTGCTGCGCTGGGACTCGAGACAGACTAAACTACAAACTAGGATAACTGGAGAATAAGACCACTACAGGTGCACCACAATTCAAATATCTCCAGTTTGGATTTATGACCCGAATCTTGCCATTTCTTTAAATCTCGAGGAGGCGAGTTGCTCCATGCCGATGATACCTACAGTATGGGATCCTCACAATGCAGCGGCGTGTGTTAGCTCACAGTGATCCTATCCCCGTATCTATAAGGGCAATACCCAGAAATATGCTGTCAATCTTCTTTGGTTCTTTCGGTAAAGTCACGTAGAATTAGAATAAAATAATAAATTGATAAAATAAAATAACACAATAATATTCTCACGACGTTTCGGCCACAACACAAGCGGCGTTCATCAGGTGAAGGGACGAGACTGTCTGGAGGACAGCGCTGTCCTCCAGGACAGCGCTGTCCTCCAGACAGTCTCGTCAATTTATTTTATTCTCATTCTACGTGACGTTACCGAAAGAACCAAAGAAGATGAATCCTTGCAGTCACGAAAGCTTTAAATCGAAATTTATGCTGTCAATTTAAACCAATTTGTGGACTACCCTGAAGCTTTGGCTTTTAACATGGTGAGAAACTGATGCATGTTCTCTCCGTGCACCTACTCTGTTGGCTAACGTATGACTGCACAAATAATGGCTACAACCTCTTGCCCCTGGATGTGAATGATACATTTAGGGTTTAGAGGCCTATTTCATATGAGAAATGGCACGGAGTGTGCTGTGCTGTTGAAATGCCCCTCCAGTGTTATCTAACTTTTCCCTACAATGTTACATTGTTGCTATTATTTGTTTCCACAAGCATCCCACATAAAACAGCTGACCACAGGGTTTAGTAGGTCACATGAATCATGGATGGTTCATTACACGTGCCTAAATGTGGAACTGTAGAATCTTCCACGCCTATCACTCATAAAGTGAATACACGCTTCTAGAAAACATAATTCGTACATGAAACAACTCAAACGTATTACATGCCAACAGCAAAACTGCCCACCACAAGTGCCAGCAGCTGTGTCCGCCTACGCATAGCGGTCGTGCCCCGTGGGTTGAGTCGCCCTCGTGGGCGCCTTTGCCATTGACCATATCCCCCCGTGCTCGGGTGGCGTGCGTGTCCTGCCTCTCACAGGCGCTGGGCTACGCCGTGGCCTGCGTGACCGTGGCAGCATTCAACAGCGGCATCCTGCAGGCCTCGGAGGCAGAGCAGGCCGTGAACCAACTACGCATCCTAGTGGAGCAGAACCAGCAGGTGTGTGAACGTGGGGAGCGGTGGCGCAATGAAGGATATCTGAACTGATCCTGGGCCTCCCCTAGGTCGACTCGGTTGAGCATGGTGCCAGGTACCCCCCCCCCCCTTCATGTGCCGTGCACGCCTTTGTACGTGCTCGCTAACAGCACTTGTCCCAACAGTCTGTTAAGGCTATACGGGGGATATTTGTATTTGTGGACTCTCTCCAGTGCCTTAGTTTGCGAAATTAGAAACGCGCGTGTTCCACTAATGCAACTACCTCTTCTTTTTCGAGGCCCTGCCAGGGAAGAGTTACACGTTACTATTCGTATTATGGTACTTTCATTTATTCTTTTTTAAATGCCTGGAATTGAAAATGCGTGACAGAGAAACTTGATATTTTAGAGCTATTGTTGACAGTAACCTCCCAATGTCTTCATTGTCTGGGTGTCTCCTCACGTCAGAGTGCCGGCTTTGCCCTGGCGCTGGGCGTCGTGGTCTGTGGGCTGGCATCGTGCGGGCATGGCTGCGCCGACGAACTGTGCACGCGCCTCATGGCCGCTTGGACCAAAATCCTCCATGCCGAGGTCAGGGCTCCTTCCGCTGCTGTGCTGTTTCCCGTACCCTCACCTGACTTCACCCATACCTTCACCTGACCCCACCTGTGTCCTCACCTGACCCCACTTCTAGATTTGAAGCTTTCGTGACTGCAAGGATCCATACTCTTTGGTTCTATTCAGTAAAGTCACGTAGGTAAAAAATAAAACAACAAAAATCACGACGTTTCGGCCACAACACAAGCGGCCTTCATCAGGTGAAGAGACCAGACTGTCTTGAGGACAGCGCTGGAGTGAAACACAGCCAAGCTCAGACCGCGACCTTTAAGCTGTGTGAGAGTAATTAAGGTGCCTTGACAAAGGAATTAGCATAAAAATTTGCATTTTAATAGGCGGCCTTAGCATGATGAAAGGTAGGGAGGGGGTTGACCTGTGCAGGCTGGCGAGGGGGCACGGCAGCGTCCACATGCTGGTGGTGTGAAAAGGGATTTTAAGCTGCGAAAGTTTGGGGTACCACTACTTGAAAAATATACTGTACCATTGAAAAATTAGTTTAATGTTTGGTTCCTCACCTAACCTCACTCCGTACCCTCACCTGGCGCCACCCCGTGCCCTCATCTGTGCCACCCGAGTCCTCACCTGACCCCACCCCATTACCTCACCTGACCCTACCCCGTGCCCTCACCTGACCCCCCACCCTATTTCCTCATCTGCCCCACTCCATGTCCTCACTTGGTGCCACATGTGTCTGGAGTTGCGTTAAGTGGTTGCTGTCTGACTTGCACATTATCATTAAACCTTAATGTTCATAGAGGTGTTTTTTTTTTATTCTGACTTCCTGACCCGAGGACATTACCACTAAAACAAATAACATAGACGTGCAACTTCATCCGGCTGTCTGAACCTCGGGCATTAACAGTGAAACCACGTAATCCTCACCTTCTCTTATTTTGCCTCTTTTGGCCTTGGGCGATACTGTGAAGCCTAGGATTCCTTTTGGGGTTTTTTTTCATCTGGCTCGGAGTTCTTCCATTAAACATGTAGACCTCAGAATCCTAAAGGTGCTTTAGTCTGGCTTCCTGCACTCTTGCCTTTTGTCTATTGAACTTATAATAATTCCAATAAAATTATTATATTAATAAATATGCTGGGTGTATTTTGAGCTGTGACTTCACAAGGCCCCTCATGCCCTTTACTTTATGTTGAGATCCATAACCTAATTTAACGTCCATGCGCTATGAAGAAAGGCCATTGCCCGAAACGTCGCCGAGTATATATTTTTTCCTTCTAAGCTCACAATGTTTTTGAGGAACGTGTTGAGTTTTAGTTTTCTGGACAGCCCATGCACGAATGTGAATGTGTGGCCCGCGAATGTGTGCAGCGATGCGCTCACGTTCACGTGCCCACTCTGCTTGTGCTGCTGGCCCCACAGGGCTGCCCCACCACGCAGAGGCTGGCTGCAGCCAGCGGACTCGCTGCACTATCTGGCTCCGAAAGCCCTCTCATCGCGGTCAGTCAGCACAAGACTCTTGTTTTATGCCTCACTAAAGATCCTCGGTATACTTTGGTGCTGAATATATGGCTTCCGATTAACAGGTTTTCCATTGAAATAAATGAGAAAAGCATTGCTTTATTTTGAGAAAGAACACACCGGTGTGCTGTACTATTGACGAATTGGCATGTTCTGTTTACGTGACAACCCTTACAAGTTTTCTGTGTCGGGTGGTGGTGTGTTTTAACGACACATTTATATATTTACGCGATCTAACCCAAAAAACCTCTTGTGGATGAAGCTTCTTCATATGACCTCATAGGCTTCTGTGATTTGAGTCGATCTTACCACAGCATCAGCGGCATCAGATAGACACATATCCCAAAACCACCAGCCCAGCCTTATATGTCGCAGTAAGTCCTCTCATAACGCATTTACACACAATGCGTGTTCATTATAACACGGTTCTTTTATCACGCGGTTTATCAGCGGTCAACGATGAAATGCTTTCTTGAGTTGCGCAGCTGAGCAGTTTGGGAATTCTGGGTACACAGTGAGGGAAAAAAGTATTTGATCCCCTGCTGATTTTATACGTTTGCCCACTGACACAGAAATGATCAGTCTATAATGTTTATGGTAGGTTTATTTGAACAGTGGGAGACAGAATAACAACAAAAAAATCCAGAAAAACGCATGTCAAAAATTGTATAAATTGATTTGCATTTTAATGAGGGAAATAAGTATTTGACCCCCTCTCAATCAGAAAGATTTCTGGCTCCCAGGTGTCTTTTATACAGGTAACAAGCTGAGATTAGGAGCACTCTCCTAATCTCTCTTTAAGAGAGTGCTCTCTTTAAGAGAGTGCTCTTAATCTCAGCTTGTTACCTGTATAAAAGGCACCTGTCCACAGAAGCAATCAATCAATCAGATTCCAAACTCTCCACCATGGCCAAGACCAAAGAGCTCTCCAAGGATGTCAGGGACAAGAATGTAGACCTACACAAGGCTGGAATGGGCTACAAGACCATTGCCAAGCAGCTTGGTGAGGTGACAATAGTTGGTGCGATTATCCGCAAATGGAAGAAACACAAAAGAGCTGTCAATCTCCCTCGGCCCGGGGCTCCATGCAAGATCTCACCTCGTGGAGTTGCAATGATCATGAGAACGGTGAGGAAACAGCCCAGAACTACACGGGAGGATCTTGTCAATGATCTCAAGGCATCTGGGACCATAGTCACCAAGAAAACAATTGGTAACACACTACGCCGTGAAGGACTGAAATCCTGCAGCGCCTGCAAGGTCCCTCTGCTCAAGAAAGCACATATACATGCCCGACTGAAGTTTGCAAATGAACATCTGAATGATTCAGAGGACAACTGGGTGAAAGTGTTGTGGTCAGATGAGACCAAAATGGAGCTCTTTGGCATCAACTCAACTCGCCGTACTCTTTGGTTCTATTCGGTAAAGTCTATGTGACTTTACCGAATAGAACCAAAGAGTATGGATCCTTGCAGTCACGAAAGCTTTAAATCTAGAATTAACTCGCCGTGTTTGGAGGAGGAGGAATGCTGCCTATGACCCCAAGAACACCATCCCCACCGTCAAGCATGGAGGTGGAAACATTATGCTTTGGGGGTGTTTTTCTGCAAAGGGGACAGGACAACTTCACCGCATCAAAGAGACGATGGACGGGGCCATGTACCATCAAATCTTGGGTGAGAATCTCCTTCCCTCAGCCAAGGCATTGAAAATGGGTCGTGGATGGGTATTCCAGCATGACAATGACCCAAAACACACGGCCAAGGCAACAAAGGAGTGGCTCAAGAAGAAGCACATTAAGGTCCTGGAGTGGCCTAGCCAGTCTCCAGACCTTAATCCCATAGAAAATCTGTGGAGGGAGCTGAAGGTTCGAGTTGCCAAACGTCAGCCTCGAAACCTTAATGACTTGGAGAAGATCTGCAAAGAGGAGTGGGACAAAATCCCTCCTGAGATGTGTGCAAATCTGGTGGCAAACTACAAGAAACGTCTGACCTCTGTGATTGCCAACAAGGGTTTTGCCACCAAGTACTAAGTCATGTTTTGCAGAGGGGTCAAATACTTATTTCCCTCATTAAAATGCAAATCAATTTATAACATTCTTGACATGCGTTTTTCTGGATTTTGTTGTTGTTATTCTGTCTCTCACTGTTCAAATAAACCTACCATTAAAATTATAGACTGATAATTTCTTTGTCAGTGGGCAAACGTACAAAATCAGCAGGGGATCAAATACTTTTTTCCCTCACTGTACGGGTGGAATACGCGGCGTGCCCTCACCTAAGGTAATATGTCCCGCCATATTACATTCCTCGCTTAACGCTTGCAGCGTTGAACCAAAGGCCTCTCTTTCATCAGTGGGATTAGTTAATGAGTAAAACTCGAGTTGTTAAGCCAGATGGATGTTGGATGCATCACCAGAGATAGTTTTGTAATGTTTATAACAACATTATCACTTCCACAGCTGAAGACGGATGCGCTCGAGTCACCCCAGTGCCAAGCGAGGCTTGGTGGGGCCATCAAATCGCTCACTCAGGTCTTGGACTAATGGCACAACAGCGCTACATAAAGACCACACGTATTGCCTCTTCATGGTCAAGAGTTAAAGGATCAGCTCAAATGAGTATAGAGTACTCTTATCCATTGGACGTTCCACGAGTGGAAAATTCCACATTCTTATGGCACGAAGCGATATTCATTTTAATGCCTACAAAGGGATGGTTGATGGGTTGAGGCAACCCCTCACTGGGATTTGACCTCACAGCTTTGTGGATTGTGAGTAGATAAATCTAGCCACAGTTACCTAGCCAGATTAGGGAAGCAGCATTCAATAAATGTTGAAGAAAACATAAATATAGAGATGTAATTGGGAATTGTTGTTTCATTATCAACCCAAAACTCCATGACTGCCTTTTAGTGTGTGCTTTACTTGTGTTTGTGGTTATTTCCATGCATAGCGCCCTGAGAACGACTGTGTCCCATATGTGTGTCTCTCTCTGTAAGTCTCTGTGCTAACTCTCTCTGCATAGATGTCTATATATGTGTCTGCGATCTGTACTCTATCACTCTCTTAAATTTAGCAATCCTTAGAGGAACGTAATCAGCCAGGTAGAGTGTTGACTGTTATGTTGGCCTGCTATCTACGCTGTATTGTATATTCCTCTAAGTCTCTGCTTCTTCTCTCTCTACTTGTCTGTTTTTTGTGTCTCTGTATATAGGTTCTTATCTCTCTCTCAAATTTTCACACTTAACCTATAATTTAGCAATCTTTGAAATGACGTAATCAACCAGAACATGCGTTAATTGTGTTTTGACCGACCCTCTGTGTTGCATAATAGTTTCCAAATTTTACTAAATCGTGTTTGATTTGATGGGCTTCTCCATCTCTCTTTGTCTCCCCTACATGCTAAGGCCTCGGCACAGAGACCCTATCTCTCTGTGCTCCATACGTGTCTCTCTTTGTGTCTCTGTGTTAACTCCCTCTACTTAGGTGGCTGTATATATCTGCGGTTCTGTGTTTCCTCTCTCTCTTAAATTTTAGCTCTTTTGTGCCTGATGATGATTGCTTGCGTTGCAATCGAAACGTCGTATGCTATTATGTAATTTTATTATTTCTACGTGACTTTACCGAAAAAACCAAAGAGTAATTCCTGCAGTCACGAAAGCGCCAAATCAAGTTTGTTTAAGGGTGCTTTATAAATTTAAATTATTATAGTGCCGTGCTTTGCTCGTTTTGTGTGGTTATTGTTTGTGCTGTGCTGTTGTTTGGTTATCATGTCTCTACTGTACTCTTGTGTGTGGTTGTTTCTTTGCTGTGCTTGTGTAGTTATCATGTCTGTGCTGTCCTCGTGTGTGTCTAGAGCGTATGTGCTGTGCTCTCTAGTAGGCATCATAGGTTCTGTGACGTGTCCGTCTACAGGTGGTGAGTGCGTCTGATGCTGTGGGGCTTCAGAGCAACGCTGCGTGGCTCCTGGGTCATCTGTACCTCTCGTCTAGCGCCACCATGCACGGCCGTGCTTCTGGTAAGTCCTCTCCCAGTACCTTTGGGCAGGCCCTCGCTCGCAGCTCCGCGTCAGGTCAACTGTCCTCTGTGTCCCTGCTTACCAGTGGAGTTTACTTTTGTCCGCGCTCTGCATCTCTGCGTGTGCCTCTTCCATCCGCAGTGCCACCGGACTTTGACTACCTGCCCAGCAGTAGCGTCATCAAGGCCGCGACGGCGTTCTTGATTGAAGCCGGCCGTAGAGGTATGGATTGGCTGTGTGATCAGTGCTCTGCATACACAACTGCCCCGACAGCGACTCTCCTCCTCCTTCCATATTAGAAATTAATTTGTAAGTTACTTAGCTTTGTTGCTTTGTCTGAGAACTGAACAGCAGATATTTGTAAATTTGGTCAGTGCAAAGTTCTATGGTCCATGGAGTTCGTAGGCACAGTCACACACAGACAGGAGCTCTGTGTGTGTGAACCAAGTGTGTATAGCTTTGTGTGTGTGAGCCAGGTATGTCTTTTATTCCCACTCACAGTTAACATTGGTGATGCATATCTAAATCGATTTTGGGCCTCCCCTTGGTCGACTAAGCCTTAAATCAGGGTGCAGTGTCTTAACATCAGCACTGGGGATACAAAGGCGGCCAGGCGTGGTGCTTTCCACCCACCGCCTTGTGTGCTATGTCGACCTTAATAGTTGTTTGCTAATAGCACTTGCCTCAACAGTCTGGAAAGGTTATATGGGGGATCTTTGTGTTTGTGTTGCCCAGGTGTGTGTAGCTGTGTGTGGCCTCTTGTGTGGCAGGTCCCGAGGCTGTGTCTGCTAGCTTGGTTGCTGTAGTCCTGGGGGCTCTGGCGGCTGCTGCCTCCAACCATCAGTTCCCCCCTGTGAACTGGCCGGGGCTGCTGACTCCACTGCTGCGCCTGGCCTTTGGTGAGAACCCTGTATCGCCGGTGATCCCTTAGCGACGTGCACGCGGCAACTTGCCAGGATGCAGGGCACCGAGCTACATCGGTGCAGCACACGGTGCAGCACTAACAGTGCTTGCTCCAAGAGTTTATAAGCGTAATGGTGAATCTTTGTACGTCTGTATATATGTTGGAGCATGTAAGAATGTGTTCATAATGTAGGTTTTTATGTATGTGTCTTAGTTTTTGAGTTGATATTCTGACTTCCTGGATTGTAATTCTCACTTCCTGGATCTTATCCTGAAGATGATTGATGCAGTTTCAAGCAAAACGACGTATATAATTGCTCAATTTGGTTGTGATAATTGTTCTTTAACTTACCTTTTGAGCCAAAACAATAATTGTTAAACGCTTGTAGACATGACTACTTAATTTGTTTGGCTGTGTCGAGTGGTGGAGTATCTCAATGACACAAAGTTGTTCAAATCATTATGGCCTAACCCAAACATCTATTATGAATCATGTGTATGTGTGTATGATGTTTTGAGTTTATATGTGCACATGCATGTAAATATGTATGTTTGCATGTGGGGAGTGGTGGCAGAGTGGTTAGTGCCCTGCGCCTCAAACCCGGCGACCCAAGTTCGATTCTCACTAACGGCTAATACCAGTGATGATTATCTGAACCGATCCTGGGCCTACCCTAGGTTGAATCGGCCTCAAATGTCTAGCTGGTGTGGTGTGTGAACATCGCCACTCGGGAAATAAAGGAGGCCGGGCGTGGTGCTGGCCACCCACCCCCTCGTGTGCCATTCCAGCCTTCATAGATGCTCGCGAACAGCACTTTCCCCAACAGTGTATTAAGGCTATTGGAGAATCTTTGTTTTTGTGTGTGCACACACCTGCGTGTGAATATTTGTGTTAAACAGGAGAGGTCGTGCAGCACTTGGCCATCCAGCTGGCAGTGGCACAGGCGAATGCCTCCCAGAGTGCATCGGTGTTCCTGGCTGTGTGGGTGGCAGCTCCACTGCTGCACAGCCTTGCGGTGCGCTCGTACGACTGTGAATCACACGCTCACTCGCTCAGTGTCTGCTTTGGGCCTTTATCTTCCTTTTTACGTGACAATACATCAAATAATATGGTCACCTCCTGACCAGTATAATAAATTATTACTCTAGTACATTTGGTATTCACACCATTCTTAGCTCAAGGCTATGACGAATGAAGGTGCTGTGTTTTACAGACAAGTTTTCAGTAGTTTCACAGTAGGGGCGATGTTTCTGTTTGTGGTCACATCTTAATAACTACCTTCCCTCAGACGTACTGCAGATAGACTCCGGAGTCCAGGAATTGTGTTTCCCCACAAACAAATGATTTTCTTACAACGACTGCAGCCCTGATCTTTCTTGCTGTCTGTGTCACTATAGCCTCGCTGTCACATTGCCGTATGTGTGTGCGTGTGACACTGCAGCCTCGCTCTCTCATGCTGCCTGTGTGTGTCACTGTAGCCTCGTTTTTACATGGCTGTCTGTGTATGCGTGTGTCACTACAGCCCTGCACGCGGTCCTTCCTGTGCTCCTCCTTGCCGCTGTGGATGAGGCACGTGCCACAGGACAAGATGGAGGCATTCCTGGACAGTGCCTGCACGCAGGCTGGCGGAGACCAGCTAGCCCTGCTGCAGGGCCTCCGCGACGCCCTGCGGCTGCCCAATCTCCCACATTACTGCTGGTCGGCACTCAGTGCCGCCACCGAGAGGGCCTACGTCGATCTCCCTGTGGAAATCCAGGTGCGGTGCCCGGCTGTGAGCTCGCGTACGGCCTTCGAACAAAGCCGTAAATGGGGGAAGGTCATCGAGGTCAAGATGAAGAGGTCATCATGGTTATGTTAACATGTAGGCTTTCGCGACCAATATTATCCATAGTAAAAAAAATGTTGGGGTTAGATTCCATGCTAGATCCCATGTTCAACTCGATTAGGGTCATGCACATGCATAGTCCCTCCATATTTCATGGACTCATTCTGTTGTACCACAGCACTCGCCGGAGGTGCGGGGGAAGGACAACAAACTAAACACAAAAATCTATTCTCAAGAAATTAGTTTTCAACACAAAAACAAGTCCTTATCACCACCTGAAAGTAAAGAACTGCATCAGTTGTAAAAAACCTCCATGTGCTTGAGCTGCTCCACGTATTACGAGCGTGAGAATGAATATTAACCGGCGAATCATTACGCGGCTGTTAAAACGATGCTGGCGCACGCGCTGTGCTGCTGTGACAGGAGTGCCGGCTGGAGGAGTACCAGCTCATGGCTCACTGCCTGTCTCAGCTGCCTGACGCAGACATCGACCGCATCACTCACGTGGGCACGGTGAGCACCGCGTGGCTCCGCTCCAATCGCTGCCCTCGTCTCAAGGACCCTCGCAAAAGATGTTTTGCCCCATGGCTCGTCGCATGTTTCAGCCCAGTTAATGTTACTATGATAACTTTAAAAGGGCCTTTCTAATGCAAATAAACTCTCTCCAGATTATACGTATTTAAATCGTGAACAATTGGAGTTGTTCACTTCCTCTTCTATTCCTTCTCACATTTAAATATAATTAAAATTTATTTAATCAGTTATATTTTATTAGCCGAAAAACCCTTGCTGAGTCTCAAGGACATTTTTTTGAGCCATGCTCTCCACAGAAAGTCCATGAATTAGATAGAATATAAATGATTATATATATACCACTAGTTCACAAGAGCACGTCCTGCTTTTTTCTGATAACTGTGTAGGTCATCAGGGATGGGAGTCTCTCACGTGCATGATGATCCTTGTGTGATTCACCAACTGTACCTCCAAAGCACTGTATCCTCAGCATGCTGACCCACACCCTGCGAAATCAGGTTATGGCTTTTGAGCCACCCTTCAGCCATTCACTTCCCCTCCCAGCCTGCCCCCTTGTTCAGCATCATTCCCGCCCTGCCCTTGTGATTTCTCACTCAACCGCCCACTCACTCGCTCACCTGGCCGCTTGTTCACCCGGCCGCTCGCTCGCCCACCCGCCGGTCCGCCCACTCCCTCGCCCGCTCGCTCACTCGCCCACTCGCGTACCCACCGCTCACTTACTCAGGAGGGCCTGCTCAAGGCCACGCTGCTGCGGGTCCTGCTGGTGGCCGAGGGCCGGGTGCCTCTGGTTGGACTCAACGACAGCATAAACTGTGCCGTCGGGCACCCGCAGCACCGAGCCGTGCTGTGGCTCCTGCTTCAGGGCCTGCACCAGGCTCGCTTCACGCAGCACGAGCACACGGGTATGCACGCACATACGTGCGCACTCATTTGTTATCGATTTTAGGGTTAGGCCACTTCATGATCTGGCCAAATGTCTGTCGTTAAGACCCTCCACCAACCGACACAGCCAGACAGACATGCAAGCGTTAGCATGCCGATTCTCCTTGTTGCAGGAGTGCAGAACCGGCTGGAGTGGCTGCTGGAGCTGATGGGTCACGTGAGGAACACAGCGGCTGGGCCCGACACGGAGGGCAACGCCACGCAGCAGCAGGTACCACAGTTCCCTGCGGAACTACCCCATACCCACTCACCCATGGCATCCCAGCATACGATCACACCCACTGTATGCCGTGGCACACTCGTGCCCACGGAATATGGTCACCCACGATACTCCGCCGTACCCTCACAATCCTGATATCCTGACAGCCATCATATTCTGATACCCATGGTAACTTTATGGTCTCCGAAATTCACATGGCTCTGATGCTCCTTGGTACGGTCCTGACACAAGTGGTTCTTCGAAACTCATGGAACAGGGACACTGACGGTATCCTGACATCATAAGGTAGACAACCATGACACTTTAAGGTACCCTAATAACCACGATATCCTAACATCCACGATACACTCACACCCATGGTACCTAACAACCATGGTACTTAACAACCACGGTACTCTGACGGTAGTGTTACCCTGACACCCACAGTCCATCGAGAGTCACGGTAGCTTGACTTTGCATGGTACGCAGACACCCATTGTACCCGGGTATACGCTGCCCATGGTAAACATCTCAACAGCCTGACATTTGAGACGGCGGGGTCCCTTTGTTGCTGTCCTGAGCGCTCACGCGAAGCCTCTCGTCCTCCGCTGCCGCGCAGGCGGTGGAGTTGCTGCTGCGTGTGTTTGCAGCGGCGGCGCTGGCCTGGGCCGACCTCTCCTCATGCCTCCTTGCCGCGGCGTCCCCCTGCTGGGGCCCCGACACCACCACCACCGAGGAGCCCCCCGGCCCGGGGGCAGCCCCCTTGGGGTCGCCGGGGTTGGCTCTGGGTTCGAGGGACGAGGACGGGTTGACGGTGGAAGACTGCCTCCGGCTGATGCCGCTCACCCTCCCGCAACTAATGCAGAAGGAACCCTGGAAGCAGCAGGCGGATACGGTGAATGGCGGCAGGGCGGCGTGGGACGATGCTCGTGCCTCACGGCAATAAGGGCCGGCCGGTCGGCCGATGTCTCATGCAATATGCTGATCTCTTTATGATCCACTAACCCCACCACTGAAGCGCTTGAGTAATGGAGCTCCCGACACATTAATCAGAAAAGAAAGGGCCATTGTCCCAGACATCAGCCTACTGCACACATGTCCATTACCAGGCTGTTATTGAGCGATGCATTGAGTGTTCCTAGATCGTATGTCTGAACACCACTGTCAACAGTCCCTGCACTTTTTCTGTTGATTTTATTTTTTTGTCTGCTGGCTAATGGAGTTTGTTTAATCACTTAAGAGAAAAAACATTGAACCCATTGGCTCATGGCTAGTGGGCCAGAGGGCCCATCTGGATGGACGTTGCCCAATGGTTTACACATTTTTGTTTCAGCAGTTGATCACACCCCCTTACTCGTGTCTGCATTGTAAGACGTGCTGTGCGGTGACGACGATGTTTATAGGCAGCACATCGGATCAAGTAAGGCCGCCAGTCTTTCCTCATGACAACTGGTAACTTTCTACAAAGGGGTGTCATTTATCTTTTTAATCCGTGACGGACAGAGGGACCAAGTCAGTCTCTGAAATGGGATGATCACTTCTAATCTTACCAGCTCATTGCCAGCCAAATACGCATCATGTGACCCTTGTCGACATTGTTCTCTTGCTGCCCTATTCTGAATAAGAACGAGGGTGGTTAAAATCTTGTTTTGCATCACAATTAGACTTTTAAGGCACACAGAATCTGCTCACTCTCAAAGAGAGACTGACTCACGTTGTGCTTTACCTTGTGAAAATATGGTAAAGAACCAGTTAATATTATTTTGCTATACATAGAGAAACGCCTAGAACAATAAACACAATACGTCTTTGTAACTGGGAAACTAGGGCAAATGTAGCACGTGGTGACTTAAGGCCACCGTGTGGTTTGTCTTCCAGTGATTTATTAGTGACGTTCCACTGGAAAGTTTCCAGTTCCTGATTTTTTTAAAGTGGTAACGAATTCATAAAATGGTTACCGGTTATCGTTGAACAGAGCTGAGTAAGAATGTAAAGGAAGCTCGCTTGCTTTGCTCCATTTTGACTTTCAGTTCATCGAGTGGTTGGTGGCCATCGACGAGAGTCCGGCAGGGACCATGACAGCCGCGACGCGCACCCACGTCACAGGTACGCCACGCCCTCGGGGGGCGGGGCTCCCTGTGGTGTTGGCAACACGGCACATCAAGGCTTGGGTTTTTCTTAATCTTCAGTGTAAATCTGTAAAGTAAAAATAGTGATGGACTATAAAAGAGCTTTTTGAAGCCAGTTTGGTATTGTTCCTCGCAATGGTTGCCGTGTGCCGATACACGGTGGCACCCCACATCACTGTTACAAATATCTTAACCAAAAGCAGCCGCCAGCATTTTTTAAAGGAAACGGCAGGGAATGTGGCCCGCAGGATGAAGAGGTTTCATCCCAGGACCCCTACGTTTACTTGTTCACCACTGCTTGTGCATTATCCATCCATTCATATTTGGCCGGCAGGCCGGTGTAGTTGTAACACTCGTGTATCGCAAGTACATAACTACGTGGTAATGTTATTTTAATTTTATCTAGGAAAGCCCCACTTAGTCAAAATACATTTGTCAGCAGCATCTTGCCTGGGTTGTATGGATGGCCAATTCCCCATTGAGAATTTAGTGTGCATGAGAAAAGTGCAATACCCAGAGAATACACAGAACCTTGAGGAGAAAACACCCAAACATCTATACAAATGGATTATCAACCTACTTTGTGCTGCCATCTTCTGGCCACCTAGTCTTGCAATATGGAAGTCTCAGTAATCTCTGTGATAGCGATCAAGACCACCTCCAGAGCACTGAATTATACGTAGATGCGCACATACTCTCCATTAAATCCAGCGTTAGTTCGGCTCCACTGAGAGGGACACAGATGTCGAGCCACATGATTCAGCACTAATCCCAAAATGTTGGAACGTGAGCTGAAACTTAAAAGGAGGTAAATCTGTGCAGCATTCCCATGAAAATGAACGCACGTGCAATTGCCAATTATTTTTAAAAGCCAGCGTGTGGTACCGTAAGCCATGCTTTCCATGAGGCACGACGAGGAGTGTTTAACACAGCTCGTGTCTGGCTTCCGGCAGCGTGTCTGCTATCGCTGCGCACCCTGCCAGCGTACCGCAAGCTCTCTGTGTGGACCAGGGCCTACCACTGGTGATGCCAAGTGACCAACTGCCGACTCGCCAACGCCGATACGAACAGGAACGCTTGGGTAATGAATGTGGTGGCCTCAAATAAACTGAAACTGGCTCAATGCAGCTGGGAGACTCCAGGTGACTACCTGGCCGTGCTCAAGATATTTATTTTCAAAATCAAGAAGCCAGCGCTGTTGATGCCACTGCATTTATGGCAGATCTTAGAACTGTAATGCAGTCAACACCCAACATCTGAGGTCTCCTGCAGTCTTAACATCTGGAAAACCTGACCTCTCCTTGCTACACACGTGCGACTACGTCTGCTTATAATGGATGCATTGGGCTGTTTTCGTATGCACGTACGCATGCTTTAATGCACCTACTCAGCAGTTGGTAAATGCACAGTGCCTTAGTATCTGGCATCTATACGCATCGCATAATGCCAAAACTCAAGGTGTGAGATTGTGCAGTAACAAATGATGTAAATCGGTATGGGTGACAGAAAATAAAATGCAACAACACTAAAATGCTAAATTTTAAGTGCATTTGTCTGCTCGGAGTCCACTGAGTGTTTCCAAATGACATTGTTTCTGTCCTGATAGCCTGTCGGGACACGGGCAAGTGTCGTGTGCCAGGGAATACTCAGGGATGTTGACGGAGGATTAAGTGCTGTTTCCTTGGGCCCCAGTTGGGGACATGTTGTTGTGTCCGAGTTCTGAGTAGTTGGCTTTGATGCCAGGAGGGATTGGGTCAAGGAAACTCCCGTGTCCGAGTGTATGGAGGGCAGCGGCCGAGGAGGAGTCCGTGTGGGTTCCAGCAGCCAGGGTTTATGTGAATACTGTACAAGACAGAAGTTGTGAAAGTTGTAGAGGGAGATAACAGGTAAGAGGCTTCTGTGGCAGTAACCAAGTATGGTGAGATATAATTAAATATACTCCCCTTACACGCAGTGTGGGTAATCCGTTACCCAGCACTGGATTGCCCTAATGCAGGGGTCCCCAACCCCCGGGCCGCACAGCAGGAGGCGAGCGGTGAGTCCGCGTGTGGCACGCCCATTATTTTATTGACCACTTCCGTCCGCGCCTCTTTCCCGCACTGCGCACTTGTCTCAGTCACAGTTTTGGTAAGCCCACAAGCTGATCCCCAGTAGCCAAAATGAGTAAAAGACAAACGTCACTGGAGAGCTTCTTTGAAAAGGGGGAAAGACCCAATTATGAACCCCCCCCCCCCCCCCCCGTCCATGAAAAAAATTGTCTTCCACGAAACCGGTCCCTCGTGCCAAAAAGGTTGGGGACCGCTGCCCTAAGGGCTGTGCATGGTACATTAGCAAAAGCGTGGCCTCGGTATGAACTGCCAATTCTGGGAAAGCAATGAATTGGAATTGGTTACCTTGAGGCGTCGCTCAACAGACCAATGACGCCAATAACGCAGGATACACTTCATGAAAATCACAGTTAGGAATGCTCTTTGCAATTTATACATTGTAAATATAACATTTCACTCGCAGTAACAAACACCTGCTATAATCACCCAGGAATGTCTGTCCTGAACGCTCGTGACGTCACTGCACATCGACCAGCCTCCATTAATAATCATGAGCAAGTGACGTCCTCCAAATGGACCCCCCCCCCCAATTATTACCTACTATGAGCCAATAATGTGTGCAACTCTAGATTTGAAGCTTTCGTGACTGCAAGGATCCATACTCTTTGGTTCTATTCGGTAAAGTCACGTAGGTAAAAAATAAAACAACACAAATCACGACGTTTCGGCCACAACACAAGCGGCCTTCATCAGGTGAAGGGATCAGGCTGTCTCGAGGACAGCGCTGGAGTGAAACACAGCCATGCTCAGACCGCGACCCTTAAGCTTTGTGCGAGGAAACAAGGTGCCTTGACAAAGGAATTAGCATAAAAATTAGCATTTGATTGGCCGACTTAGCAGAGGTGGTGTACGGGTACATATGCCGGTTGGCGCGGGCGGGGGGGGGGAGTTTACCTATTGATGGTGTGAAGGGGGAATTTAAGAGCTGCGAAAGTTTGGGGTACCAAAATAACCCTACCAATAGCCTAGCGATAAAAACCAACAAGATCATCACAAGTTCGACCTCCCTAAACGACCCAACTAAACGTCCCTCCCTAAAACCTTCTGCTGCAAGTCCCCCTAGATTCTATGGTCTTCTCAAGATTCATAAAGAAGGCACCCCACTACGACCCATCGTATCCACGATCAACTCCCCTACCTATAGACTGGTCCGTTTTCTGTCAGATACCTTGCTGCCTTTCACTGGCAAGACCGCCTCAGCAGTACTTAACTCAGCCCAATTGGTCTCTATGGTCAAAGACGTTGTACTGTCCCCTGACGATATCCTTGTCAGCTTCGATGTGGTCTCTTTGTTCACCAAGGTCCCAGTGCCTGATACCATTGAAATAATTGAAAATTTGGTCCAACATGGACTAGACCCCGATACACCTGCACTGGTTAGGCACTGCCTCAACAATACCTACTTTACTTGGAATGGCTCTTTCTACAAACAAAATGAGGGTACCCCCATGGGATCCCCCTTGTCACCAGTGATAGCCAATATTTTCATGGAGAAATTTGAATCAGACGCCATCCAGACTTCCACCCTCAGACCTTCCCTGTGGAAGAGATATGTGGATGACACTTTCGTCATTTCGCCACATGGCCTCCCAGCTCTGAACCTTTTCCTACACCACATCAATTCCAGACATCCCACCATCAAATTCACCATGGAGGTGGAGAAAGATGGCAAGCTACCATTCTTGGATGTTCTGTTTGAGAGGAGACCTGATGGCTCATTGCGGCATTCTGTCTACATGAAACCTACCCACACGGATTCCTACTTGAAGCCTGATTCCCACCACCACCCAGCCCAGAAGAATTCTCTCATCAAAACTTTATACCATAGGGCTCATTGCATTTCGGACCAACACCACCTGACCAGTGAATTAAAACATGTACACCTGGCCCTTAAGAGAAACGGATAGTCTGACCGTACCATCCGCCAAGCTGTTTCTCCCTCCATACAGAAACAACCACTTGATACTACGGTCAAAACCATCACACTACCATATATAGCAGGCGTTACTAAAAGGATTTCCAAAATTCTAAAGAAACACAAGATCCAGGTCCGGTTCAATACAGTACACAAAAGTTGTGATCTGATCCCATCCGTGAAGGATGTCATTCCTGACTTACAGTACCCCGGGGTTTACAAATTGAGTTGTACCTGCGGTGATTGCTATATCGGGGAGACAAAGCGACATGTCTCTGACCGAATTCGCGAGCACAAATCAGATTTGAAACACGGCAGAACAAATTCTTCTGCCGTTGCTGACCACTGTTACAACGCTGTGGGTGATCACGATATAATTTTCTCCGATACCAAGGTTCTTTGCAAACCCACGGGTTTTTATCAGAGATTTGTTCACGAGGCAATTTAGATCTACAAGCACAGACACAATTTCAACCGAGAAGATGGTTTCAAATTAAGCAACTATTGGAAAGATGTTCTAAATCGAACCAAACATTAAACTAATTTTCAATGGTACAGTATATTTTTCAAGTAGTGGTACCCCAAACTTTCGCAGCTCTTAAATTCCCCTTTCACATCATCAATAGGTAAACTCCCCCCCCCCCCCCCCCCCCCGTGCCAACCGGTATGTGCACCCGTACAACACCTCTATGCTAAGTCGGCCAATAAAATGCTAATTTTTATGCTAATTCCTTTGTCAAGGCACCTTGTTTCCTCGCACACAGCTTAAGGGTCGTGGTCTGAGCATGGCTGTGTTTCACTCCAGCGCTGTCCTCGAGACAGCCTGATCCTTTCACCTGATGAAGGCCGCTTGTGTTGTGGCCGAAACGTCGTGATTTTTGTTTTATTTTTTACCTACGTGACTTTACCGAATAGAACCAAAGAGTATGAATGTGTGCAACGCTCGTGACATCACTCCACGTCGACCAGCCTCCATTAATAATTTCAGGTGACGTCCTCCAAATGGGCACCCCCCCCGCCCATTAATAATAATTAGCAGCTGACATCACTCCACATGGGGGGCCGAGGCGCCTCTTCCCCCCTCCTCAGCGTCAACTTACAATCCTCACTACAAAGGCAGAACCCTCACGTCACGCGATCTCCGTAACGCTGTTGAGACATCGAAGTAAAAAGGACGTCATGATGAACAAGGGATTATAACCTTTACATGAAATAAGTCTGTCACCACGCCCTTACATATTGCACACACATTGATGCAATGAATATCACGTCGCGTTCTGCTTTTCGCTTGCAAGTTTCAGATTTACTGCAATACACCCATCCTTGGACAGGCAAAAGGCTAGTTTGTAATATTTTCAAAAATAGTAAAATTAACATAATTTAATCCAAAACACATTGGTATGTATTTAAATTAACATAATATTTATTCCATTGACCTGCAAGCCAAGCTTTGGAGGTAAAAATCTCCAATGTTGTATCATAATGCAAATGTAGACCTCTAGTGCACCCACAGAGGAAACCTCTTACAATCTTCTCGATAGTTCTAGAATTATCACCAGGCCTGCAATCATCACCCTGGCTAAGGCAAGAGTTGGGCATAGTTACGACAGCAGACTAACTTTAAAATCCACCGAGATCTGATAAATCTTCTAATCAGCTTAAACAACAGACTCTTGTACAGGTATATCTGAAAACATTTTTCTTACGAATAACCTAGTGACATTTGAAATGAAAAGTAGCCCTGCTTATTACAATGTGATTGCGATTGGCAGTGGTGTAGAAGCCCACGCTGTACACATGAGCTATCACCGCCACCCTCACTGCCTCGAGTACAACAATGTATCATCTAATCAGTCTTTAAACTTAAATTTAACATTACCCTGGCACGCACATATACACGTCACAAGTGTGACGTGTTCCCATAGGATGTCAATAGATCTTTAGTGTCCACAGCAGGTGCCACACCTTGGTAATTCCCTGCAGGAAATTCCACACAACAGCTGCGAGTCCATCCATTGACCTGGTTCAGTGCAGAGCACACCGACTACTGGGCTATCCAGTCACCAATAAACACATCTTAGACTCCATAAACAGAGCACACCAGCACAAGGTGTTGTCTCGCAATTACGAGGCACTGTGATATTATAATTTACCAAAGCGGTGCTATGGCTAAAGTGTTGACAATTGGATAGTTTTAATCTTGATTATGAAGCTTTCGTGACTGCAGGAATCCATACTCTTTGGTTCTTTCGGTCAAGTCACGTAAGTAGAAAAAGCAAGAAAAAGCTGCTGCAGTTTTTTCTTGCTGAAGTCCCACCTGATGACGATTGCTTGTGTTGCGATCGAAACGTGATCGATTAATTTTCTACCTATGTGACTTTACCGAAAGAACCAAAGAGTATGGATAGTTTTAAGTTAAATTCTTTCGGGGTTGATTAAATGAGTACCACTCTTTTGGAGTTAACAGTGATTATGAGGAGACTGGTCCTCACCACAGGAATGTGGAATTCCCATAACTGGCTCAGAGCTTCCCCACCTTCATGAAAAACACATCCATTTGGGTTGCCTGGATGCTTTTTGACTGCAGTAGCGCCGCTGTGCGTTACATTGCGCAAGAGAAGCGCAGCCCGTGCAGCGCGATAAACAATCCTGCATTGGGCAAACGATCCATTCCACGTGAACGGTCCCACAGCGCCATCCGGGCCACAAGCAAATCACGGTTGTAGCCAACGGCGCTGCTCGCGGGGGGCATTTGTGCTGATGCTGCACGACACGGCTCACTCATCGAGATCCTTCACGCAGTTCTCCACAATTTCACGCAGGTTGGGGTTCTCCATGGCGGCTGCGATCCGCTCCTTGTCGTTGATCTGTTTGTTGACTGCGCAGAGACCACAAGGGGATACAGGATTTACTCGTTCCACCGGAGCCTACAGTAGCGCATCCAAAGCTGAGTGCGTCAAATACTTAATAGAGCATTCTTTGCATTTGGAGATTTGTGCATTCCTCAGTGTGGATAGGAGTTCCGCGATAGGAACGTGTTAACTTATCGTCTTTCCCATGGGAAGATCGGACTCACTCTCGTGTTCTGTGGCGTGCGTTCCCTTTGCAATGTAGATCTCCAGCTGGAAAAATAATAAACATCACAGTTGACTTCCAACATCTATAAACACTACAATAGTGCTTTAACATTAAACTACACGTATGCAACAATTACATTCCAAGTTGAATTATTTCCCAGGATTAGCTCCACATGCGAGTCTAAGCACAGATGACACTTCACACGTCGATGGGTCTGCACTGAAGCCCCACCTTGTGTTTGAACGGTAAGCATCTTTCCAGCTTTACGCGTAAACAGAGACCTGAAAATACAACACACACATGTAAGCACGAGACAATGATATGTCGCAAAGTCTTTTACGTAAAAACACAATCACACTGCATACACATTATTAAATAATGTCAAGCAGTACATGCACAGCTATGAGATTTGATGGGCATGTGTGCATTATTTGTCATGCAATTTTGACCAGTTTGTCCTGGGTGTGCGATTTACATTGTCTTGAACGTTGTTATAAATAGACATGCACCTTTTTGTAATAGCCCTGATGAAAATCATCCTGAGAAGGAGAACACTTGACGTTGCCACCACATACACCCTCAGCAGCCACTTGCCATTATAGATTCCACCGCACAATTCACGCAGCTCAATTTCTCAGCCCCCAAATAATCGAGCCACTGCATGCCCACCAAGATCCTTGCCACACCCTCCTGCTCCACAAGACATGCTGGGACATTGCCATACACTACACAGCCACATGCAGCTCACGCTACAGAATTAGGACTGCATACTCCTCGGCACGTCCGGCAGCATTTAAATGCGGTCACATTTACGGTCACATTGTACGTCTAGCAAGAGGAGTTTAACACAATAAAACTCTTCCATGCAATGCCGAATGCCACCATCCCATGTAACACCCATAAGCACAGCTGGCACCACTTTACCAGCTGTAGCCGTTTCTCAGTGTGAGTGTAGAAACCCTCCGATTGCGAGTCAAGTTGCTCTGAATACTGCAACCCGGCCAGATGTTCTTTATTTGGTGTGAATTTCCAATGTAAGTGCTCTCGCTGCAATGTACTTTGCACCACTAATCGCTGTAGCCCGGATTACCACATCTTAAGGTAGTCATTCATGAATCTGGAGAAGAACACTCCTCCTCCTTGAGGCTCTTCGTGGTGCCCTCAGTATCTTCGTGAATGCTCCAAGAGCCATGGACAATCCAACCGGCAAGGTTGACGAACCACAAACGACGGTTGCCACTCGCAAATCTCTGACTCTTGGGATGAGCTCAAAACGTCAAAACGGTGGTTGTAGAGATGTGTCATGGGCGCAACCCTTTGTGATCTCTTGTTCTGCCCACGTGCACAAGGCTTGGGTTTGTATTTAGCCTGAAGTTGTGATGTTGCTAGTGCCATTGCTCGATGCTTATGTGAGCAATAATATCCGCTGGCTAAAGCACTGGCCAGTTTATAACCCGAGATGCACCGACCTGATGGATTCACACCAGGTCAGGTGCGCACGGTGGACAAATGGCCAAGTCTGTCATGTTGGTTACCAAGAGAATCTTATATTTAAAGAGAGAAAGGTTATCGGGGCCTTGATGGGGGGAACACTGTGGCAGTTAACTGCAAGCCCACAGCTCGGGACTGACGATAGAGTTATTTATTATTTCCAAAACACACAACCTAACAAAACCCCCATTTCCAGCTCGCAAATGCGTACACAGCTTATTTAGCGTCCACACGCTGTTACCCCGTGTACTTTTATTAAAAACATCTCTTACGTGCGGTTTTGTCCATAAATTAGATCTCGTATTACAGTGTTTTTAACATGGTTGTTTTTTGCGAACACAGCAGTTACGGAGGTGTCACCTTGAGACCGTTAAATAGACCGTAGCTTCTGATACCACGCGACGTCAGGTGGCGCATGACAGACGCACCGTGTCCCGGAGTTGACGTCTGTGCAGCCCTCGCTGTCAGGAGCTCTCTGGCCATACGGTCCACACAGCAACATGCTGCCACTGCAGTTCAGGAACTTCCTTTTCTACGGGCTGTTGGCACTGGGTGGTTTGTTGGGTAACACGACCGTCATGGTAGTGACTCTGCAGAACCTCTCCAAGCTACCCACAGCCGACCTGCTCTTCGTGCTGCTCGCCACGTGCAACCTCATCAACAACCTCCTGCGCCTCGGCACCTCCCTGTCGGAGGCGACGGGAACGTGCCTGCTCACGCGCGCCGGCTGCCCGCTCTACTACTTCACCGTCCGCTTCACCGAGGTGCTGGCCATCTGGATCACGCTGCTCGTCAGCGTGTTCCGCCTCGCCAAGGTGCGCAGCCCCTTCGGCGTGAACGCCGTCCTGGGCCGCATGATGGAGCAGCGACGCTGCGCCGCGGCTATCGGTTCTGTGTCCGCATTGCTTGGCGCGCTGCTGCACCCGCTGCTCCAGTTCACGATACCGTTTGACGGCAACGGCAGCGTGCCCTGGTGCCAGTGCATCATAGAACCCTCCAGCTACTACGTTAGATACTCCATGTCCACCATCCTGCTGATCTTTCTGGAGGTTTTGCCCACGGTTTTGATGGTGGTCACCAACGTGAGGACCATCTGCTTCCTGCGTGCCACCAAAGTGCAGTGGCAGCAGGGCGGCTGGGCCACGAGCCGGCCGTTCTGTCAGGAGGTGCGAGCTGTGAAGCTGCTCACCGCCCTGGTCTGCGTCTTCTTGTTCAGCTGGGGCAGCCATGCCACCAGCATCGTGTTCGCCACAAGCAATCCGGCCCAAGTGAACCCCCAGTTGGTGCAAGCTGTCCGCATTCTCTCCACCATGTACGCTTCCCTGAGCCCCTACATCATCGGCTTGGGCAACCAGAAGTTTCGAGATCGAGTTTTTGGCTGCACCCAAAACTGCCTAAAGTGTCGCGCTCCGAAGCGCACAGTGGCTGCCGTCCATTACGACCTAACTCACCTCTGATGCAGTCTTTCGCGCAGCGAAAAGGAATACAATGATGGTAACTAATGTAGTGTCGGTGCATTGTGGACCTCTTAAGCTGTGTTGATGGTGATCAACCTCACTTGGCGGATGCGTCAGCGACATGACACGATAAGTTAAGGAAAAAAATATTTTCTGTTACTGACATCAGTTCGCTGACAATGAAATGGGAGTTATGAAGCCTCTCGCTGTGACCGACAGGTTTCCTGAATAGTGCTTAGAATGTGACTGCAGACTATGAGCACACTGCCGAACATGCTTGCTAACTGAGGTCACACTTGCCAATAAGACAATCCTTGTCTCTTTATGCTCTCACCTGGTTAAACAAAATCAATGGAAACACCTTCGAGTGGTCCACAATATTACGGACTACAGGAAGATTCCATGCTACAAATGTATATGAATAACATCGCTTGGTATAATCTACAAGTTACATGCTGTGATTTTTCCGCATAAGGATGCAGTTATCACAGTTTTTGCAGAGTACCTGCTCAGCTAAAGAAATTACAGCAATTTCAGCCCAGGTGCTGCTCCAAGCTCAAGCTGGGTTCAATCTGTGAAAGATATTTAAGTGGTGTCCCTTTGTCAATAAACCTGAAGATTCACTTCTGAACAGTGCTTTGTGTCAATGCAACCCACTTTAACATAAATAGTAAAGTATCTGGGTTCAAATCAAAGGGTCTCCCTGCTCTGTTGGTAGTCCTGGGTAGAAATTTGACATTTTCATGGTGGGACCAGTCTCTCTAATTGATGACCATTGGTGACCTCCCACAAGGGAGGACTTTCTTCACTCACCCGCATGGATTTTAGGCTGGATCACAATATTCCTATAAGTTAGGTTACCATTGTAAAAATTGTGTTTCACTTGTATAAGAAGCATGCACTGCTGGTGTTATGTTGTGTAACTGCTAGTGATAATTAAAAAGTGACAACATGCGTTCTGGTTCTATATGTGATACTGCATCGCTGTACGTTCAGAACAGCACCGGCTCCACCCTTCATGAGTGCACAGTGAACCCCCTTCATCGTGCATGAGACACCTACCCTAACGATATCATGGCAACAATTTACATTTTGAAACTTACGGAGCATTTGAGCGGTTCTAGTCTGGTCGATGTTTCACAAAGTGCATGCCAATTCACTCACTCATTCACTGAGAATTATGAGACTGTAGACCCTCGTGGTAGCTAACTTGTGGTGTGGACTGTGCAAAATTAGTTTGCTTGTGAGTGAAACAGTCCGTAGGGTACATCATGGGACCACCTTTGCCCGTACCAAAATATGAGAATCGGTTTTCCCCTTTTTTACGTCAACAAAATAGGTGTTAAGATGTTAAAACACCAAAATGAAACCTTTTACAAGGAATCACGTCTCCATTCACCACATATACTACGTAAAAGTACACCTTTTGGCGTCCTCTGGTCTAACACCGTTTGAGACTAGGCTCGAAAGAAAGCTGTCTCTGGTGTGGACCAATCGGTTTCAAAGACAATGCATATACTATCAGAGTGTTTTTGTTTGCATTCTGACCACGAGTATATGTGGTTAATGCAGACATGATTCCTTGTAAAAAGTTTTAGTTTGGTGTTTTAACGTCTTAACACCTGTTTTGTTGCCAGAAAAAAGGGGAAAACTTATTCTCAGTCCGTAGGGGTTCAGGAGGCTTTATTCCTGCCACAGCCCAGAAATAGAACCACAACACCCTCTATCAAGTGGGAATCAAAGGTCGTGTCAGGTCACCCACAAGACGAGGCCGGTGTTCCCCGTGTTTGAAATTAAGCTGAGCGTCTCCCTGCTCCAATTAGTGTGGCAACACTCACCTCTGTTGGTAGCCCTTAACCAGTGGTAGAAATTCCACATTTGTGTGGCAGGGGCCATTCCATCTACAGTGCAATCTCGAGTAGTATACAGTGAGGAAAAAAAGTATTTGATCCCCTGCTGATTTTGTACGTTTGCCCACTGACAAAGAAAATATCAGTCTATAATTTTAATGGTAGGTTTATTTGAACAGTGAGAGACAGAATAACAACTATATCCAGAAAAACGCATGTCAAAATTTTTATAAATTGCTTTGCATTTTAATGAGGGAAATAAGTATTTGACCCCTCTGCAAAACATGACTTAGTACTTGTTGGCAATCACAGAGGTCAGACGTTTCTTGTAGTTGGCCACCAGATTTGCACACATCTCAGGAGGGATTTTGTCCCACTCCTCTTTGCAGATCTTCTCCAAGTCATTAAGGTTTCGAGGCTGACGTTTGGCAACTCGAACCTTCAGCTCCCTCCACAGATTTTCTATGGGATTAAGGTCTGGAGACTGGCTAGGCCACTCCAGGACCTTAATGTGCTTCTTCTTGAGCCACTCCTTTGTTGCCTTGGCCATGTGTTTTGGGTCATTGTCATGCTGGAAAACCCATCCACGACCCATTTTCAATGCCCTGGCTGAGGGAAGGAGGTTCTCACCCAAGATTTGACGGTACATGGCCCCGTCCATCGTCCCTTTGATGCGGTAAAGTTGTCCTGTCCCCTTAGCAGAAAAACACCCCCAAAGCATAATGTTTTCACCTCTATGTTTGACGGTGGGGATGGTGTTCTTAAGGTCATAGGCACATTCCTCCTCCTCCAAACACGGCGAGTTGAGTTGATGCCAAAGAGCTCCATTTTGGTCTCATCTGACCACAACACTTTTGTTGTCCTCTGAATCATTCAGATGTTCATTGGCAAACTTCAGACGGGCATACATATGTGCTTTCTTGAGCAGGGGGGACCTTACGGGCGCTGCAGGATTTCAGTCCTTCACGGCGTAGTGTGTTACCAATTGTTTTCTTGGTGACTATGGTCCCAGCTGCCTTGAGATCATTGACAATATCTTCCCGTGTAGTTCTGGGCCGATTCCTCACCGTCCTCATGATCATTGCAACTCCACGAGGTGAGATCTTCTATGGAGCCCCAGGCCGAGGGAGATTGACAGTTCATTTGTGTTACTTCCATTTGCGAATAATCGCACCAACTGTTGTCACCTTCTCACGAAGCTGCTTGGCAATGGTCTTGTAGCCCATTCCAGCCTTGTGTAGGTCTACAATCCTGTCCCTGACATCCTTGGAGAGCTCTTTGGTCTTGGCCATGGTGGAGAGTTTGGAATCTGATTGATTGATTGCTTCTGTGGACAGGTGTCTTTTATACAGCTAACAAGCTGAAATTAAGAGCACTCCCTTTAAGAGTGTGCTCCTAATCTCAGCTCATTACCTGTATAAAAGACACCTGGGAGCCAGAAATCTGTCTGATTGAGAGGGGGTCAAATACTTATTTCCCTCATTATAATGCAAATCAATGTATAACATTTTTGACATGCGTTTTTCTGGATTTTGTTATTCTGTCTCTCACTGTTCAAATAAACCTACCATTAAAATTATAGACTGATCATTTCTTTGTCAGTGGGCAAACGTACAAAATCAGCAGGGGATCAAATACTAGATTTGAAGCTTTCGTGACTGCAAGGATCCATACTCTTTGGTTCTATTCAGTAAAGTCACGTAGGTAAAAAATGAAACAACAAAAATCACGACGTTTCGGCCACAACACAAGTGGCCTTCATCAGGTGAAGGGACTGTACTGTCACGAGGACAGCGTTGGAATGAAGACAGTCAAGCCCAGGTCGCGTCCTTTAAACTGTGTGGGAGGAAACAAAACGCTTTGACAAAGGAATTAGCATAAAATGCTCATGGAGTACCGGCACGAGGGGGGGGAGGGGAGTTTACAAACGTTGGTGTGAAGAGAAATAAGCTGCTGTGAAAGTTTTGTATATCACTACTTGGATAAATATACTGTACCATTGAAAATTAGTTTAATGTTTGGTATGATTTAGAACAAATTTTCAATGATTGCTTAATTTGAAACCATCTTCTCGGTTGAAATTGTATGTGTTTGTAAATCTGAATTGCCTCGTGGATACATCTTTGATGATAACCTGTGAGTTTGCAAAGGACCCTGGTATCGGAGAAAACTATATCGTGATCACCCACAGCGTTGTAACAGTGGTCAGCTACGGCAGAAGAATGTGTTCTGCCGTGTTTCAAATCTGATTTGTGCTCGCGAATTCGGTCAGAGACATGTCGTTTCGTCTCCCCGATATAGCAATCACCATAGGTGCAGCTCAATTTGTAAACCCCGGGTACTGTAAGTCAGGAATGACATCCTTCACGGATGGGATCAGGTCACGGATTTTGTGTACTGTATTGAACCGGACCAGGATCTTGTGTTTGTTTAGAATTTTGGAGATCTTTTTAGTAACGCCTGCTATATATGGTAGTGTGATGGTTTTGATCGGAGTATCAAGTGGTTGTTTCTGTATGGAGGGAGAAACAGCTTGGCGGATGGTACGGTCAGACTATCCGTTTCTCTTAAGGGCCAGGTGTACATGTTTTAATTCACTGGTCAGGTGGTGTTGGTCCGAAATGCAATGAGCCCTGTGGTATAACGTTTTGATGAGAGAATTATTTTCAGCTGGGTGGTGGTGGGAATCAGGTTTCAAGTAGGAATCTGTGTGGGTGGATTTCCTGTAGACAGAATGTCCCAATGAGCCATCAGGTCTCCTCTCAAACAGAACATCCAAGAATGGCAGCTTGCCATCTTTCTCCACTTCCATGGTGAATTTGATGGCGGGATGTCTGGAATTTATGTGGTGTAGGAAAAGGTTCAAAGCTGGGAGGCCATGTGGCCAAATGACGAAAGTGTCGTCTACATATCTCTTCCACAGGGAAGGTCTGAGGGTGGAAGTCTGGATGGCGTCCGATTCAAATTTCTCCATGAAAACATTGGCTATCACTGGTGATAAGGGAGAACCCATGGGGGTACCCTCATTTTGTTTGTAGAAGGTGCCATTCCAAGTAAAGTAGGTATTGGTGAGGCAGTGCCTAACCAGTGCAGGTGTATCGGGGTCTAGTCCATGTTGTACCAAATTTTCAATTATTTCAATGGTATCAGGTACTGGGACCTTGGTGAACAGAGAGACCACATCGAAGCTGACAAGGATATCGTCGGGGGACAGTACAACGTCTTTGACCATACCAAACTTTCACAGCAGCTTATTTCTCTTCACACCAACGTTTATAAACTCCCCTCCCCCTTCCCCCGTGGCGGTCCTTTACGTTGCTTTATGGTTATTTCCCTTCACACCAACATTTGTACATTTGTAAACTCCCCTCCCCCGTGCCGGTACTCCATGAGCATTTTATGCTAATTCCTTTGTCAAAGCGTTTCCCTTCACACCAACTTTTGTACATTTGTAAACTCCCCCCCCCCCCCCCCCCCCCCCCCGGTGCCGGTACTCCATGAGCATTTTATGCTAATTCCTTTGTCAAAGCGTTTTGTTTCCTCCCACACAGCTTAAAGGACGCGACCTGGGCTTGACTGTCTTCATTCAATGCTGTCCTCGTGACAGTACGGTCCCTTCACCTGATGAAGGCCACTTGTGTTGTGGCCGAAACGTCGTGATTTTTGTTGTTTTATTTTTTACCTACGTGACTTTACCGAATAGAACAAAAGAGTAGGGGATCAAATACTTTTTTCCCTCACTGTAAGTGTTTATCAACTCCAGTGATGATGGCCCGAGTTGATTCCCAACCAGAATTCAACTGAAAAAAAAAATCTCCCGTTAGAGCTTGGGAGTTGATTCAAAAATAAATTCCCAAGCTGATGATTGCAAGTGTTTCGTCAGTTCCACGCAGCCAGATTGACAACAATACAAAAGAACTACAGGAGCCAGGGGCTCGCAGAGTAGCGAGGCCTCTCAAGGGACGTCCTATCTGCAGGGGCTGGTGGTCACGTGCACGCAACCCTGCTGGTCCTAGGACTGCGTTTGCTTTCCATACCTATGAGTGTGGCGAGTGAGCAGTGCGGGACGGTTGGCGTGAAGCGGATGACGACCAGATGCTCCTCCTCGTCCTCCCCGCGCCGCGCCTCCGTGAGGGCCTGCACCTCCACACAGCCCTCGCTCACCACGCCCAGCTCCTCCAGCGAGCTCGGCTTCTCGGGGTCTTGGATGGTGCGGATGACGTCTGCAGGAGCGTGTCAGGGGCACACGGATCTCACTGCTAAGTAGGCCTCTATTCATCTATTACCACTCCAGCCTTACATTCACAATGCAGACATCCAATCGTCGTTCAAACTTAAAATGAAAATTTTATAAATTATTTTTGGTTTCGGTCACATAAATTATTTGGGCAGAATTCTGGTGGTGGAGGGTCAGGGTGTTCGAACATGAATTTGGTCAGATAATTCTGTGGACCAATACAAAAAATACATTGTGGATCGTGTTGGCTGCAAAATCTATGCATAAAATCTTATTTTTTTGTGTCTTCGTTGATCCATAATAATTGTGGATGTCTATGTTCTTTTACACATATGGTTTATTTCTTTGTGAATTCACAGCTAATTACAGAATGAAACATGTACTCGTTATATTGTTTTCTCGAACCCGATTAAGAGTTAAAACATCTTCACTTAAGTTTCCCTCAAAGAAAATCTCTACAATTTTAAGTCCACATATGCAGACACCATTCCCTCAATCTTACACCGAACCTGTCACCCAACTCTTCATTATACGAACCAGAAAGCTGTGCACAACGCGATGTGATATTGCAGTTTTCTCTCCCATAATCTGATATGCCTGCGGTCAACGGTAGAAACCATCTTTCCAAATAAAACTAGCAGGGTAATGGTCAGTGGGAGGGGGGCAAGTAGTAGTGGCTGGGTGGCTCGTCAGGGTTCGTGTAGGTGCTTAAGCGACTCGTGGCTGGTTGTGTATCGTGAAGGGCGACTTATCTGGCGTGCGTCACTTTACATCTGCGTGCCGCTGCTTCTCATTGGGACACGCTGCCCCTTGTCTGTGGCCACGTTTCTCTTTTTGCTTCGAGAATCAATACTGCCCCAAACACAGCCAACCCATCGTGTGCCAGGCCGGGTTCGCCTGCACCAGGGGGCACAGCGATCGCGAGCAGCGGGGATGGAAGGCGGCAACGCAAGAATAGCGGCGGAGAGGCAGGGGTAGGAGGCAGGGGTAGGAGGCCGAGCAGCCTGGCTGTGAGAGCTCGAACCCGCAGCCAGGCAGGGACTGCTCCTTCCAAGAAGTGTCACGCATTTAAACGCGAGTTTGTGCTTTTTGCACAGTGAGACAGCGACTCTCGATGATGGTGACAGTGAAGATGCCGGTGATGGTGTGTCATGACAGTGGTGTGTTGGTGACAGTGAAGGCGCGTCAAAGACGCGACTGGTCAGTTGGAGGCAGTCGCCCTCCAACAACAGAGCAGAGGAGCGATGCTCACAACAACGAACGATCGACGGGCGACTAAAATGCAGCGAGTTGGCACAGTCGGGGAACAGCTGGTGGCGCATCTGGCGATCATCTCAGTCATCTCAGTCAACCCATGGCGCCTGCTTGGTCTACCCCGTGCCCATCACCTTTAGGCGGCGTTAGACTATTCACGTTGTCTCGAAGCACACACCGCCTGGCACAGGCGCCGTGATAACATCACCGGCACTTGGTGGTGAATGGCGGTTGTTTTTGTGTTGTGTGGTAGTGTGGTTGTGGTAGTGTGGTACTGTGATAGTGTAGTTGTGGTAGTGTGGAATCGTGGTTGTAGTAGTGTGGTTGTGGTAGTGTGGTTGTGTGGTAGCGTGGTTGTGGTAGTGTAGTTGTGGTAGTGTGATAGTGTGGTTGTGGTAGTGTGGTAGCGTGGTTGTAGTAGTGTGGTTGTGGTAGTGTAGGTGTGGTAGCGTGGTTTGTGTTAGTGTAGTTTGTGTAAGTGTGGTTGTGGTAGCGTGGTTTGTGTTAGTGTGGTTGTGGTTGCGTGGTTGTGGTAGAAAAATGTGGTTGTGTGTGGTGGAGGTCACCGCCAGGCGATTTACCGTAGACCTCCAGCGCCTTCTCGCCGTCCATGCCGCGACCCCTGACCCCCGCCCCTCTCACTCCGATCCCGCCCCTTTATGACGTCATCCTCCAGCCCCCCCCCACTGTCAGCCCCCACCCATCGTATATAGTCCCTCCTACTCCGTGCTAACCCCGCCCCCCAACCCCATAAGCCCCGCCCCCTCGGCGCCCTCGGCGACTGAACCCAACGTGCGGTTCTTCATCCCCACAGCGCGTGGCGGCAGCGAGCGACTTGTTCAGGAGATAGACACCAAGCAATGTAGGGGCGTGCTCGTCACGGCATCACGGGTTCAGGAGAGAGTTGGCACACTGCTATATGGTTCACGAGCTGTACTACCCGGCTTCGCCCGAGACTTGGATCCACCACGCCCGGCCGCCTTTGTCTCCCCAGTGGCGATGTTCACACACCACAGCAGTTACTCGTTTGAGGCTGAGTCGACCTAGGGGAGGCCCAGGACCGGTTAAAATAATCGTCACCGGTGGTGGCCGTGAGCAGGAATCGAACTCGGGTGGCCGGGTTCGTAGCGCAGCGCGCGAATCGCTACGCAGTCCCCACCCACACACGATAAAGACAAAATCCCCCGTGTAAAATTTTGATTTAAAGCTTTCGTGACTGCAGGAATTCATATTCTTGGTTCTTTCGGTAAAGTCACGTAGAAGGGACACAATAAAATAATAAAAATATAAAACAATAAAATTCTCACGACGTTTCGACTGCAACACAAGCAAGCATCATTAGGTGTGAAAACCACAAGAAAATAAAAAAATATATATTCATCTTCTTTGGTTCTTTCGGTAAAGTCACGTAGAATGAGAATAAAATAATAAATTGATAAAATAAAATAACACAATAATATTCTCACGACGTTTCGGCCACAACACAAGCGGCCTTCATCAGGTGAAGGGACGAGACTGTCTCGTAGGACAGCGCTGGAGTGAAAGAGCCACGTTCAGATCACGGCCTTTAAGCTGTGTGAGAGGAACAAAGCGCCCTCAACTTTAGCACTCTGTTCCGACCATGGACGAACTTGTCCGTCTGAACGGGGCCCGTAGCTATCCGTGGTGCTAAAGTTGAGGGCGCTTTGTTCCTCTCACACAGCTTAAAGGCCGTGATCTGAACGTGGCTCTTTCACTCCAGTGCTGTCCTACGAGACAGTCTCGTCCCTTCACCTGATGAAGGCCGCTTGTGTTGTGGCCGAAACGTCGTGAGAATATTATTGTGTTATTTTATTTTATCAATTTATTATTTTATTCTCATTCTACGTGACTTTACCGAAAGAACCAAAGAAGATGAATCATTGCAGTCACGAAAGCTTTGAATCGAAAAAATATATTGTTGTGGTTTTCACACCTGATGATGATTGCTTGTGTTGTAGTCGAAACGTCGGGGGAATTTTATTGTTTTATATTTTTATTATTTTATTGTTTCACTTCTACGTGACTTTACCGAAAGAACCAAGAATATGAATCCCCCGTGTAGCCTGCAAGTGCTGTTAGCGAGCACCTATGAAGGCCGGCACGGCACACGAGGGGGTGGGTGGCCAGCACCACGCCCGGCCGCCTTTGTCTCGCCAGTGGCGATGTTCACACAGCAGAGCAGTTACTCGTTTGAGGCTGAGTTGACCTAGGGGTTAAATAATCGTGACTCGTGTTGACCGTGAGCGGGAATCGAACTCGGGTCGCCAGGTTTGTTGCGAAGCGCGCTAACCACTACACTACAATGCGTTACGCTTCCACATGCGCGGGTCACGTGACAGATTTGACGTCACAGCTCACTTGCTGTGCAAAAAATATGCATTATTGAGCTCCCCCCCCCTAAAAAATTTGTATTTTGATCATTTTTACATGGTGTATAGTCTGGAAGTACCCACATGGCAAATTCCCAGTTTGTTGCATGTCGGGAAGTACGCTAAACATTTTTAACAGACACATTCACAACTTTGCCTTTTATATATATGGAGATAGTTTTGGGTGCATGACCACAATCGCACTTCTCTAACTTTTAAAATTTTCCATTTATGAAGATGTTCCCATCGGCCTGTTAACGTTCTGATGTGGTCGATTGTCAAATCAGTGTCTTCGAGGAGGAATGTCAAAGCCAGGAGGTGCGATGACGTTTGTGTCCCCACCGAGGTCATTATTCTGGACGTCAATGTGATTGGCGAGATGCTCCCGGCTCAGCAGTACCACCACCAAAGCCACGTGTTAATTTGAAAACTGCGAAGCCTCTTTACAAGGTGGCCGTTTTCAACGGACTCCCAATGCTACTGAGAAATGTGGTTGTGCTGCTAACTTTCCCATTTCTCTTCAGACCTCGTAATCTGGAAGAGCCAGCGGAGATGTGAAGCTCCTTCGCACGGAGGCCCAGAAACCAGGCCGCCACCGCTGGTGTCTCGTGCTGCTTAAACCGATGCCGCTCATGACAACTCGCTGAGTGAGCCATACACAACCTTTATTTATACAACTCTGATACAGAGCCATTGGCAGAAACGTGCCTATTAAGTATTTCCTTTTAAAGCCATAAAACTGAGTAAATAAGCAATCTGCCCCCTCCATAATACGTCTGTCGTTGCACATACAATACAGTAAACGTTAACACATGCCCATCAGTCACACATGCCCATCTTTGAGTGTATAAGGGCTCAGTTGAGTTCAATTGAAAATCTGGACGTGGCACTGGTTGATCCACTCCGTCTCTTACATGGCCTGTGTGAATACGACGACGGTCAAGTGACAAGTGGGTCATCGGCACCAATGTCGGGAACAGGCAGCCTACTGACCCTGGGTCATCCCGCTTACTTTCCACTCCAGCGAGGCCAACCAAACGGCATCCAAAACAAGGTCGAGAATCAAGATACAAATGACATTGCGACATGTGAAGCTCAGCGAGATTATTTACGAGTTCGAATTCATACCCAAAGGCCAACAAGAAAGGCACAAATCAGCAACAGCTGAAGGAAAGCTCCACAAAAGTTAAAAAGGATAAATAATAAAATGCTGGCTGTGGGATACCACCAGGGAAGGCCCCACACGAGCTGGCATAAACCACGACCAGTTAGCAGCACACGAAACACAGGCTTCCAGCTGGAATTTTTAATTCGAAGGCAAAACATATAAACTTCTCAAGGTCTCGTTTAAGTGGATTAAATTACTTAATTGTACAATTATCTAACCTCTTTATTCCAAAGCTCAAGTTTGACAATAAGTTTAACCATTTGCAATACGAACTGAAGGAGTTATGCAAAAAAACTGGACAGTTTTATTTATTTAATACATATTTTTATACCGTAGAATTCATATTATCTGTGATGTGGGAGTGTGGGGTTTTGCTGCCTGTCAGTGTTTGACCCGACTGTGCCCAGGTGGCAGGAAATAATTCGTACCAAGATTTGTTACCAGTATTGTGTTGAACTTTATTACGGCATAATGCGATTTAGATATAAATAGGCAACCGAAGACATGTCCGGGTTTAGTCTGTGGAAGAGGTGGAAATCAGTGGGAAGTGCGTTGTGGATAAGACGGTTTGAGTAGGATGGGTCCTCCTTGAATTGAGGCCGTGTCCATCTGCAGGCTTGGCTACCTGTGCTCTCTTGCAAGATAGAAACATCACACGCGTAATGCACGATACTACATATCCCATTTAATCACGAGCGGTCATTTGCCCAACTCTTGCAAGTTTCTATGGGAGATGAAAACTCAAATCTGGGGAAACCAGGGAGAGTCACGACCTCCATTAGGCAATGCCCACAAGGTGTGGCAGCAAACCGTGAGGGGGATCTGGAGTTTAGGTTTCTTTTGTCTCTCCCACAAAGCCGCATAGGGGAGATATGTCCAGTCGTGGGCGATGCAACTGTTTTTTTTTATTTCGCCGGCATACCTAGCGCCACATGTGCAACGCGGTGCACACAGCAGTAGAAAGCAGGGACCCGTGCCACAGTATGGGAAATTCAAGCTCGTTATAACATCACATTCCCAACGTTTTTTAATCCCCCATTTTTACTTTATCTGTAAATTCTCCTGAAGGAGGAAATATGGATACGCTGCCCCATTTTTCCCAAGAGGATTCACGGATAAAGAGGATTCACAGATAAGAGGAATCCCATAGTAAACAGTAGACAGGGTGAGCAACGTGCATGCCTGCTGCAGGAATGGGTTGTGATAAAATTAAGGCTCAGTTAAGAATCATTTGGACTCCAGCTTGACTTCCTTCAGTATGGCGATGGCGGCCTGGTACTCTTCCGTGTCCGCCAGGTCTTCCTCGTTCTCCTGCACCATGCAGAGCACACGCGTGTTTTCTCTGCCTCTCTCCGCTGGCACAAGTCACCCCACAGGCAGCCCATGAATTTTCACGATATGGGGTCACAATTCATTATCAGAATCGGTTTTTACAGTCTCGCTTATATTGGGTCCCATTTTTTTATTGTAGTTATGCTCACTTTTGAAGTTAAATGTAACGTTAACATATTTCCATATAATCTGCTTAAATATCACATTGTTAAATAATATCCCTTGATCGTGAGACTCAATTCCAACTGGTGAATCGATGCATCGTTACATGCAAAGTATCTGTTCTTATGTAACCAATGTACGATTGAGCGGATCTGATGTAATGTTCACGGTTATAGAATTTAGGAGAAATTCACATTTTAAATCAAATGTATACAAAGACACACATTTACTAAATATATGGTGTATGGAATATACGGGTTCTGACAAAACCTTGCTCTATGCGTGCGTCATACCCGTGTGGGAGACGGTGTCATGCTGCACACATCCTATTCCGGTCAGGTGGTTCAGTGTTAGAGCGAGTGGCTTGCAAGCGTAAGGTTGCAATTACAAATCCTGGTTGGGGGTCGACTCAGCCCATTATCCCTCTAGGGTCGTTACAATGGGACAGTCACCCAGTGGCTGTTCTTTAGTTAGACTCACCCCCGTCATAGGAATGTGGAAGTTCCAACTTTGGCTCATGGCTATAAAAACATGAGATGGGCACTGCCTCAGTGCTCATTAGAGCAGGAAATAATTTTCCCTTTGACATTCCACAAGTGATTTATGCTGCATCAACAACATCATCATCAACAACGTACCACGAGCTGAGAGAGGTCCCCGTGGGCAGCAGCCAGACGCCGCTCACAGTCAGGGATCATCATCTTGGCCTCCTGAAGAACCTCAATCTGACGACCAACACGACGCAGCCATTGGTTACATTTTCAAGCTGTTGGCGCATATACTGAAAGTATGAACAGTTCTCAATGCGCACAACTCTGATGCAGAATTCTTTCCATCCGTTCTTTGCATAAAACCCACAAATTTATATACATTTTTATTTGTTTGCAATGGAACCTGAGTTCTATGCGAGAGGTTTTCCAATGTATTTTTCGACCTCTGTTGTCAATATTTTAACCTCCACACAGAATGCCAAGCTGCCCGTCAGACAGCTGAAGAGCAGATGTCCCGTGTTCAGCCCCCAGGAAGTCTGCTTCTTGAATTCTCTGATCAATAAGCTATTTCCCATAGCGATTCACTCGCAATGTAATTTAGAGGAGTGGTATATTTTAAAGCAGCCTCCACCGTACCATGCTCTTCGGTAATTGCGCGAGCGTGTGTGGCACTAATAGTCTCCAGTGTAACAATGCCATTGATGTCAATAGTTTTCATTTCTGAATATTTTCACGTGAATATTTTCCAGAATCGGATTGGTTATGTGGTCAATGGAAGATAAGAACCCTTTCCTCAACCCAGCTTGCGTATGTGATTGATTAGTTTTTATGTTACATTATTCTGTTCCCAATGGCCTCCATAAACATTTTATATAAACATAAGAGGCATTTTTGTAATCCTAGCTCAATAGAACTATGCCTTGTGTATGGTTTGCACGATGTGTATTCCATGGGTACACGATGATGCTGTGTGTGTGGTCTATAGGTGCATGGCTTGTCTCACTCATTGTTTCTCACACTCTCATGACTTGTGATTATATTTAAGTTATTGTGGATGAAAGGCAATTGCATGAACTATGAGGTCAGTCAGCCTCCAGCAATTCACATCCCCATTGATTTGATTAATTTTCATGATTTTGGGTTACACTTTGATTTAGACTATTGTTTTAAAATGTAAAATCTCCTTTATATTCTCTAATTTATGCATTATTTTCCAGTTTTTTCACCCATTAATGTCGGCATATAATTTGCGTTTATTACATAATACAAGGAGCGTTTTGTAAATGGCATCATTCTTAATCAATAAACTCATGCCTCGTGGAACTGATGTGTAATAGAAAATGAGACAGCCCTACAATTGCTTGCTCACATCACTGCTGCCAAATGGGCATCCACTGGAGGAAACTCTAGAGGGCATATGGTCTAATCCTTACTCGCTGGCCAGACATGTTGGAAGAGGTGGGTGTACCCACAATTTACCCCACCATACAATCTCTTGATTGACTGCAGTGTACCCATTTATACTGCTGGGTGGACCGAGGCAGTGGGTGGGGGGGGACTTTTAAAAAAGTTCACCATTGTTTCACCTGCTGAGCCAGAAGGTGGAATCCAACCGGCAATCTCTGGATTTTAAGTCCAGTGCGCTAACCATCAAACCACGGCAGCTCACACGTGCAGTGGGGACCATCAACGCTGCTACAGTGGGGACACACACATCATGCACACCTGCTTCTTGAGCATGTACTCGTCTCCCTCCGTCTTCATCTTCTCCACTTTCTCCTCCTGCTGCGTCAACTCCAACTTGTACATCGTCGTTTCCTTGGCAATACTACACACACACATGGGGAGCACACGCCTTTACAGCTCTGGTACATTGACACAATAACGCAGACTATAAATTCGGCCACACCTACTGCCTACATCCTTCAGACGTGGCAACTACCACACCCCACGTAGCACCACTGGATCTGTGTGAACGTTTAAATAGCATTTTCCTTCTGACAAGTGGATTTTATCTGCAGCCTTGCCACCTTGACCTATAACCTGCACGCAATCCGACACTCCACCAAGTGTTGTGGGCAGCCATGCCAATAGGGGTCGTGGCATGCTGTCCGTGCCACACCTGGATTCATTGAGGGAGTTTCGACTGCAAAGGAAATGAGACAATGTGGCTATTCCAACAGGCAGCCGTTTGGCTACTCCTGTCTGATGGGATGGTCACATTTGAATTATTTTAATCGGTGGTATTAATCGATAAAGTGTTCACATTAAATCATTCTGAGCTGGTGGTCTGGAGAAGCTTTTGTGCATGCAATGCACAATTTCGTACGTTTTTAAATGAATTCAACAACTTCGTTTGAATAAAGACCTATGTGTAGTCAGAAAATACATGTTTAGCAGGCTTCTAAGTGCAACAGAAATGGATTTTTCATCCGCAGACTTGAGTTGCTTCAGTCAGACGCATCCCATCTTCTGGCTGCTGTACAGAGCAGCACTGCGGGCTTCACAGGGAAGATCAAACAAGACCTCAGCAATGTGCTCGATCCCAATCCCAAGTCCCGATTCCTCTTCTGGGATCGCGCCATCACCATCCGAGAATTTCACTCCGATCCGGAAGAACGCAGTGGAACAATGCAGATGTCCAGACTAAACTCCTCACTCGAGACCTAAGCATCACACACTTCATAGTTCATAGTTCCATTTATTTGGTATAGCCCTGTGAGCCATTCGGCTCTTGAATCGGGTGCAACCGCAACAAACAAAAAACAAAAACAAGAAAACATCTTCAAGTGACTATGTGACTGTGCAAACAGAAAATCCAGGAAAAAAACATCAAAATATTCCTGAATTAGCACCGTACACCAACGCTGTGTGCAAAAATCCCAGTGGGATGCAAGTCAAACAACAACAACCACAAGACAACTAAGATTAAGGCTATCAGTCTAACTCCGTACTACAATAAACATGGCTTTGACATTGCTCAAAGACACGGGTGTAACCATCATCCCCATCAGAACATCGGCAGGACGATGCGTACATCTGCTTCACGAATGGAAACGTAAAGACAAGCCGCAATACGAGTGTGGCCATGCAGCCCAAACGATGGACTATACAGTACAGTAAACCACGGTCATCTGCGTTCCAACTCGACATGAGCATTATCTTACGGATATATTGCCATATACAAGAACAGTAGTGCGACTGTGGCCATGACACAGAGACTCAGAGATACATAGAGACCCATAGAGATATTATGGAGATATTATGGAGATATTATGGCCGTACAATCCAGATTGTAGACCATGTGGTGGTCTGTGCTCCAACTGAGAAGGAACAGCAACACGACACCAACTCTCTCGTCGTGGCAGGCAGGCCTCGACATTGGCATGGAGCTGCTGAATGAATCGCTGCTGCCATCACCACACACGCAAGGGCGGGGAACTGGCGGTGGGGGGGGTCTCTTGCCGCCCTTCGCTGCCGCCACCACCACCACGCACGGGCCCATCGTGGCGAGCGAGCGGTTGGGTGAATGAATAGTTGCGTGAATCAATTCGTGATGAGTAAAGACTGAAGGGATGACTGACGAGGGAAGGAACTGACGAGTTAACCGATGAGTTTAACGAGCGGGTGTGTGTGAATGAGTAAAGAGTGGGGACAGAGTTAATCGATTACAACGTGAATAGGCGTAAAAATGGAAAGATGAATGGCGATTAATGAAAAGCTGAGTAAACGAAGGGGAATTAATTGGTGAAGAAATGGAGCGAGTCGAGTGGGTGAAGGAATGAGTGGAGAATGAGATGCAATGCGATATTTAGTGAGCGAATGAGTCGTGCGCCGCAGAGACGACGCCTCGGGCCCAGTGGGCAGGCCTCGCGCAACTGACGCAGTCTCCTCACTCCCTGTGTCTCGGTGTCTCACTCCCTGTGTCTCGGTGTCTCCCTGTGTCTCACTCCCTGTGTCTCGGTGTCTCACTCCCTGTGTCTCAGTGTCTCACTCCCTGTGTCTCGGTGTCTCCCTGTGTCTCACTCCCTGTGTCTCGGTGTCTCACTCCCTGTGTCTCGGTGTCTCACTCCCTGTCTCGGTGTCTCACTCCCTGTCTCGGTGTCTCACTCCCTGTGTCTCGGTGTCTCACTCCCTGTGTCTCACTCCCGGTGTCTCACTCCCTGTGTCTCGGTGTCTCACTCCCTGTGTCTCGTTGTCTCACTCCCTGTGTCTCACTCCCGGTCTCACTCCCTGTGTCTCGGTCTCACTCCCTGTGTCTCAGTGTCTCACTCCCTGTGTCTCGGTGTCTCACTCCCTGTGTCTCACTCCCTGTGTCTCACTCCCTGTGTCTCGGTGTATCCCTGTGTCTCGGTGTCTCACTCCCTGTGTCTCACTCCCTGTGTCTCACTCCCTGTGTCTCACTCCCTGTGTCTCACTCCCGGTGTCTCACTCCCGGTGTCTCACTCCCTGTCTCGGTGTCTGACTCCCTGTGTCTCGGTGTCTGACTCCCTGTGTCTCACTCCCTGTCTCGGTGTCTCACTCCCTGTGTCTCGGTGTCTCACTCCCTGTGTCTCGGGTCTAACTCCCTGTGTCTCACTCCGTGTATCAGTGTCTCACTCCGTGTCGCAGTGTCTCACTCCCTGTGTCGCAGTGTCTCACTCCGTGTCGCATCGTCTCACTCCCTGTCTGCATCTCACTCCCTCTGTATCACTCCCTGTCTCACTCCCTGCGTCTCACGCTCTCACCGCTTGACCACCCCTGTCTTGATCTTGAGCTGCCGCTGCCGTGGGTCCATCTCCGCCTCTCGTCTGGGGACGTTCGCTGCTGTTGACTCGGCGGTCTCCTCTCGACTCTCTCGCTCCAAGCCGCTCTCCTCGCGTCTCTCTAAGCGTGGTCTCAGCGCTGGGGCGTCACGGGTGGGCGTGGCTGGGGGAGGTCTCAGCTAATGCTCGTGCAGAGTTCGCTCGCTGCAATGTGGCCGTGATGCCGATGTGACGATGATGTCACGAGAATGTTGGAGATTCATCCTCCGGGTTCTTTCCGTAAAGTCACATAGAATGGAGATAAAATAATAATAAAATTCTCACGACGTTTCGGAATATTTGTTACTCGAGAGGCATGGGTATATTTAAGACGTGTCTGTGTTAAGTTAATGAGTTTACAGGAGGATGGCCTGCTGCTAGATCCTACTGCCTCAATCGGTGAGCCAGAGACCATCAGCTTACGAAATGCGTGGGCCTTGAATGCATTACCCGATGGGACAATGCAAATTAGGTAACAATGCGATTATTACAAATGTACTTTATTGTCAAGTGTGAAGCAAATACAATTCTGATTCCAGCCAGATCTATGCAGACCCAAGTGCCTTTCAGCAATGTCATCCTGTTTGCGCTCATGCAAAAAATATGGTATGCAATAACAGCAAATTACGTAAACAACACCAACTGAAGAAACTCCAACACACATCCGTGCTCAGATTCTCCCCCATCTTGGGTTCTTCACATCATCTTCGTGTAATCTCAACTCCAAGTTCACAATATCGTTTTGTGGCTGAGTTTGAAGGCATTTGATAACAGCATCAACATAAATAGGCACCTTATGTACGGCAGGTTTATAGACTGGCATCATTCACGCACGCGATGATCTTAAAAGAGACAATCCACCACAATACATATCACTTCCAGTAGATCTGTACTTAGACGCTGGTCGTAACACGTTTTAAGCTTCATTAAACAGAAAATAGACGTTAAAGTCAAGGTCTGGCACTCTTGTGATGCCTCCCCCTAAACAATTTAACAGCAATACATTCCCTTAACTATAGCACAGAGAAGCCATTATTTTATTTTCTTATTGATGAATGTTTAATCTCAGCCAATGACACACAGCATAGGTACGCATTGACAAGATACACACGGTTTTATTTTGGGCTGTCGTCTATCTGAAAAGTGTACAAGTCCGAACACGTTGCCATCTACGACTGGCCAGGCAGAGTCTCTCCACCGCCACCTTTGTGCCAACTCAGCTCCTGCTTCCTCTCCTCCCAGGCCATCTTCCTCTTCATCCCCTTATTCTTCTTTTTCTTCTTCTTCTTGCTCCCCGGGGCACCGGCTGCTGTGCTGCTGTGACTGGAAGCCTGGCGACCGCTGCTATCACCGTGGCTGCCTCCATGGGCACTGCCGGCTTTGAAGTTATTTCTCTGTTGGCACATGTCCAGCATCTTGAGTAACGTGAAGATGCCTTTGTGCGTGATCGGATAACCTCTGCACTCGGCTACATTGCACAAATAAATCCACGTCAAACTGTAACTGGCTGATGTTGCAATACTAAAAAGAACGGTTTAGGCCTGAGCTAAAAAATACAGACTCAACACAGACTCACATTTCAAAAGGCTTAGTAACTTCCACAGATTTTAAAAGCCAAAGGGGCCATCCATTTAGCACGTACGCAGAAATCTGTCAAAACTTGACCCCCCCCCGCCCACCTGCGTACGTACGCTTGACGCACCCCCCCCCCCCAGAATCCTATAGAACGGCCGATATTTAATCCACGCAGAAACGATCAAGGATTAATAATATTAACGTGTTAAAGCAAACAGTCTACCGCCGGACTATCTAACTCATTTGAAGGCCAATGTAGACAAATTATTATCGAGGCTTCATCCCCCACCCCCGTTTCTTATGCATACATACATTGTCAGTAGACCCCCATGCGCAAGCGTACACATTTGGGTTAACCCCCCTCCATGTGTACGTACTAAATGGATGGCCCCAAATCAAACTACATTAGAAAGGAAACTGCTCAATCATTTTACACATTGAAAAAAATACATTATTTCCATTTTTGGCAAGTGGAGCACTCGTGGTCAAAACGTTTGAGTTAGATTTCACACAAATCCAGGTGAACCAGTGAGGCACCTTTTCAAGGTATAATTCTACAAATTCCTTACCTCTAAGAAAACAGCCTACCTCCACCCTTGACATATACAATTATAAATAAACACTTTCCAGTGCTTAACATCACAGCGACAATCCAGTGCATGAGGGTTCGTAGATCACTCTTGCAAATGAGTTCTCACCCGATTAAACAAAATACACTTTAAATTAAAATAATTTCTTTTGGCAGCTGTGTGTTACCCTTTGCACCACACCAGCAGCCACCCCTCACCTTGTTTGCGGTGCCACGGCCTTGAGGCGAGGGGGGGAAAGTCCCCGGGACACGGCCATACTGCGAGTGGAAGGGCAGGAGTAGGCAGGTGTTGATGGGCACCCAGGGCACGCAGGGCGAGCAGGCCGCCTTGGGGAGCTGCCCGTGGGCCGAGTGCAGGTTGTACGCGCTGCGAGCGCTGGACACGCTGCTGGACAGAGCGCCGGACACGTCTCCTGCCACGTGGCTCAGCAGATAGTGTCCTGCAGGCAGGCTGCGCACACACGCACAAGAAACATGAATCACTAGATTTACCATAGATCGTTGGGTTCGCTCAACGAATAACAATGCTGTCCTGCTACTAGGCTTCTATATTCACCAGTAGTTATAATTAATGCAATGTTAATCATTATTCTAGGTAAATTATAATTAAATTAGCATACATTTTCAGTGGTTACGAATTTTATTCTGGTTAATAATGCCTACAAGGTCATGATGACACCTATATCTCACGTCCCACACACTCCCATGGGCACACTCTTAGCCTTGTCATCTCTAACACCAAGTCCATCTCGCTCACTGCCATTTCACTTGTCACTTTTAGCGACCACCAAAGCAACTTATCGTTTTTTCTCCCTAGGCCACCACCGACCAGGTCCCAGATCTTCCTGCCCACTGCTGAACATCTCTGCTCCCACGCGCAGTCGATCACTGCTTCACGGACCCTGACGGTCCTCCTATTTATCACTATAACAAAGACTCTCTCTCTGCATCGGTGACATGAAGATTAAAAATAATACATCACAGAGAAGTCTTCAGAACGGACCTGTACAGCCTCTTCATTATCCTATGAAGCAACTTCAGAGGCTCAGTGGGGCTGGAAAACAGACACAGTAACTCCATGAGAACATGACCAGCAGTGTGCACTTCACAGTGCAGTGGACTGCAAATGCAATGGAATTTTGTGTATCTCTTATCTTATAGATCAGTGTGATGTTATCTCTTTAGTTCCTCGAGAGCTCAGAGTGATGCTGCACTTTACTTGTAGTGCAGGCTGCGGCGCAGATCGGAGGAAGAGAACTCCTCCAAGAGGAGCGGCTCAGCGGTGAGCACGTCCACTCGCCCTGCACACGGCCACATTCGCACGGCGAAGTCACTCGCGCAGCACCCAGCCCGCACTTCAGCAGCCACCAGCAATTCTACATTTACACCGGGAGGCCCCAAAAGTGTTTTTCAAGAGGCCTGTGTACGGAAAAATTATGCCTCAGAACAAAAAAACATTTCAGTGCAGAAAACGAACACAGGAACAAAACGTAAACAGCAACGGAGATATTAAAAATGTGATGCGTTCACCTGAAAGTAAACTTGACATTACATGCATATGAATTATGCAGAATAATCTCTCAAAGCTATACCCATTGGGGAGAGAGCCTTTCTGGTTATGGGGGATGGCTGGAACACTGCAAACGATAGTTTCCAGCTTGCTACATTTGAATGAAGATTACACGCAACTTTACACATCCGCTGCTGCCAATTCACCTGTGCAACCCCGTTTAACGGGCCGCACAGATTGGCATGGCCAATTCGCTTTCCAAATTCCCTTTTGAGTACCGACCTACATTGGCTGAACGTGGCGGCTCCCAGAGTGCACCTCGCATCGCGGCAAAAACACAGCGTTGCCGAGTCGTCGAGCAGCGCGAGTTAAATAAAAGGGCCGGTGCAGCCCAGTGAAGTAAAGAGCAGGCACCGTTAAATGTTCATCTGCGTTGGGAGAGCTCAACTGAGCCTGGGTGCTTATGACATTTATGTTTGGACTGCGTCTTCCTTTGCACTACGGCCGTGGTGTAGGGGTCGGTCTCATGCTGCGTGCGGCCTTACCCCTGTAGAACCAACTGTTACTGTTGAGCGTCGCCTCCAGCCAGAGTGCGCAGTCCTCAGCCAGGGTGTTTACCTCGAGCCCGTAGCAGGCCTGGTACTCGGTCTTGGCAAACACGCGCACTGGGACTTGCTGTCGGCACCACGCACAGGACACACGCAATGCATCCAAGGGCCTCGTGCCCACTGTGCATTTGCTGCTTTTCGTGAAAGACCAATACGACGCTACAATTCCTCACTTTTCTTGTTTAGTCACAAGTGTTTTGCTGCTCAAGTGAGCATTTGGGCATTGGTGCTCATCTCCTGTTTACACCCCTGCAGAACCAGTGATGAAAACTCAACATTCCTATGGCAGGGACAAGTGTATGCAGTGTTAACTTTTGCACAAAGTGGTACTCATTTGATCGACTCTGGAGGAATGATAGGCAAAGTCAACCCCCAAGCAGGTTTTAAACTCTCAACCTTCTGATTGCAAGCCACCAGCATTAAGGTTATGTTACTGCTGCAGTATCTTGTTTAACTTATAAAATCACCTCCTATAGACACGTGGATAGCCTTTGGACCCCTATGAGACAGTGGCAAGGTGCTGGATATCAAGATAGAGCATCACCATGCCTCGCTGCTGTGCTGCCACAGTGCACCGTGGTGCCCTGGGGGCCCATCGCTGACTACCAAACCGTCATCATCATCCGCACCTCGGATTAGCATGGTTGGCTACGTGCGGTGCGAAAGACGTTCAACATACATACATCATCGTCATCTCATTTCCACGCCGCTTTCCACAGCCTTCAGCACTCCCCTCCTCCACGCCCTTTCACCACTTCCTGTTGCCCTGTGTGGATGCGCCGACCGCGTGGTTGAGGGGCTCCTGTGTGAGCGCTGATGAGCCTCACCTTCTTCGTGGCTGTGCGTGAGGCCTTCCTGGGCCTGGTCTGGGCCCTGTGCACATGTGTGCGCACCAGCAGGGGCAACTCAGCCAGGCTGAACAGTTTGTAGGCAACGTTCCCTGTCGCTGGAGGCACAAACTCCGACGCGTGCTCCTCCTCCTGCAGCAGTTCCTTAGAAAAGAGCTCTGTGGGACAGAATCGTCACCACCGTGTGGGGGAGCGTGGAATGGGTGCGTAGGATCGTTGCCACCTTTTCCACAAACCAAACAGGGATGTATTCACAGGGCTCCTATGCATATAAAAACATTTTCCCATGACTTTTCCATGGCAAATTTCAGATTTTCCATGACCGCTACGGCAAGGGCACTGAATATACAGTGGCAGAGTGCTGGCGTGTGGGCGCCAACGTGATGGATTACACACCACTGCTTAGAGTCGCTGTCTCCACAGCGGTGGTGGTTCCAAATGGGAGCAGCGCTCTCTAGGAGCTGTAGTTCGGCTGCCCTGCCCCATGGTTTTCCTGGGTAAACAAGAGTAATAATACATAAAGTGCACTTCTCTACTCACCGGCACCCTGTGCCTCCGGTGCAGGCATCGCCTCCCCTCTTCCCAGGCAGATGTCACGGCTGCTCCCGCTGGGCCAAGCACGGGGGGAGGTCGGAGGTCGCTGCTCACTGCCACCGAGCTCTATCCCCGGCGGTGCCGTTGGTGCAGCAGGCACAGCCGTGCCGTATAACGCAGGGGGCGGAGGGGGTAGCCTCCTGACGTGCGCCTCCATTAGCTTCGTTTGCATCTTCAGGATGTGTCCGAGAGGGCCCGTGTCTACAGATGCACTCCTCCTCTTCTGAGCGGCTTTGGTCACCCTCGTGTGAGGGCTGCTCTGGGCCTTATCAGAGCCGGGCTCCTGGCATGAACCCTGTGGGGCCAAGTGTGTTGTTTGGCCAGAGCTCGCGAGGCACTCAGAAGTGAATGGCGCACATGACCCCTCCTTATCCACACCCTTCTCCCCGCATGCGAGCTGTTCGGGGCACCCGGCGGAGAGCAACCTTCGTTTCCTGCTGGCAGAAGTGGCGTTGTCTCCTTCGTCAATGACGAGTTCTGTGTCACTTGACTCTGCGCCGCTCTCACTCGGCCGGGGCTCTGTCTCCGCTGTTTCGTCCGCGCCAGAAGAACTCAAGTTCTCGAGCTCAGTCTCCCTCGGCGACGCTTCCTCCGAGTCCAAACCAAACAAGGTCAGCGTGGACTTACTAGCAGCCGCCTGACCACGATTGGTCGATTGAGCAGCCAGAAGGCTGGTGCCAGTTGCTGCCAGAATCGCGGTGACCCCCAGTGGAGGCCGCCTATACTCCTCCGTGGCTCCGCTTGAGCCGCCGCCCTTCACACTGGCGCCATGGAACCCGCTCCGTGTTTCTCCGAGTTGCCCTACAACGGGGGACAGATCTTGGCTCGGCTGCTGGCAAGGGATGGGCATCTCATTGCCAAATGTCTCCATCTTCGTGTAGTCGCTCGTTAGGTCCAGGCTAGCGTTGACCGCTCTGCTGAGTGGCATCTCCATGCATCCGATGGGACACTCCTGCGCGGAAACACATGCACGAATTTACAACCGTTCATATGCACACAGATATAAAAGCGTATGCCTGTGCTCATGCATACGCACGCACAGCACTATACAGCCTTGCAGATTGGCAAGTGCTGTTTAGAAATATTTATAGAAGCTGGTATTGAATTAGAGGTGGTCATGGGGCTAGCATTAGGCCTGACCACATTTACCTTCTTCGTGCTGATGTTTACATCATCTGCCAGATACTTATTTAGACTGAGTTACCATACAGGATGCCGAGGTGGGACTGCTTTCCACTGAATGGGCAATACCATATTAAGGTGGGTACTGGTGATACTCCATCTCTACCCAAGGGTGTCGAGCTTGCTATCTACTGGCTTACCATCCTAGGTCTCTCATGCTTCAGATTGAAAAGTGACCACCAGCCATCGACATCATTAACCAGTGACAGCCATCTCTTGAATGCATCCAGACATCGATCAGTCTCCCACTGGTATAGAATTACAAAGCTTCTTGAACAATGTGGTAAAAAAAGTCAAATACTACAGGGGCTTGAGGACATCCCAAGGTGAACAGGGAGTCATTCTGACTCCAGGTCATACAGCTTACCTGGTGCTGCCCATCATTAAAATCGCAATGACTAAGATGCGGATCTGCCTGGATGCACGATTTGTGAACGTGCCAAATCAAGATTGTGCCATTATTTGCGTATGGCAGTCGGGCTCACCGGGACCGACGTCGGCTGCTCCAGCGTCATGGCCTGAAGGGCCACGTTGCTTGTTGGGTTCATCATGGCTGCTTCCAGGGCAGCCTGGAAGAATATCTCATTTCTCTTACGGACAGTCCACTCCTTGGGAGGCAGGGGCGACTCTATGAACACCAAGCTGTCCGTCTGCTGCCCTGCACGGCACACACACACACGCACACTACGCCAGTGGCAGCAAGAATACACACTCTACAGCTTCTCAGCGCAGTGGACTCCAGCACAGTTATTTACACAAATCCGCAGAGCAGTTGATAGATACAAGGATTTTTTGTTAAATACACCATGTTTTGCAGCCCATTGCACAACTTAGATTATTCACTGAAAAGTAGGTTCATAATTTTTATATGAACATTTTAAGGCGCTTTTAGAGTAGCTTTAATTTAGAAAAATGTTATTGGGGCATGTTGATCTGCAAAACACGTGTGAGCGTTGACAGGGATCTGCATGCACCAGGGCTACAAACCTGCTAAGTGGTCCTGGGGACTGATACATATAGTACAGTTTTCACAAAGCACAAGATTCCGTGGCAGTCTGCAATTTTAGTTTTCAGTGTTGACAGTGATCCGCAGCACTGGGAAGGTTGGGAATCGCCGCTGTAAGCGGTTGCATTAAAAGCGTTGTTGCCCCCCGACTACGACGACTCGTGATGCGGTGCCAGTGCTGACCTGCGCGGGCCGGCACTTGCCGCACACACACGGGGACCTCCCACGCATCCTGGAAGCTCGGGCCGTGATTGTTAAGCAGCGTGAACAAGGCTTGAGCTGTGATGCAGACCCTCACACCATACTTCACCGCCAGTTTCTCCACATTCACGTCTTCACTCAGCTCCTTCCGATTGCGCACACACACACAATGCGGTTCAGCCATGTGGTGCAGTGCAGAGCATTGTTTGGCACAGTTCAGCCCACTCAGGCTGGTAGCAGCTTTGTCTATTTAAAAAAGTGCAATAATAACCCTGAACCTAGTTTTATGTTTCTGTAACTCCTTTTTAATTTGAATGATGTTTTAAGTAATTTGCCCAAACCATTGTTTGTAACTGGAAATGTATTGTATTTAATTTTATGTTCGTGCACTGTTTTATTCTGAACCCAGTTGCTTTTGCTCAGATTTTTATTTGCAAAGAAGACTCAATCCTTGTCTCTTGAGTTCTCAACTGGTTGAACAAAACCGACTACAATTTGTGCTTATTCCAATAACTTTCTTTTGGTACAACAGCTGTGTTTTAGCACGGTTGGCAGCGTACATATGTTTGTGAAATATCATCCATGAGGTTTTTTGGGTTCGATCGCGTATATATATATAAATGTGTCGTTAAAACCCGCAACCACCCGACACAGCCAACTAATAAGGGTTGTCACATAAACAGAACGTGCCAATTCGTCACTAGTACAGCACACCGGTGTGTTGGAGAGCCAAGCCACAGCATTTTCAATCTGAGTACGACGTTTCGCCAGTAATTACAACTAGCTTCATCAGGCGACAGCCAGATTTACAACTAGCTTCATCAGGAGACAGCCACAAAAAATCTCTTTTATGGAGGATCCCTCATAACCATGGAGGCGAGAAGCCCGACAGCAAAAATGTAGGCTTGAACAACAATTATTCTTCTCCTAACGTGGCTAAACAGCTCTCTCAATCAATGGAGTGATACACAAATTGCAAGCATCACCGTGAGACTCATCCCTTCAGAAACCAGAGGGAGCAGAGCCTCAGCGCTGCTGGGCAATGTCAGCATGTTGACACGAAGGCCTGAAGGCACCTTTACAAACGGAGCCTTTCCCTGCACACAGCGCGACACACACAGCATCACTCAAAGCACTTACACAGTATTACATGCAGTATGACGCACACTAACAGGATATTCCACACAGCGTCACTCACGTAGTACACACAGCACTCGCATGCACAGCACTCGCACAACACACACACACAGGCGGTGTAGCGTGAAGCAGCGTGCGATGCGAGGCTGTGTCACGTGGCGGTGCCCACCAGGGCCAGCAACGTTTTGTGGTGGGTGAGGGTGAGGGGTGGCAGGGATGTGGCGCCTGCGCCCGTCAGCATCAGCGTCTCCATCACCGAGTAGAACGGAGGTAGGAGCTGCACTCTCCGCACGCTCGCCTCAAAATGCTTCTGTTGACACACGGTCCCACACACATTCACACTGCTATACTTCGAAACATTTCACACTTCGCTTTTACATCAAAATTTGTAATTGCCATTGAACTCCTCCTATCCATCATCCTTCATCCACTAAGCCTGTTACCCACAGAGGCTAAGTTATCAGATTTCAAAACAATTTGCAAAAAAATTTAAATAAAAAACATCATCACGGATATAGAGCTTATGAACAGGGTGGCCCACATAGCTACTGCTTGCCTTTATAAAAACATCCGGGTGGCGGTGGCGATACACGTGGTCTGTAAACCAGCGCTGTGGAGGTGAGGGTTGTCACAAAAATGTGAAACTCCCTTCCCATGGGCTTCAAGGTGCCATATCCTGGCTGGTCCGGAGAAGCAGTACAGGAAGTGGACTAATCGCTATCTGTTTTCATCCGTACGGGGATATGTTGTCCCCTTGCATGCATGGGATTTCTCCGAATGCTCCGGTTTCCTTCCACATGTATAATCAACACTCATCGTTCATTGGCTGAAAACATTTTAATGAAAAAAATATATTCCTATGACTCGGTGTGGCTCTCCTGGATGAATTAGTAAAAGTAGGTAAAAGTAAAGATGGAATTACATTTTCTGCCGAATGTGATTGTGTTCTCTGACGGCAGCATGCCGCAGATAGAGTGCCATGCGTAGCTAGTGCAGCGCACCTGTGTGTAGAGCGAAGCGGCCGGACTCATGTGGTCGTAGTCGCCGCGGTTCTGCTTGGCCGCGTTGTGCACGAACCTCAGGAACTCGGGGACCTCTTCAGCCACGCGCTGTTTCAAGTGCTGGGTGTCCATGCCGATGGAGACGTCAACAAGACTGGCTGAACACTTCTCCACTTCGGTAACAAGGTGGGAGCTCCACAACTTTACTTTACGGTACTCTTTTTCATATTCTTTAATTTTATATAGCGTAATTTGTGCAAATTGAACCTCAAATCGCTGTCCAATTTGAAATGCGTACGGTTTTCATACGGAGGAGCGGGAAACCACATGCAGTGGAAAGGCAGCCAGAACTGGCGTAAACTATTTCCCAAGCTGTGTGATCTTATATAAGGATGTTTTAACCAACTCCTGCTGATTTTACTTGAGGCAAAATACCTTTGAAGCTTCATCTTAAAGTGTTTTGAGATGTGCTTTGAGACTTAATGTGGAAGTTACTTACGCAAAATGGTACTGACGATGACTGGTGGTAAAAATTATGATAAAACCAAGATGGAGTGGGTAACTGTCACTGGACACCAACGCCTGTTAGCCCCCCACAGCAGAGCTCTCGGAGACCATGACACCCAGACACAGCACGGCTGTCATGGACCACAACGACCACTGTACCAGTTAGGGTGGCAAAGGTGGCATCACAAAAAAGCACAGAGGTGAAGCAGAACAGTGCTACCTTTCTGCAATGCATTTGCCCTTCAATGTTGAATTTTCCTTGTTTTGTTTCACATGGACTGCATTTGGTTAGTTACAAATTGTAAGTGATGTGAGCTGTATTTGGTTTTGTTGAAAAGCAGTTTGAATGTGATCACAAATACACCACAGTTCTGATAGGTTGGAATTGGGTCACATGGGTTAAATAGCATTGTCAAGACAGTCTCTCGAATGAAAAACAATGGTGGTTTACTTTTATATGGCAATGAGTTCACAAAAAAATCTTCAAATGTAATAATGCATTGGGCTTGTTACTTTTCAAAGTTATATTAATGTTGTTCTACAATGTTTGAATCTTATAACTTAACAGCTAGATAGGGACATACAGCTCTTACTGATTTCATGAAGCAACTCAACTCTTAAGTGAATCCCCAGTCCCAGTGCATCCACTCTGGCTGAGGTCACCATCCCTCCAGTCCCTTCCAATTCTCCCCTCCGGTGTGCCCCGTCACGCCTCGCTGGTGCAAGTGTGTGTGGATGTGTGTGTGTGGATGTGTGTGTGGATGTGTGTGTGTGGATGTGTGTGTGTGTGGATGTGTGTGGATGTGTGTGTGTGTGGATGTGTGTGGATGTGTGTGTGTGTGGATGTGTGTGTGGATGTGTGTGTGTGTGGATGTGTGTGTGTGGATGTGTGTAGGCAGGCTAGCCTAGAAACATTTAGGCTAATCTGCCTACGATCCATCCTGGGTTTAACCAGGCTGGATTGTGTGAGGAGCTCACAAATCTTTGAAAGATCTGGGCAAGGTCCCATCGGTGAGCTCCTCCGGCAGGCAAGGCTGCGTTGGCTGGGTCATGTAGCCCACATGCCCAGCCACCGCATGCCGAAACAGCTTTTGTTCGGCCGGATCGAGGGGGCTAAACGGGTGCGGCACGGGCTAGAGAAGAGATGGAGTGATGTGGTACAGGAGGACGTGGAGCTGAGTGGACTTGCCGATGACTGGTATCAGCGGTGTCAAGATCGGCCTCTGTGGAGGAGGCTCGTGAAGGACGCTACTGGGCAGTTGGAGGTAGTCGCCCTCCAACAATGGAGGGCGGAGGAGCGACGCTCACAACAATGAGCGGAGCGCCGGGTGGCTAAAGCACAGCAGGTTGGCACAGTAGGGGGCACAGGTGGTGCATCAGCCAGTCATCTCAGTCATCTTAGTCAATCGACCCATGGCACTTGGGTCTGCCCCGTGACCTCCTGCCCGTGGGCGTTCGACACTTCACGTGGCCTCAAGGTGCACATGGCCTGGCACAAGCGTCGTGGTGACGTCACTGCCACTTAGTGGCGCATGGCGGTTGTTGTGTGTGTGGATACGTCTGAAACTGGCCTTGTTGTCACTTCAACACAGAGCTGCCAGCTCTGAAGGTGTTTCCTGAAAACGGATTTAATGAAACGCACCGCAGTTTCCGCAGCCACCGATTCAGCTGGGAACGTGTTTTTGCCAATGCGACATAAGCGCCCAGCGCCCAGCGAGGAGCAAGACACCAACCTGGAACTCCAGTCGCTGGTTCCATCCTCCCCTGAAGCCGCCGGGCCCAGCAGCACCACCGGCAAGGCTGCACTTCAGCAGGTACAAGTATTGCTTCTGCTCATTTTCAGTAAGGGCTGAGTAGCACGGGTAGGGGACCCTGGGCTGGGGCAGGGCCACGCCTCGCACCGCCTGTCCCTGTGGGAGACTCGCCGCCGGCCCAGCGTGCGCCACCGTCCCGGGTCGCGCGGGGCCCCGGGGCGTGTGGGCTGCATCATCCCGGGCGGCCGCTGGCTCCTCCGCTCTCCTCGGGCTCTGAACCGTGGCGCCGGTCACCTTTGCTCCATGGACGCCCGTGTCTCTCCCTCGCTTGTGGGCATCTCCACTTGCTCTGTGGATTCACAGGCGGCGTAGAGGAGCACTCTTCATCAATAACAATAATGCTACACGCTTTATCGTGTAAGCTGCTGCAGAAGGAGCTCTCCTGCCTTGGCGCGATATTCAAACTAATTTACATGCTATAACACAAAATAAATACTTTGCTGTGTATTACTTAAAAGTCAACTCCTTTAAAAGAGACTTCTGGTCTCAATGGAAAATCATCTAATGATAAAGGACGTGTATGCGCAGTGTAGATAAGCAGCAGCTAACAGCAAGCCAGCTTTGCCTTTAAATGCTCTTGCGTTCTTTAGCTCTCGGTCAGAGTTTGGTTACAATTTCCCATCCCTTGCAAAAACATTGCTTTGTGAAAGAAATATTTACACGAATCGATTATCACATGCACAAGTCGATGCACAAGCATAATACATTTGTTCAATAAATGCATCATGACATTGCTGCTTGCCAATACTTGAACCCGTGTTTCCAAGCGCCAAGTGACACCTGCGCATCACTAGATAGTAAAGCGAATTACTACTTATCTGAGGAACTCGACCGATTAAATAGGGAGAGGCAACTCGGGGATTAGGGGTTACGAGTAAGAGGCCTTGCACGACGCCGTCAACACGAGGCCATCACCTGCGAACTGCCTCCCACTGCCGCTCCAACGCTGGGATGAATGAGAGCTCCTCGTAGAGGTCGTTTGAGAAGAAGACACCGACTCCATTGCTGGGATCCACGTCCCTAGACACAGACAAAGATCCCCCGTCTAGCCTCAACAGACTGTTGGGGAAAGTGCTGTTAGTAAAGCACCTATGAAGGCCGGAAGGGTACGCGAGGAGGTGGGTGGCCAGCACCACGTCCCTAGAGACCACGTGGTCACACGCACCACGAACACGGCGGTGATGCACACAAAACCGTCGTGGGCCGGGCACCGTGAACACTTCAGCACCCACGTCAGGGTGGACAGGGGACTCGCTCTGGAGGCTATCAGCTGTCACTCACACGCCACTCGCATACCACACACATCCCATCCGTCCAGAAACCAAGAGCTGGATAGTTCACTTGCTGGTACCGATTAGCATGGTTGGCTACGCACGGTGCGAAAGAAGTTCAACATACATACAACATAACTGAGGGGGCATAACTTTAGCAGTTACTTTACTTTGCGAGTTCAACAAAAGTGACTTATGCGATAACCACCTAAAATGAGTAACTGTCCTCAAGTAACTGTCACGAGGCGACGTGTTAAACAACTAACTCACTGTCACGAGGCCATGTCAATGAGTCGGTGCTGCTGAGGTTTCGCTTAGGCGCTGCCCGATTGCTGCCCTGGCACTTGGGGTCGCGGTGGAGTCGCAATGTTGACTCCACTCGCCAAGTGGCCACATCACCCAGTGTGTTGAAACTAAGCAGTGGCTGAGCCTGAAAATGACTGGGATGGGTGGCCATCACCATGCATAACAGGTGTTGTAGGCTGCTGCGGGTATACGCGGCGACAGACAGACGAGCCAATGTCGGTACTGAACTCTTCTCCGACATGTGCGCACGGCCTTCACAATGCAAACCGCACTGGCTGGAGTGGTGAAGTATGGCCACACGACTCACAGGGGGCAGAACGCGGTCCCCCCCCCCCCCGGGGTCACGCGAGGTCACGGTCACGGTGACCCCGGCGCGCGACTCCACCCACCAATCAATGTCCATGCTCGTGCCTCTTCCGGGTCGTGGGTCACGCCGGCGGAAGTGGCGCGGGCACCACGTGGTCGCGTTGGGCACACGTGGAGGCGGCAGTGGTCACAGCAGCGGCAGGAAGCTCACCCAGCAACACCGAACAGCGCCGCCTGGCCAGCGACCCCCACACACACGGGGCGGCAGCCCACCACCGTCACACCACAGCCGGGGAGCAGTGGTTCGCGCATTGCGCTAAGAACCCGGCCACCTAAGTTGGATTCCCGCGTACATGTGTGGAGAGTCTCCCGTTTCTCTATCCTGCACTTGACCATTACGGTGAAGTACAGTACGCTCTACAACAAAATCTGCCCATGGCCGATAAGGCCTTTAGCAGTGGATTGACAGAATTGAATGCGACAATAAAAGCAAGTTTGCAATACCAATGCAGTACTATTGTGTATTAACCCGACTGCACCACCACAAACACTGCAATAATAAGCCCGGGCTTCGAACGACAGCCGTTCCAGTTAATGGATGTTCGGCGTACTGCAAATAAATACAAATCAAAATGTTATTCCAATTATCAGCTAACGTTTAATTCAATATTTACTGTTTCATTATGAAAGCACTTCACGTCCTGTATTTTATCCAAGTCAGCGTGAAGCAAGATTTGGAAGGTTAAAGATAATTCTGACGCCCTTGAAATAGCACGAATGTAGTTTATAGAAGACGTTCGAGAAACCAGGGAACACGAACAGCATTCACAACGTGGAGCCGTTCAAGCGCACGGCTCACCGAATTCCATAGACAAGAAGAGTATCCAGCTTCAGAGTTGCTAGTGCACATAAAATGAGAGCAGATTCCAACCCCTCTCCCCGCTCCAATCCCCCCACCTCCCTCCCAGCTCGCATCTGCAGGGAAGCGGCAGTGCGCGTGCGCGCCGCGTGCTGCAGGAGGAGCGCCGCGTCGTCCTGCGTCTCGTGTCGCCGCGCGTGCTCACCTGTGCGTGTGTGCCTGTGCGTGTGTTTGCGGAATGGTATTTTAAATATCCACACGAGAGACAAAGGCGGATGGGAGTGGCATGGTAGTGGCGGTGTTGGCCTACACCGCTCCTCTATCACCACCCCGTAACAGCACTTTCCCCGACAGCTTGCGTTGGGCTACACGGGGGACCTTTGTTTCTACACGCGAGTGCGTGGGCGCGCGCTCCCCCCACCCCTCGCGATGTGCGCGCGCTTCGAGGCCGGGGACGCGCGCGCCTGGTACGCGGGGCCGCTGTCGCGGCGCGAGGCGCACGCGCGGCTCGCGGCGCGGCGCGCGGGCACCTTCCTAGTGCGCGACAGCGTCACGAGCCCCGGCGACTTCGTGCTGTCCGTGCGCGAGGCGGGCGCGCGCGTCTCTCACTACATCGTGAGCCGCCTCCCCGCCGCGCGCGCCTTCCGCATCGGGGACCGCCACTTCCGAGACCTCCCCTCGCTGCTGCTCTTCTACGCGGCGCACCACCTCGACACCACGACGCTGCGCGAGCCCGCGGGCGGCGGAGCACCCCCCCCATGTCAGCAGGTGCCGCGGGGTGTGGGCTCGGTCGAAGGGGGTTGCCGAGGGCGGGGCGAGAGACCTGCCCCGGGTAACCGGGGCAGGTGGGGCAACCCAGGTGGGGCAAGTCGAGCTGAGGGTAGTGCAGGGCCAGGGGCGCAACTACCCCCCAACCCCGTGTTGTCAGGGCGTTAAAACATGGACTTCATAGGCCCTGGACTACTCCACCTGAGTCCCCAAGACCCCCAACTTCATTGTACCACTCGCCTGTTGCTGTCTTCCCAACTTGGATTTTGCCCTTGGGGGGGCGGGGGGGGTGGCACGGGTTTCGAGCGGGCTGGTCTACTGTCTTCTCGTGGTTACTTTTGGTTCCACGGTGACGAATGTGGGTCATTATTCATGCTGCCAGTGATGAAGGTGGAACATCTTACCGAGCACAGTGGCTATTCGAACCTCCGATTAGCACGATTGGCCACGTACGGTGTGAAATAAGTTCAAGATTTTAGGTTGGTATAGATGGAAATATTTACATTGGTCCTTACCAGATGTGTGATTCTGTAAATGTAAAGAACAATAATGTGATTTAGTCAGGAAACCCTGATTAAGTATTTCCTGCCTGAGGGTGGTGGGCAGATTCCTTTTCGAGGAGCTATTCACCTGCCGGATGAATGAGGAGTCCGTGGCGCTGAGTTTGCGGTCCGTGCCGTGTTGCGCAGGTGCCCCCGGCGTTGGCGAGCGCCCCCATGGACTATGTGCAGGCGCTGTACGACTTTGCCGGGAGCGACGCTGAGGACTTGCCGTTCCAGCGCGGGGAGGTGCTGCTGGTACTGGACAGGCCCGAGGAGCAGTGGTGGACGGCGCGCAATCGCGCGGGGCGCGCGGGCATGATCCCCGTGCCGTACGTGGAGCGCTGGGCGCCTCCCCTGCCGCCGGCGCCCACCCCCCAGCCTCACTGGGGCAGCCACGGGCCCCCAGAGCCAGTCCGCTGCCCCCCCTCGACGCTCGCGGGCCCCCCGCCCGCCAACGGCTCGCCGCCCACCTCCGCGCCGCTGGGCGACGAGGCTCCCGCGGAGCCGTCCGGGGACGCCGGGATCGGGAAGGCGGGGAACGGCGCGGTGGCGTCGCGGCTCTCGCAAGACGCTTAGCGCCAGGGCTCGGTGGGATTCGCCGGCGTGGACGCGTGCACTTGGCCGTCACGCTGGCTGTGCCCGGAGCGCGTCACTCGGCCGAGAGCCTGTCCAAACGTCGGTGCTCTCTTGGAAAAAACTATCTAAGTGATTTCCTGCTGCTCAGATGAGCCATGTTGAAGCATTGGTGCTCAATTCTTGTTTACAGGCCTGAGCCAGTGGTGGAAATTCCTATGGTGGGGGTGAGTCTTATCGGTAGGACAACCACTGTTGACTTTCCCACGAAGTTGTACTTGTTTTAACCACCCTGAAAGAATAATGGGCTTAGTCAATTGCCCACCCAGGATTTCAACTCGCGACCTTCCGCTTGCTCTACCACTCCGAGCCACCCAGCTGGGGTAAAATGCAAGGGAGAAAAAGTGAACAACTGTAATCGTGGAAGTGGCAAAGTAACACCGCAAAAATATTGAAACTCGGAGCACGGTAGTACATGCCTGTACCACGGCAGTTGTGCTTTGATGTAACAGAGCAACGGTGCCGCCACATGCGATGTGCGTCGTGTTGATTCAGGTTTTGCGTAAGCGTTCTCCCTGTGTGTGTGTAGGGTTATTGAGTTGCAATCGCAACATTCTCGAGAAAGTCACTGTCCACAGAAGGATCCTCCTGAAGAGAGTCTCGAGGCTTGGCGAGGCCTTTCCTGATTGACTTGAGGACTGTTGTCAATGCAACAATCTTAAATGTTTAATATAAAACGTGTATATTACGCAGAAACAGTCGACAATTGTGTGCGACAGTAATGGCCGTGAAATGTTTTGGTTGAGACCTCGGTGAATGAAGTGGTGGTTTTGGAACCGAGTAAACGGGCCACCAAGGGGGCACCACCTACCTTGGAGTGGCATGCACATCCACACCCTCCGTGTACAGCAGCATGAGTAGGATGAGACAGCTAAGCGCAGACCTTGGGGGCCATGTGTGGACTGCAGATGCTGCCGCTGCTGCTGCACGATTTAGAAGGAGGAAACGATGAGGTGTGGTGGTATCACCTTCGTTGTCCGTGACGACCTCCTGAACGTCAACTTGAGTGAATCCCAGCCACTCCAAGGGGGGGCACACGGGGCCGTGGGGCTTTGTCGTTCATTAGGGTGGCATCGAATGGCCTTCTGGGTGTGCGCGGGTGGTTCTTGCATACACATTAATGAATGGAAACTTAAAGATCTATGTCCAAGTTTCAAATCCACGCAACGGCTTCAGGTGATGCCGAATGAATTGCTGCTGCTGCCTCCGTTGTATTTGCGAGGTGGGTGGTGTGGAGTTGATTTGGTGTGAGAGGCACCGAAGTTGATCGTATGCGCTCACAACCACGGTCTCGCAGGGAGTGGTGGCACGAGCTCGGCTCTATGGTACAGACGGTGACGAAGCGCAACATAGCCCCGCATGAGGCCCCAGCTCAGCAAGGCATAGCTCACGTTAAAGCCACCATTGAACTACAGAGGAGGGATGCACGGTAGGGGTATTTAAGAGGGGTGGTTGGGGTGTGTTTGGGATGTTGTAGTGGTGTAGTGGTGATGGTAGAGATGTAGTGATAGCAGGGTGTGGTGGTAGTGGTAGGGGGTAATAGTGGTAGGGTGTGGTAGTGGTTGTAGGGTGTGATAGTGATGGTATGGTGTAGTGTGGTAGAGTGTGCTAATAGTGGTAGTGATGGTAGGGTGTGGTAGGGGTGGTTAAAGAGGCTCGTGCCCTGGTGGTGAGGCGGTGTTGTGATCCATAGCACGCGGTAGTTAGTCCCTTAAAATTACTGCCTGTGAGAGAAGCTGTCAGCTACAAAGCCTGGGAAAGCCCGGTCTGTGTTGACACGGGATCGTCCCACAACAGCAGTATTCCCACACTGCCGTCTGTAACACTGTCAAACAGCTGTCCCGAAAACCTTTCGTGGACTGTGACACGCGGCCCCTCAAAGCATCGTAGTTCCAGGTGCTCTGCCTGGTGATGGTGGCCCAACCCACTTGAGCTGAATAGGGCGCAGTTGTGATTGTAGTTCTTGTATCAATAGCCGGTTCATGAGGAAGAGAGAGGAAATGCATTCCGCATCTCCTGAATCTGACCACAACGCAGCTCCTGGCATCAGCGAGCGGCGGGCGTGCGTGCCGCAGTGCGTGCAGGAAACTCGCAGTGCGGGTGCAGTGCCTGGAAAGAAGCTGCACATCGCAGTCTTCGCTGGCCGGATGAGATCGGGGCACCGTGGTTTGGCGACTTGAAGCCCAGTTCTCCCTGAGCTGCCCCTCTACCCTCCCTGTAATTTAATCTCCAACATCTCCCTTCCTCCCTCCCCACTTCCACTGCCCCCACTTCACTCTGACACGAATTCCCTCCCCGCCCCCAGCCAACCCCCATGCCTTCCTGTTGCCTTCTCTCGACAGGTCTCTCTGTTAGATCCATATCTGACAGAGAGGGTCCTTGCCTATAAACATCCGGCAGTTCACCATTATTGGTCCAAGCAAGCCTATGCTGATGAAACACTGAATGTTGAAACCTGTTTGTAGTTTGTGTTGAACCAATGCTGCGTGTGGCTGATGGGATGTTTGAAAGATACTTTTATATTTTACGTGGCGGGACATTTGAAAGAGGCGAATCGTCTGCTGATTTATTCTGTTACTTATATCAACAACAACAATGGCAAATTCTGATTTTGTGGCCTGGGTTAGGTTTAGTCTGGACCAGGTATCACATCTGTCGATGGAAGTGGCATAGAATATCTCCAGGGCGGCAACCAGAGCTGTGAAGCATTCATCTTGTTTACATTATTTAGCACGTGCAGTTTAACACGTGGCACTGGAGTATTGAGTTGGTAGCTTGTAATGCAAATGGAATTAAGAGCTGTGACTTAACATGGAGTCTCGTATTTAAGTACTTTGTGAATTGTGCAATGGAATTAGTGTGTTCCCTGCGGTTGGCATGACTTGGATTTTATTTGTGTTTGTGCTCCACCAGTTGTGGTCTCTGAAATTACGTTTAGACGCGGCTTCTCTATGAGCCATAGGTTGGGCGTCGTTTTGGAGGTGTGGATTCTGCGCAAGGGGAGCTCGGTCTACAATGTGATTCACGTTTGAAGGGGCAACCGCTTTTCAGAGATTACCAGCAGCTACAAAAACATCCAAACTGGTGGAAAATTGAGGATTTTCAGTGATTGCTTTATATGGAAAACCGTCTTTTTACCAATACCTGAATTGGCCCAAGGTTTATGTATTAACGGTTAGTTGTGTGGTTTATACAATGTCGTTGGTTTTGGCGAAACATCCCGATGCAGGACCCTCCTGAAAAATAGTCTCTGGACTCTGTGTGGTTTTCCTGGGTAAATCAGTAATTATATTAATTATTGTGATGGTTTGTACAAGGGTGGGGTGTGGTTTGTGTGTGGTGGAGTGCATAGTCTGTGGTTCGGAGTATTGTGTAGATTCAGGTTGTGGGTTTGTACGAGGGTGGCGTGTGGTACGTGTGTGTGTGTGGTTTGTAAGAGGGTTTTTAAACGATAACGGGTAAAACTGGTAATCGTTTTCAGAATCGGTTACAGAATCCGAAAGTCAGGATCCGATAGCCATTTCAAATGGAGTTTCAGTAATAAATGGACCAATTGGCACGCGCTAACGTTCAATCGACATGGTCGCCTGAGTCACGGCGTTATGTTGTGTGTGCCCTCGTTTCTCAGTTCAAAGTTGACCAGATACCCTGGCCCTGCTGGCAGCAGGGCCAGGGAATTTGGTCAATTCTTCCACACTGACCGTACGTGTTGGAATAGGTGAGTGTACCGACACTTTACTCCATTTCACGTGACCTGGCGATGGACTGATTGTGGTCTTACCCATTTATGAAACTTCATCTGCTGCACCAGGAGGTTGAATTGAACCGGCGACCTTTGGATTAAAAGTTCCGTGTGCGAACCATAACACGATGGCAGCTCCCCGTCCTTACATATGTTGGTTTTCTCCAGACACTCGTTTCCTACGAGAAATAAAAATATTACAGGAGAAATTTTCCTGTGGGACCCTCCTTAAAAGGAATATTGAAAATCAAACATTAATGGGCAAATTAATCCCATTTAGCTACAAAAGAATATAATAAAGTTATTGATTTATCGATCCAAGAAAACGTCACCGTTCTCAAGGCTCGTTTTCAGGTGGGCCCTGCATGGCGACGTTTAACCAATTCCATGATGAGGTATGAGTTTGTACGTGGGAGGAAACTGAAGTGCCCAGATTAAATCCCACGTATAAGGGAAAACAAAGATCCACACAGATGGGTTCACAGGCTCATCTGTGCTGCCACCTCATGGCAACCATGCAGCCCAGTGAGTTTGGGAGTTTTACAAAGCTACATGACCCACCAACCCCTTCCCTCCAGAGCGCGAGATGAGAAGTAGTTGAACATAGTTTTATTTATGTATTTATTGCTTTCTGTTGAAACCGTGAGTGTTTAGCGTTGGATGTTCCGTGCACTGTAAAAACTGTTTTTTATGTGGATGGACGGATATGTGGAGGACGCGGATCATCTGCTTAGTTATTTTTCAATTATATTCTCCACAACGACGCTCATGATTATTTCGTGTTTCGTTTACAAATGATGGCAGTGGCCTAAGTATTATTATAGTGTTGTCCGGAGCACTTTCTATTTTTGCAAGTGACTCGCACTGAATGAACCATTGCTAATTGGGCCTAAGTCGTGTCATATATCTCCCAGTTCTGCAAGAGCTGCACTGCCTCCGTGACATCAAAACTTGTTTCTGAAGGTGGCAAGGGTGAACGTGTGCAGCTTCCTGGACAAACTCGCAAACAATCCAGAGCCCTCCAGCTGTACTCCAGCCCTCCTGCACAGATCCAGTGGCTGTGGTGACGTCAGGTGAAGAAGTCCCGCGTGGCCAAGAATATCGCGAGCTCGTGTGGAGCATAATGCCGAAGGGGTTTTGGACCAGAAACATTACACAAACATAATTCTCGACCTTGATCTTCATGACTAAACTCTTGGGACGTGGCACTGCGGTGCCAACATTCAGCACACGCTGTGCCACATGGTTGTCAAGTATCTCACCGTGAAGTCACACCAGGTGCTGCATCATATTAATCTATTCGTGTCTTTTCGAGAAGTGATCACGTAAAAATGCGCGTGTTGTGTTCAAACCGCCATGGAAATACAGGGTTATTACCGCTCCTCTGGCTTGCGATAGTGACTCGCTGAGCGAATTTTGTGCGTTATAAATCGAATTCCTCATCACTATTATTATCTCAAGCACCAGCACAGAACTGGGCTCTCTAAATGCTTAATGGCATGAGGCTATGCTAGTATTCCGGGTGCGTCTCTGCTCCTTGGCTTAGAGGCATCAGAGCCGTAGATAGCAGTGGGCAGCAGCTTCCGATATCATGGCCCAGCCCTTGGCAGATCCCATTATGACATTGTGTGAACTAAAGCATAAGGCACAAGTGAAGCCAGAATTCCAAACCGTGGCCTCTGGTGAGGGCAGCTTCAGTGCAGACGATGCCCATGGGAGGCGAGGGCGGCGTGTCCACATGCGGTGCCGCTATTGCAGCGTCTGCAATGTTTCCAGACCCGTCCTCTGGACATGCAGTCTGGGCACCATGACTGCCAAGGATCATCGGAGCTGCGATGTACCGTGAGGTCACCGCAGGCTAGGGCGTGTAGATGAAGCATCCACCACCTTTGCTTTTAAGAGAACTCTCCATTGTGCCGTAGGCTGCAATGATCTTTTATTCAAGGGTATTGGTGTTCATGTGGATCGTGGATCTGCTAGTATGAAATGCATGCCATCTAGAGTCATGGTAAATCTGTTGCTGTAAATGAAAGGGAAAACTCCCTTGTATTTTCAATTGCAGTGTAATTTGACCGTGCATCCAAGTTTCGCGATCAATCAATAATTTGTCCATTTCACCTAATTTTTGCGCGTTACAAGTCATATGATCATAAAGTGATTACACTATATCCTGTGTTCACGTAGAAATTGGCGGCAAATAAAATGACCACATGGCAAGAAGTGCAGTTTGTGTGTTCTTCCTGAGACACCTTGACCAGCCTCAAGGCTCCTGGTGTTCTCATTCAGTCCCTCAGCGTGCGCTTCAGTCTCCTGTAGCTCCTACCACCTCCAAGATCCGTGTCACTGGTCTGCTGGTGTTCACATTCATCTACAGACGACATCATTCGAGACCCAAACATCACACCTCCTGGCTTTGACATTCCTCCTAGAAGACAGCTGATGTGACCATCAAACGCATCAAAATATCATCAGGCCAATGCACACATCTTCATAAATGGAAAATTAAACAACATAGCCAAAGTAGCGCGGTTGTAGCCGTGCAATCCAAACTGTAGACCGTAAAGTAAACCACGAGTCTGTGCGTCTTCTACGAAGGAGGAATAGAACAGCTACCTACACAAACTCCTGAAGCCCTCTCGTTGTGGCCAGCAGACCTTGACATTAGCATTAAACTACCGAACATATTGCTGCCATATGCAAGAATAGAACCTCGCTCTACCCCATACCTAAAACACTTAAAAAAAACCCACCGCCACACGATACAACACGGCCAACGCCATTCCCAGTCCGAGTTGGTGGTCTTCGGAGGCTTCCGTGGTGGGGCGCCAGGCTGGGTGTGGGAAGTGGTCCACAGTGGTGGTGTTGTGATCCATAGAAACGGCGCTCAGGCGCGTGCGTGCAGCAATCATGAGAAGTTCATCAACAGGGGCACTGCGCTGCACTTGGAAGTAGTACGTAGAACTGTTACAGGCGCTAGGATTTAGAATGCGTTTAACGTTTTTGAGGGTTGAGAGTGTTGCGCGGGTCCAGAGGCTGGTGACCTCTGAGTTGAATGCGTTGTCGGGTGGGTTCACACAGGGAGGACCGATGAAAGTTAACATTCCGCTGTTGGGCAAAGACATCTATACCCCAACGTTTCCACTCTGTCACCTCCATCCAGCACTCCTTCAAATCTTCTCTATGGGATCCCGGCCTGGTTCTTACGGATCGGGAATCCCAGCGCGGGTCTCACGGATCGGGATCGAAAATCCTGGCGTGGAGCTCACGAATTGGGGTCTAAAATCCGGGCCTGGATTTCCCGGATTGCGATCGAAAATCACGGCCTGGATATCATGAAACGGGAATCCCGGGGTGGATTTCACGGATCGGGCATCCTGGTGTGGATCTCGGTTCAGGGTTATGTCGGCCTGGGTCCAATTACATAAAACAACGTAAGTAAATGTCCGCCCATAACTAACTTACTGTTAGTAGCAAACTGAAGAGAGACTTGTTACGGCACTGGTGGGCATCTCTATTCCGGACTTTACAGATGGAATGTCATTCCGGTCCAGTTAACACAGACTCCACTCCACGATTTCCTGTTCCGCTTCCTCGCGCCCACAAAGAGTTTGGTGCAGAGATGGAGGCGCAGTGAGAGGGACGCGGGCAGAAGCAGCACGACTGCAGAGACGGGACGGGAGAGAAGTTTGGCACGGGAGACACGGGGAGAGACGGGGAGACACGGGGAGACGGGGAGACACGGGGAGACGAGCACTCGCGTCGGTACGGACAGAGGCCACCCTCTCCCCTCCTCTGTGTCTCGTGTTTGTGTCTCATGGTCTCGTGTTTGTGTCTCATTGTGTACGTGTGTATGTGCACCTGTGTGTGTGCATCGTTATGTATGTACGCGTGTAAGTTTGTGGGTCTTTGTGTCCTGTATGTGCGCGTGTATGTGGGTCCCTTCGTGTGTGTGGGTCCCTCCGTGTGTGTCATTCTGCGTGCGTGTTGTTGCGTGAGGCACCTTTCTTTGTGCCCGTGTGGGGATCGGACTGCAATTCCCGCTCACAATCAACATTGAACCGGTCCTGGGCCTTCCCCTCGATCGACTCAGCCTTAAATGAGTACCTCTTGGCGATGTGTAAACATGGCCATTAGGGAGACAAAGGCGGCCGAGCGTGGTGCCATCCACCCCCTCGTGTGCTATTTAGTTCCGGCCTTAATAGGTGCTCGCTAACAGAACTTGCCCCAACTGTGTTAAAGGCCATACGGGGGGGTCTTTGTGTCTCTGTGCTGCGGTGTTCTCTTCTTGGACCCCTCTAATGGAACATCTGTGCCGGTTAGAAACATTTAGGCTGGCCTACCTACGATACATCCTGGGTTTAACCAGGCTGGATTGTGTGAGGAGCTCACAAATCTTTGAAAGATCTGGACAAGGTCCCATCGGTGAGCTCCTCCGGCAGGCAAGGCTGCGTTGGCTGGGTCATGTAGCCCGCATGCCCAGCCACCGCATGCCGAAACGGCTTTTGTTCGATTTCGATTTGAAGCTTTCGTGACTACAAGGATTCATCTTCTTTGGTTCTTTCGGTAAAGTCACGTAGAATGTGAATAAAATAATAAAATAACAATAAAATTCTCACGACGTTTCGGCCACAACGCAAGCAGCCGTCTGTCGTCCCGACAGTTCTGTACCTTTCACCTGAAGACGGCCGCTTGCGTTGTGGCCGAAACGTCGTGAGAATTTTATTGTGTTATTTTATTATTTTATTCTCATTCTACGTGACTTTACCGAAAGAACCAAATAAGCTTTTGTTCGGTTGGATATAGGGGGCTAAACGGCCGTGAGACGGAGTGATGTGGTACAGGAGGACGTGGAGCTGAGTGGACTTGCCGATGACTGGAACCAGCGGTGTCAAGATCGGCCTCTGTGGAGGAGGCTCGTGAAGGATGCTACTGGGCAGTTGGAGGCAGTCGCCCTCCAACAACAACGGAGGGCGGAGGAGCGACGCTCACAACAACGAGCGGAGCGCCGGGCGGATAAAATAAAGCAAGTTGGTACAGTAGGGGATACAGCTGGTGCATCCGCCAGTCATCTCAGTCAGCCAACCTATGGCACCTGGGTCCCGTAACAGAGCCTTCGACACTTCATGTGGCCTCAAGGTGCACCTGGCCTCAAGGTGCACCTGGCCTGGCACAGGCGCCGTGGTGACGTTACCGTCACGTAATTGCGGGTCTTCGTCTCTTCTTGACGTACAGCACTCGTGCTACAGCCACGGGCATCTCAACGTGCCATGGACCCCTCTGTGGTCATCTCGGCCTAAACTTGGTGTTCGTTGTAAACAGCCACAATGCGGCGAGGATGATGATGTGTGTTTTCTGTGGCCAGCAGCATGATCTGTGCATTTACATTGCGCTTATATAATAATTTATCTAGGAGAGTCGTGTGACCATTCTTCAGGAGGATTCTGCATTGTTTTTTTATTCTAAGATGTGGTGAGTGGTTATTATATGTTGGAAGAAACCGGAGCACCCAGAGAGAACCCACGTCTGAGGAGGCAACACTCCCTCCCCGTACACCCACGGGAAGGGAGTTTACAACATTTGTGCGGTGATCCACCTACCCTCACCTCCACGGTGCTTATCACAGGCCACGTGCGTAGCCATCGCCGCCCGGCACAAATGGCTCGACAACTCAAAGTGACTTGCGTCAACATGTTATCTCGCACATGCTAAGGGCACGCACCCCACTTGTCTTCACGGTTTGAAGGATCTCTCCGTTTTGGTACATAATGCGTCTGTGTAACACGCACCTGTAGTTGTGTTTCTCGATGTTGCATACATTAATAATAGGTTATAGTTGTGTATTGGTCTGAGAGCTGTGTAAACAGGAAACTACAGAGGTTGCGTTTCACAATTGATGTGCTGGGTGCGTCACTGCATCACGGTGGCTGGAGAGATTTTCATCCAGCCGTGGATTCACAGACGACCAAAATTATTGCGATGCATACAGACAGCCATTATGTAACTACACAGCAGAGTTGTACAGTGCTTCAACTTCTTATTTAGGTTTTAAGTTGCTATGAAGAGCAGACGCGTCTGGCTGACCTGGGCAGGTTGCTGTGTGCAGCTTCCACGGTGCTCACACTCGGGGGACTGGGATTCCTTTGGCTCGTCGTCACCAAGACGCGCGTCTCTTGTGCACGCCAGCCATACAGCCGGATCGCATTCAGCATGCCCTGCTTAATTATGAATTATTAAGAGAATGTATGTATGTTGAACTTCTTTCGTTGCCAACCGTGCTAATCGTAGGAAGAGCCTCCTATATGTTATGTTTCATGTGCACATTTTTCTCGGTTTCCCTAGTCGTGGTTTCCCTATTCGCGGTGAATTTGCAGATACCAACCCCACGAGCTGATCTACAGAAAACTTAATTATTGCTCACAGATTGGCCTCCCTCAATGCGCAAGAAGTTGTGTTTAACACGGGCTTGACTCGCAAGACTAATTAAGTCATAATTAATACGTATACACAATACCACTGCGTCATCAGTCTCTTCGTCGCCTGATCACATTCCACCAAAAAAAACACTCGGTCTGACAATATCGTTGAGCGTTGTTGCTGACGATGAGGCTGCGAGTAGCAGAGACGAGGGACAGAAGAGCCACGGTGGGTCTGCAGACGATGCCTGAGCCGGCCCATACAGGCGTCAGCTGCTGCAGAGCAAACCCCCACACGCATGGCCATCTCGACCTGCAACAGGGCCAGGGAACGAGCTACGTCTGCGGTGAAGAGAGGACTATCCCTTCTCGGTCCTCCGCTCCAGTGGCATCTGGTGTAGAAACCGTGCACAGCTGACGGTGGTTTAAGCACCAACACTGAGCGTGCGTAGGTAGGCCCGTGCCCCTCACAAAATTAACGAATTGGTGATGTTTGTGTTTGTCTCCGTGCAGGTGCCATGGCGACGGTGGTGCTGGTACCGCTGGTGCTGCTGCTGTGCGTGACGAGGGTGTGCATGGGTGCGGGGGTGGCAGAGAGGTGCGTGCGACCTGCCGCGTGCGAGCCCCTCGCCTACAGCTCGTGTCTGGGCGCCGCCCTGCCCTACGCGCAAACGGCGCTCGTCCTCGCCAGCGATTCGCACTCGCAACACGACGCGCAGGCCAACCTGCAGCTTTGGGCAGGTGTGTGTGTGCGGCGCCATGTACACAACGCACACGGAATATAAATGACACACAACGTACGCCGGTGCACGTAACAAGCACACTCGTGCACCACACACGTGTGCCACACAACGTACACCACGTAGAGAACGCACATGCACGATGCACATGCACGTACGCAATGTACGCAACCCGCTCGCACTTATAAGTGCAATGTACGCAAACAACACGCGTGCGCAAAGCGCGCACAACACACACGTGGCCGGTTGTTGCCGTGCGGGTGACGTGGCGTGGCCATGTGTTACAGGGCTGCGGAGCGTGCCGCGCTGCTGGGAGGTGGTGCAGCCACTGCTGTGCGCCGTCTATATGCCGCGCTGTAGCGCCGGCGCCGTGGAGCTGCCGAGCCGCGCTCTCTGCCACGCCACGCGCGCGCCGTGCGCTGTGGTGGCGCGCACGCCGCACGGTTGGCCCGACTTCCTGTCCTGCCAGCCCGAGCGCTTCCCCGACGGATGCCCGGTGAGTCGCGGGCGACGAGTGCCTGACCCAACTCCCTGGCCTCCCTCTCACCCCTTGTTCTCGTCCTCGCTGTCCCCATTACTTCTTGTCTACTGGTGCTTCTGTGCTCTCTGCGCTTCGGAAGTCTCTTCTTTCGCCTGCCTGCGCGCTAGTGGATGGCAACTTAAAGATCTACGTCAGAGTGTGAATGCCAAGCAACAGCTTCAGCTAAGTGAATGGCTGCTGCTGCTGCCCCTGTGACACTGGCAGGAGAGCGCACAACGTGGCTATTGGCTCGTGTAATGGTTACTCTGCCATCTAAATGACCATTTGATGCTGAGCTGTAAATTTTGTGCGGTAACTTGCGATTGTATTGACATATCCTTATCTGTTTACATTTTGATGTTTCTGTAACTTAATGTCACTGTGAATAGTGTCCAAATGTAATTTGTTGAATATGTATTACTTAATGTTTGTGTGAACTATTTTAGATTCCTTCTGTAATGTGATTGTTTTGCTCTAGTTGTTACCCTCTGATTGCTTTATTCCTCTGCTTTGTTTGAATGTTATTGCTTTTGTCATTTTGGTGACGCAGGTCACTCTTCTTATGGAGTCTCTTGAGCTCACCATGTAATCTCTGCACTGTAGGGGGAGCACTTTACCATGTGCCCTGTAATGAGACTTACTTGCAAGCCTGGCTGACTGTGTGTTGTTTCTCTGTGTTGTGCCCTTGCTAGTGACTGGGTGTTGTGTCCGTGTGTTGTGGCCGAGCGTTGTTTCCCTGTGTTGACTCTCCCTGTCTCGTTGAGTCCCCACCTGGTTAAGCAAACCAGAGTTGAACATGAGCGCGTGGTGGCGGTACCGCTGGGCGTGTCTGGCGTGTGCAGAACACGGTGCAGGGCGTGCACTTCAACACGACGTCGAGCTGCGCCGCTCCGCTCGTGCGCACTGACAACCCTGCCAGCTGGGTGCGCGACGTGGAGGGCTGTGGTCTTCCCTGCAGCAGCCCCCTGTACACGGCCGAGGAGCATGCCGCCATGCGCACGGCCACCGCGGCCATGGGCGCCCTCGCCCTCCTCTCAGAGATCTTTACCCTGGTGCGGGCGGATGCAGTGTGCAGCGCACAGCACACAATGCACAGCACGGAGTACACAACGCACAGCATGCACCGCACACAGCACGCAGCGCACAGTGCGCAGTATGCAGTGCGAAGGGCGCAGCACACAGCAGACAGTACGTAAACGCACAGCTGTTGTTCTCATGGAAGTTGTTCATGTTAAATAGATTTTAAAAAACAACAAAGCGTGAAGGATTTTTGTGGTGGAGTCCTGTGGACATTTTTTGTGGGCCCCTCTATGGCACTTGGGGCAGCATCCTGCTGAGTGAGATTTCTGAATTGATTCTCGAAACAGTGATATTGCGCCAAAAATACGCCTCGGCATAATTTGGGAAAAGACTTAAAAATATATACATTCCAAATATAATTTAAGGTGAAATCAATGGCAGTTTTCATAGCAATGTGAAATTTACAAGTTTGAGTTTGCAAATGGAGATGAGCACTGCTCCACACCCATGTCAGCAGGGAGACTTTGACTTTATTAAGATTGTGGTCTTCACGAGTCCGGCGACCAATCAGAAACAAGACCTAAGAGATTGTTAGTACAGACCTTGGAGATCACTGTCAGCATCAACTGTGCACCAGTTGCTGGATATGGCGGAGGTGAGAAGGCGTCGGGGTCGAAGTGCGGCGGTGGCTTCAACGGCTGTGGCCACGACGACGTCTCAGTGTTGATTAAGAATTGACTGGAGATTCACGTGAGAATGTCCCACGTCTTACACTCGAGGGATGCGTTGTGTTGCCCCATCGACTCGGCGTTAAAGGGAGGAGTGAGATGTTGGATGCGAGTGGAGAGCGAGCGGTGCGTGGTTGCCCGCGGTTGTGGCATACCGAGGAGAAGGAGGTGGTGGTGGTGGTGACCGCTGTTTGCGCAGGCGACGTTTGTTGGCGACTGGCAGCGCTCACGGCGTTACCCGGCCGTCGTGATTTGCTATATCAACGCCTGCTTCCTGGTGGCGAGCGCCGGGTGGCTCGCTCAGTTCCTCAGCGACGCTCGGCAGGACATCACGTGCCGGCACGACGGCACGCCTCGCGTGGGAGAGCCCACGTATGGCCCGCCCCTCTCACTTGCTCGCCACGCATGCACACACGCGGCCATCGTCACTTGCGCACACTCGTTCATTCTATAACGCAAGGCTCCATGCATGCATGTAGACTCATTGTATCATATCGACACAGACGCTCTCATATTATAACCAGCTGGGTGGCTAATTGGTAGTGGGGAGCAGTCCATCATCCATCTCTCCGCGTCAAGAGTGGTTTCCCTAATGGATAGACCTGGCCCTACCATATGAATGTGTAATTTCTACCAAGAGATGAGCACTGCCTCAGTACTCAATTGGGCAGGATTTCACTGTAACCTGTGCGTGTGTGCGCAGGTCAAGCGAGACGCTGTCCTGCGTCATCATCTTCGTGCTCATCTACTATCCGCTCATGGCGGCCGTGTGCTGGTTCGTGTGTCTGGCGTATGCGTGGAACGCGTCATTCCGGGCCCTGGGCACGCCGCAGCGGCCCTTGGCTCGCAAGACATCCTACTTCCACCTGGCGTGCTGGTCACTGCCCTTCGTGTTGACGGTCGCCATACTGGCACTGCAGCAGGTGCCACCCCGATTCTCGATCTTGTCGCTCTGGCGCCCCGGGTCGCTCTTGCAAATAAGGCTCATCCTGGTCTCTGTGGTTCTTGTCTGATTACGCAAAATCAACTTGAGAACTGAAACAATCCGCTGTTTTGCAGAGAGTATGTGATAGCGAGTGTGTGTGAGAGCGAGTGTTAGCCTGGGGAGCGGTAGTGTCGCGGTCAGCAAGCTGCGCTATGAACCCGGGTACCCGAGTTCTATTCCTGATCATGGCCAACACCAGTGACGATTATCTGAACCGGTCCTGGGCCTCCCCTAGGTCGACTCGGCCTCAAATGAGTACCTGGTGCGGTGTGTAAACATCATCACGAGGGAGAGAAAGGCGGCTGGGCATGGTGCTGGCCACCCACCCCCCTCATGTGCCATGCCAGCCTTCATAGGAGCTAACAGCACTTTCCCTAACAGTTTGTGAGCCTTTGCGAGTGAGTGGAGTTTGTATCATCTCTCTCCCGCTGGTCGCATGGATTGTTCTGTAGGTCCTCCAGTTTTTCCCTCCATGTTTAGACACATGCGCTCAGATTTGTTAGCTGCTACTATAAATTTCCACATGTGATGATAGAGCCATTTCTATCAGCAATCATGTGTGACCAGGTTGCCTCTGAAAAATAGCTCATATCTCATTGGGCTTTACCTGGTAAAATAAAAATTAGTTCAGTTAATAGTTTAGTAGAAACTGCTCCACTGATTCAGTCGCTCGCTTGCTCACCGGCGGTCATTCGACTCCTTTTCACTCTTCTGTCGCTACTACTGTGGTTACTGTCGTGGTAAATTTCACGCATTGACTCCAACACCATTGTCGAGGACTCAGCCCGATTGACTGTTGCGTCTCATCCGTACTGTGTTCAACCACCACACTGCAGGTCACAACAACTCACTCATCTACTATCCCCACTCACTCACCGCACTGAAGGGTCACCTCACTTCTATTTTTGTTTAAATTTGGGATTCCCTCGCATCGTCTCTTTTGCAAGCTTTCATAACAATCTTGACCATTTCAAGAAACATGGTAACTCTTAGGTGCTTGCGAAACAGCACTTGCTCGAGCAGTCTGTGTTAAGGCTATGGGGGGGGTGGGGGGTTCAGAAGGGAGTGTAGCACGAGCACCTGTGAGTGCAGTGAGTCGAGGTGTGAATGTGTGTGTGGTGTGAGTTGAGTGAGCGCATCACGAGTGCGTTTTGTGCGTGTGTTCCTACGTGTTGCCATGTGCAGGTGGATGGAGACTCCATGTCTGGCGTGTGCTTCGTGGGATATCGCGACCCCCACTTCCGCGCCGGCTTTGTGCTGGCGCCGGTCGGTGTGGCCACCGTCGCCGGCGGCTACTACCTCGCGTGTGGTGAGTTGACGTAGCTCCGGCTCTCGCTGTGCAGACAACTTTGATCAATGCGCTCATTTAGCCAGGAAACCCTCACCGATTCTCAAGGGTCCAGCTATGTTTTTCGTAGTAGAGGGGCGACTGTTAATGATCTTTGCATTAATACGGCGCTTGCTTACATGCCGCGGCAACTCGAAGCGCCTTACATCGCAGTTCATCTCAAACACTCGAAGGAGGGCACCCCGAGTGACAGCTGTCCCCGTGCGGTACAAGGTGACTCCACACTGCCCTGCACGCAGGCATTCGCCTCCTCGTAGGGAACGATGATTGCTTTGTGTTGTAATTTTTCAAATTTAGAAAATATGACCATGACGCTGGTTCACAATGGCCTACTCTTCTTTGAATTACATCACGGAATCTTTCATGTCCACTGTGAAGTGGAATGCACAGAGTATTTCATGGTTGATATACACCGTGGTATTAACCACGGCAGCCTTCTGAATTTGAACCATGAACCTCTTCAACAAGCGACGAATGTGCTACCGCTGGGACAAGTCGCTTAGCTGCACGAGTCTGAAATGCCGCGTGGTTACCCGGGAGATGGGTGTTGCCAGTGTGCGGGGTGTAAAATATCACCACTGGGAAGACAAAAGGGGTCGAGTACTGTGCAGGCCTCATTTCTAAAGTGAAACTAATTTCTTTAGAACTGCTTTTTGTGTTTAGTTTGCTGTCCTTCACCCGCACCTCCGATTAGCACGGTTCTCTGCGTATGGTGTGAAAGAAGCTCAACGTGCATACAGGCCTTTGTAGGTGCTCGCTAACAGCACTTGCCCCAGTAGTCTGTTAGGGCTATACAGGGGAACTTTGTATTTTTCATAGGTGTATACATGTGGATGCGTTCGCGCGTCTACATTTTTTTGCACGTGGGTTGTTTCAGTTGTTTATGCACCCAGTTAAAGTCCTGACCACTTATAACATTAGTGGCAAATTATATTGGAACTTGTCCCCGAGTCTCCCCTGGGTGGTTACAGCCGTCAGTAAATATCTCATGCGGTGTATAAACATGGAAAATGGAGGCACAGGTGACTGGTTATGTATGCTGGCCACTTCACTGCCTCGTGTGCCATGCCAGCTTTACTGCGTTCTCGCCAAGACCATTCGCCCCAACAGTTTGCGTGGCTACAAGGGTTATCTCTGCGCTCGTGTGCAGGGATGTTTACACTGTTTCGCATAAGAAGATCCCACCCTGGGCTGCTCAGCCAGAAAGCGTCAACCAAGATCCAGGAAACGATCGTGCGGCTCGGTGAGACGATCACACAGCAGCGCCTGCTCGAGCACACACCGGGTGATGAATATGCGATGCGGCTACGAGTCTCCGAGTCCCTGTGTTCCCTAGTCCCTATGTCCTGCAGTCCCCGAGTCTCCGTGTCCTCGAGTCTCCGTGTCCTTGAGTCTTCACCAGCTCATGTTACGGTCGGTCCGGGTGCAGCGAGGTCATCTCATGGGTCACGCCATGAACACTAATACCTCAGTGGTGGGAGGATTGTTCTGTGTGGAGCAGGCTCATGTAAGTCACCACTGAGCAGGTGGAGGTATCAAGAATAAGACAGAAAGTTGGGTGAATGATGGTGGTGGTAATTGTGAAATGCATTAAAGAGGCTGGAACACACGATCCAGAAATACAAGAATTCTCCAAATAAATTGAACGCTGCTCTATTATGCATGCACATTGATGAACTACACTGACGAGGGTGACTGTACGCGATGTCACGTGATGCATATTCTAACGGGCAATGCAGTTTCAATATCAAATAACTGTTTTAAATTTCCCCTGCAAGCATTCATCTGGAGGGTGTAACGGTAAGTAGTGTGTATCCGACGCGGAGCCATGTGAGTCTATCACATGGATGCATGACGCGCCGCTCATGTGTGTTCTCACCTCCGTGGTGCACAGCTGTAGTGCCAGTGTCAGCGTGGCTGTAGGTGCGGCTGTGAGTGTGGCTGTCAGTGTGGCTATAGTGCAGCTGTCACCGCGACTGTAGTGTGGCTGTAGTGCGGCTAGAGCACGGCTATCGGTGTGGACTGTCATTGCGACTGGGTTTGCGCTCCACTGCTGCCATACTTTACGGGTCAGTATCTTCCTTTTCAGACAATGGCACAAAAGGAAGTTTTTCCACCGGTTCCTGTCCCGTCCCAGCTGTCGAGATCGTTTTTCACCGAGCCAATTCTACACCCATGTTGAGGATTCTGTCAACCATACACAATAACCATTTCGTCTCATACACCACACCGTGTTTGGCCAGCACACTGGAGGTCACAATAACTCACTCAACCACTCACCCATCCACTCACCCATCCATTCACCCATCCACTCACCCACAACCACTCAACCACTCACCCATCCACCCACTCACCAACTCCAGGTCATATTACTTATCTTGTTGCTTATTTCCTCGCACTGCTGCACTGGAATTCCATCCCACTTTCTCTTTTCCCCAAGCTCTCATCATAACCTCGCTCAGTTGTTGTGGTGGGATTTGTTGTTGGAGTTGTTATGCTAGTTGTTGCTGTAGTTGTTTCAAATGTGTAAATGAAGAGAATACCCACCATAACAGATGTGATAGTGGGCAAGGCCGAGAGCTCTTGTACATGCTATACACGCCTTTGTGGTTTTAAATCCATTTGTGGCTGATAATTGTGGTGGTAGTTACGGTTGTTATGTTCATTGTTGTGATTGTGGTGGTGCTTATTGTTTTGATTGGTATGGAAGACGTGGTGGGTTGTTATTGTTGCGGTTGTCATGACTGGCGCTGCGCATGTGTGCTTGCGTGTGTAGGGGTGTTCGGCGTGCTGGCCTGGGGCTTCGTGCTGCTCACGTTTGGCTGCCACATCTACGACTTCCTGCACCGTGAGCAGTGGCAGCGCAGCCTCAGCGAGTACATCCTGTACGTATCTCCTCAACACCTGCTGCTGCTGCCGCCACCGACACCGCAACCGCCGTCTTGAAGAGCGACGCTGCTCCCGTGTCGTCCCACGCAGGTGCCGTTCCAACGTGGACCTGGGTTCCGTGAACGCGAGCGCGGGTTCAGGCACCGGCCCGGGCTTGCCACGTAAGTGCGAGCTGGGGGCACGGCCCGGCCTGCTGCTCGCCGTGGGGAACGTGGCGTGCGTTTTTGGCACCGGCATCACCATGAGCAGCTGGGTGTGGACGCGTGCCACGCTGCACACCTGGCGGCACACCTGGCTCCGGTACGTGGTTCAACCGGAACATGGCGCGCACGGTGCATGGTGCGGCGCGGGGCTGCCGCGTTGTGCACGTTGTGCCGTGTAACTCCGGGCCGTGTCTGCGCCTGCCGTCTCCGCGCTCAGGATCTTGGGCCGGAAGGACGATCGCCTGAAGCGGCTGCACCGGAGTCACATGATCGCGAAGGCATTTGCGCGGCGTGGTGACATCCTGCACGACGCGCACGCACGCATCTCGCTCAGCCTGCAGAGCGAGCTCCCCGGGGGGGCCGTGGGTACGCACACAAACACAAATATATCCCCCCTGTAGCATTTTACAGATGTTGAGGCAAGTGCTGTAAGTGAGCACCTATGAAGGCCAGCACGGCACACGTGGGGGTGAGTGGCCAGCACCATGCCCGGCAGCCTTTGTCTCCCCAACGCCGATGTTTACATCAGCATTGCCCTCTCTTCTCTCTACTCTTGCGAAACATGGACCTTTTTTGAAGAAACGTTCACGCAGGCTTGAAACATTCAAGCTGGCCCTGCTGACGATCCATCCTGGGTTTAACCAGGCTGGATTTTGTGAGAAGCTCAGATGTTGGAAAGATCTGGACACAGTCCCATCGGTGAGCTTCTCTGGCAAACAAGGCTGCACATGTCCAGCCACTACATGCCTCAAAAGCTTTTGTTAAGCCGGATAATGGGCAAAACAGGCACGGCACAGGCTAGAAAGAGATGGACTGAGGTGTACAGAAGAATGTGGAGCTGATTGGACTTACCGATGACCGCTACCGGTGATGTTAAGACTGGGCCCTGTGGTGAAGGCTCGTGAAGGATGCTTATGGGCAGTTGGAGGCAGTCGCCCTCCAGAAACAGCAGAGGACAGAGGAGCGACGCTCACAACAACGAGCGGAGCGCCGGGCGGCTAAGATGCAGTGAGGTGGCACGGTGAGGGGCACAGATGGTGCATCTGCCAGCCATCTCAGTCAGTCAACCCATAGCACCTAGGTCTGTCACGTGACTTCCTGTCAGCGAGCCTTCATCACTTCACGTGGCCTCAAAGTGCACCTAGCCTGGCACAAGCACTGTGGTGGGACTACTGCAATTTAGTGGCGAATGGCAGGTGTGTATATGTGAGGTCTCTGTGTGTGGAATCTGTGAGAGTGTACATAATTTCTGTTTATTTTGTGGCAGTTGGGATGGATCTGAACCTGGATGATTCTGGGAGCGACTCGTCATCCTGGATCAATCACGTTACCAAGATGGTGGCACGAAGAGGAGCCATTTTACCCAACGTGTCACGCACACCCACGCCCGGTACCATACACGACGCACATGCTAAGCACACACTATATATACACACACACACTACACATACACACTAAGCACACACATTATACACACGTTACACATACATGATATGCACACACGTTACACATACATGCTACACGTGCACATTACACACTTGCTGCACACACATTACACACATACTAGATACACATGCTACACACCTCGCACATAATACGCAAGAACACAACACACATCCCGTACACACGGTATGTAGCAACACGCAATAGTTGGACCTTCTTGTTGTTCGTTGTTGCTGGAACGGATACTTGGCTCTGTATCAGCGGTTGCCACAGCAGCACGCGATTCCCTGTGTGCGGAGCATGGGTGCAACAGCCGAGTCTGCACGTTCATTGTCTGTGAGCAGAGCCCTCGGATGTTAAGGCGCCGGTCGTGCATTCCAAGCCGCATCACCGCGCTGGCACTCACCATCACAAGAAGAAGCGACGCAAGAAGCACAGGCCCCGAGACCTCGGCTCTGACCACGACTTCCTCCCTCACGACCTCGGCGCCGACCTCCCGGCCCCCGACGCGACCCCAAGGGTGCCGTGGTCCACAGGCGGCGTCCCCCGTCTCCCCAAGCTCCCGAGCAGGCCGTTCCTGGTAGCGGCCTACCCCGGGCCCGGGCAACGGAGTGCATTCTGGGAGGAGGGCGAGGCCAGGCAGGAGGAGGAGGGCAGCAGGAAGATGTGCTGGGGACAGCCGACGGCTGGCGCCACGGCCGGCACCACGGCCGGCGCGCCTCCCTGGGAGCAGCTCGTGAGCGAGACGCGACCGCGGCACCAGCCCGGGGCATTCTGGGAAGGCCGGAGGGAGGCGGGGGTCCACGACGCGCCGCCGGGTATCCCCCGCGCGCCGCGCAGCCTCAGCCCGCGGCGGGATCGCCGCGGCGAGGCCTTCCGCGCGGGGAGGCGGTGGTTGCCGGCGCAGAGTGATGTGCCGCCTCCCGATCCCCCCCCCTACTCGGCAGGCCTCCTGCCCGGCACTCTGCACGAGCACGGAGACGGCGAGCCTCGCGCCGATCGTCAGCACCACCACCACTCCCAGCAGAGGGAGAGCCTCTTCTGAGGCAACGGGGGCGGCTCGCCCGCTCGGACGCCTCCGGTCGCCGCTGTCGGATCCCCGGTCTGGCATCCGACGCGGGGAGTCCCACGTCTTACAAAAAAACTACGTCATCCGTTTTCATTATAGGTTCAGCGGTTTAAATACTCGTATTTAACAGGACGTGAAAAGCAAAGTTCAAATGATTTCCTGCTCATGAGCATTGAGGCATTGGTGCTCATCTCCTGTTTACAGCCCTGAGCCAGTGGTTTAAATTCCATATTGTTTTGGTAGGGGTGAGTCCATCCGTAGGACAATTACTGTTGATTTTCGCATAAAGTGGTACTCATTTTATCGAAAATGAAGGGGTGATGGGCCGAATCAACCCCCAACCTTGATTTGAACTTGCAACCTTCCGAATGCGAGCCACTCGCACTGGCATTGGGCCACGAGAAGCATATACCCACGCCTTAATATTGAAATAACTGCGCCATCACATCCAGAAAGCGCCATAGGTCTTGTAGATGTATCAATTGCGTGGCAAGGATTGTGTTAATGAGTTGAACGTGTGTCTCTTACTCTTTGGGTCTTTCGGTAAAGTCACATAGATAGAAGAAAAAATCACGACGTTTCGATCGCAACACAAGCAATCGTCTTCAGGTGAAAAAATACAGCAGGCGGACTGCTGAGGCAGAAAGAAATGTAGCAAGAGAGCTACTGCAGCCAAAGGTTATATAGGTTTGAGATGGGTACAACCCAAGGATAAGTGGGTGGGGCTAGAGATGGAATTTGCAAGTAAATGTAAGATCGCAGAGCTAGGTATACCTCGGCTATTGTGTTGCTAGAGATTAGTCTCCTGATAAAGAACAAGGGAACCTGTCCAATGTGGGATGAGAAACTTCGCTCGAAGCAACTCCAGTAGCTGTGATGTCACAACCTGGGAGCTGTTCCCTGGAACAGTGGTGCTCTACTCACCGGGAGCCACTTTGGGAAGCTGATTCATCTCATAATTTGCCACTAACCATAACACAATTGGAATATAAAATATACAAAATTAATTCCGAACGGGTTGGACATATGGATGGGACTGTCGGGCTGGGGGCAGCGTTCAGGGTAGGAGATGAAGGAGTTGGTGTGATGAGGTAAGACACTGTGGTAGGGACTTGTCACAAATGTTAACTTCATGGAATTATTAATGCTTTTCATAAGAGATTCTGGTTAATTTTATTTTGAGAAGGAAGCTTTCTGACTTTGATTCAAATTGTGGGTGGAACTGGTGACGATACGTGCCCGAGCGCGGAGCTCAAGGTCTCGTGGTCTCGTCTCTCACCACAGCCTGCCGGCCTTGCCCCGTCTCCTCGAGCGGTGCCGTGGAGGCCGCTGTTTGTCTCGACTCTCTCGCGGCCGTGATGGTGCCGCGTCCCGTTCACTAGGCACTGCAACCGACTCTTGCGCGTTTAGTAGGATTTCACCGTCGTGCGGATGCCGTTGTGTAGACGGACGCCTGCTCACAGTGAGTGTTGCGGTATGACTAGAGGTGGGACTACTAAAGGACGTAAAAGTATAACGCTTTGTGCACTGAGCGGCGATGCGTATGCGTACAAGCCAGTAACGGCCGGTCAATAGTGACCTGTGAGGCCTGGCGTCACTAGAAAAACAGGAAAATTGGAAAAAAAAACTTGTACATTGTAAAGTTTATAATATCACGTTTATCTGTTTTACACTCCAGAGTGTATAGATCAGCAACGGTGGCTGTAGTAACGGAATAAAGCAGGTACAAAGCCGACCACGCACTCGCCTCTGGCCTACACGAAGGCCGTGAGCATGGCGTGTGTTTAGGCCCGGCGACACTCGCTGCCGTCACCGCTCCAACGACTCCTCTTGCACGCGTGTTTCTGCTCTTACTCGTGCAGTTTTACTTTTTGCCTTTCATTCAAAATAACGGCGTTAAATGTTTTATTGTAAAATTTGCATGCAAAATTACTGTGAAATATGAATTGCTATTTAGCCAACAATGGGAAACGGTTGTTGTTGGACGTTAAAAGCCGTCTCCTTTAGAGGGTGGTTACTGATTAAGTGTGTAGACGGTACTTGTACATTCCACGTTTTATTTTTGCTTCCGCATACAGCAGTGTGCTGGCAAGCGGCTGAGTGGTGTCACTGTGCGATCCTTTACTTGCACATCCACGGCGCGGACAGATCAGGGAGTTGGGGCTGGGGGCACAAGGGAGATCGATGATGCCCGTGGTAGGGATAGGGAGTTGTGGTACAGAGTTGCGGTCCGAAGTCACGGTCTGGAGTCATGGAACGGTATTACAGGAGGGAGTCCTGGCCGGGAGTCACAGAGTCCACGGTAGAGGGTCGCGGTCAGTGGTCCGGAGTGGCACGCTATGTGTGGCATGGGCGAGTGAAGCGCTATTGGGGAGTCTATGCTCTCCCAGGTAGAGTGTTTCTGGTTGGCAGAGGTCACTGGCATTATTTTCATGATGGGTCCTCGGTTCACTGTCACCTGAAGTGTGTTGGCTCGTAATGACCCAGTTTCGTTTTTCCCGGTTTGTGACGTTCAGAACAAAGAGGTTTCTTGTAAATACATGTCCTTCCGTCATGAAATATATATCTGTGTATATATAGTATTGTTTAAAATGAGGTTACCATACATTTCTGGTAATGTTAATGCATTAAGACTTCTGCTTAAAGGAACAATTTTAGAAACTGTAATTCGCAGGCGGCCCTGCCAGGGCCAGCCGTGCAGCAGGGGTCTGTTACGATCACGTGGCATTCGACGTGCGGTTATAACATTGTATATGTAGAACTGTTCCACTGATGGAGGAGAGTGATGCTTATCTGCTTCACATTCTCCATGTAACTGGTGGTACAAGTTAGATGTTTCAAAGTTCATCGGTACATGAGTAAAAACCATCACCATCAGGATGCTTCGTGACAAATCTTCCTCCCAGATTTTATGAATGTTCATGCCATGTGATTAATCTAATGTTATCATCTTCAAAAACTTCAATATTGCTGCCTCATCATAAGCACACATTTGCCGAGATTAAGGTACATGCTGTAAAACCGGTCCCCAGCCTTTTTGTACTGCGGATCGCCGTTAGCCCTCAACGTATTTGCACAGAACAAGGCGCAGTAAAACTATCCGGCGTTTTGTGAAAATGACCGTATCTGCAGCACCTCCACGGAGCACTCCTCACACGGTCTGGCTGGAGCCTGCACCAGTGCCGTGCAGACCACAACTTGGGAACCACCGCTGTCAAATGTTCTAACTATGCCTACGTAGTTCACGACCACGATAGCTAAAGCGTTTCATTGCAGCGATACAAGAACATTCGACTATGTGTACGTATACAGGGATGAGGCTTGCACAGAGGTGAGAGCAAATGCAAGCACTGCTAGGTGAGGGAGACTTCATGGATTCGTGCGAGTTCTATTGTAGTATTTGGCTGCCCTGGGCAACTTTTACAAAGAGATGTTTTGAATTAAGTTTTTTTACCAATGCATCTTGTTTGGGACTTCGCCAATGCAGTAATGTTCGACTGTTCTCATGCGTGCATTTTTTTAGATCTGTTTTGTTACATGGTCCAATAAACCCATTTCTTTTAAATACGTGGAATTTGCTGACCTGCCTCAGCACACAGCCAACGTTCACTGCAGAATTTACATTCACTGCAACTTACAGGGGCTCACGCTTGAAACATGATATGGGAGGAATTGGAGGAAACCAGAGCACCCGGGACAAACTCATGCACAACAGGGGGATAACATACAGTACAAAGTCCACTCAGAAAGGCGCCCGAGTCGGCAATCGAACCCAGGTCCCCTCTTGCTGAGTCACAAGCGTCACCACTGCGCTGCCACCTCTCTGTCACCCATGATGCTCGGAGCAGAGCCCTTCAGTGCTTTGGCAATAGTCGTGAGCTCCAAGTCAGATTCACGCTGCATGGTTGGTGGTTGTTCAGGTGAGGATGCGGCACTGGAGTTGGTGGTGGTGCTGGCTGCATCTCTTAAGCTACTCGTGGAGGTCTTGCTCGTTTTGGAGTCGTACGGCTTCATGGGACAGTTGGCTCTCGTAGATGTTTCGGGATAATTCTCAATTATTGTGTTGTAGTCTTCAGGGTAATGTTGTAGAGAGTGTTGGTCCAAAGGTTCAGTTGGTAGAGGAGATTGATATGCACTCACAAAGGCATCAACAGGAGCAGCACTTGCATCGGTGGCGATTGTGGACCGCACAGACGCTGCAGTGGTGATATCGGTCACGCAAACCATTCTGTCGATCTTTCTGGCCACCTGCAGTTCCCGGAGCAAACACATGCATGCATCATCAAACACCTCTCGCACACTTAGCGGACACGTCTGTTCACAAGGTAGAAATGTTGGTTTCCATGAAGTGCGCACGTTTTCCTACTTCACTAACTACGTGCGACGCGGGACCCTGCCTGGGCGAGAATCTTGAGCGCGGGACCCAGACGGAGGCCCAGGGTGGACAGGAGATGTGTCTCTGTGAGCAGGGGCAGCGTCTCTCCATCAATGGCGTGGTGGCGGAACGCCTGCAGTCCACACACACGCACACAAAGACTTAACAAACTCTTGGAGCAAGTGCTGTTGGCGAGTTGCGCCTATGAATGCTGACACGGCATACCAGAAGGTGGTGTGACCAGACCTTTGCCCGGCTGCCTTTGTCTTCCCAGTGGCGATGTTTACACACCCCTCACCAGGTATGCATTTAAGGCCTGGTCTGCCGAGTGGAGGCCCAGGACTGGTTTAGATATGTCACCAATGTTGGCCATGAGTTGGAATATATTTTGGGTCGCTAGGTTCGTAGCGCACGTCCACCGAGGAGATGAGTTCAAGTTGAGTGAGATGGAGCGATGAGATCGGCTCATGTGCACGTGCAGAATGGATCTTCGCATCGCCGGATTGTGAGAGGTGGCGGTGGTTCAATGAAGATAACCATGGTGGTGATGGTAGTGGTGTAGGGGAATGGTGATGTAGTGCCCTCCTTTAATCCAGCGTTGTAGAGGCGAGGGCTGGTGGATCGCTCCACAATTGCTGTAAAACTCTCTTCCCATGGGTCTCGAGGAGTTGCCCATACCCTGGCTTTCCTGAAGGTAGTACAGCGAATGGACTAATCGCCCCCTCCCTTCCCATGGGAAATCGCCTTTCCCCCTCGTGCAAGGCGGTTTCCTCCCACTTGTATAAACACTCAACCTTGATTGAGTGTAAACATTTCAAAATAAAAACCAAATGCAGGACCCAATGTGGCTCTCCTGGATAAGCGAGTAAATCATTAATAATATTTTTGATAATGCTGCCCATTGGGGGAGGCGTCGCGCACCTGCGCAGACTCCGCACACCCAGACAGCGCAGCAACAAAGGTGCAGACGTTGTCCACGCTCCACGCCCTCATGTCTTCCTCCTCCGCGGCGCTCATGGTGCCAGGGTCGCCGTCTTCCGCCATCTCCTCGCCCGGCCCTCTCCCGGGCCGCGCCGGCCTCGCGTGGCTCAACGGGGACAGCGCGGAGGGAAACCCTGGTGAGGATGTTGGCCAACGGTCACTCCTCGCGTAACCCACGTGCCGGGGAAGGCCCGTGTTTGGTAGAGGCGCCGACGTGGCGCCGTGTCTCAGGGGGGCTGTTGGAGAGTGTGCCGGTGAGCTTGACGGCCCGAGTATCGAGGGCAGCAGCAGCAACCGCGAGGCTGCCGGCAAGCGGGTCGTGCCACTTGCGGTGGCCGCAGCTATCACTGCGGGGTTCCTTGCTGCCTCCATGGTGTCCGGCGCCGAGTGATGCAGAGTCACGGATGGCAGGCGAGGGGAGCTGGGCCGGGAAGAGGGGCGCGGACACACCGAGGTCTGCGGCGATGGGGACAAGGAGGAGAGCAGAGGAGCAGCTGAGGGTATTGACAAACTCTCCTGGGAGCTCTTGCCCGCGGCCTCAGCGCGCCGTGAACCGACGTCGCCTGCGTCGCCACCCTCTGCCGCCATCGAGTCATCCGAGAGGTCGCGACCATGCCGCGCGTCGCCCCGATCGCTCCGCTGCTCCTTCCCTTCGCGTCCGTCTCCATCCGAGTCACGGCTGCCATTGTCGCTGTTGTTCTCCTCCAGCGAGCGAGGCTCTCTCTTCATCACTGCCATCGGCGCAGCGGCGTCTTGGGTCACGTACGCCGTGACTTTTTGGCCAGATGACTTTCGCGTTCCACCTCTTCTTCCCAAGGGGTGTGAAGCGCGGCTGGCCAGCAGCAGCCCGCGAGCATGGCTCACGCTCAGCGGGTGCGTCAGAAGGTGCGGCTGATGCCGATGGCTCAGCTGATGCTGCAAGTTCCGCTGCTGCAACAGCATCAGCGCGCTGTGACGCGCGGTCTCTGCTGAGTTCCCACTGATGACATGGTGAGTGTGCAGGTGAGGGTATGGGTTGGAGAGGGGTTGAGGGAATGAGTGAGGGTGGGGCTGCAGCTGCGAGTGAGCCTCGAGCAGCCTCTGGTGACTGTGCAGGCTCTCGAGCTCCTTCTGCCGAAGGATATCGGCCGACATTTCCAACCTGAAGTGAGAAAAACAATGATAGTAAGTTACTTGTATGAAATAAACACTCATGTCAACATCACTTGTTGATTTACGATGAGTATTGTGAGCAACCAATGAGGAGGCGAGCGGAAGGAGGTGCGAGCATGTTGAGAGTCATGCGGGGCCAAGGATGACGTAACATCACAGGTTACGTAAGGGGCTTTTGGAAAGCACTTTCGGGAAAGTGAACGGGGCCAAACTGGGGGGAGGACCCGCCCAAAGGGTTCTTAAGGGGGACCCCATGACGGAGGCATGGTCGTTTTTGGGGGCCAGGGTAAGGACTGGCTGGAGTGGGGTCTCTCTCCTCGTCTCGGTGTGGTGTTGGTTGATCCCCCGCTCCGGGCAGACGAGTGAGAGAGCCAAAGGGATAGCCGGGGTAGGGTCCAAATAGTTATCAGTGTTCTGGTGAAGGACCGAGATAGAGTGCACCTACACTGGTGTGAGTGTAGGATGCCAAGTGTGGAAGTGTTTGAATAAACGGCAACAGCCCTTATAGTATTCCTCGTCTCTGCGTGGTGGTACTGCACAACACATGCATAGCAAGCACATAAACGACATGCAAACAATCACTTGAATAAACAAATATCGTAAATGTTAACATTGTACAATATTGTTTTGATCAGTTGAAATACATGAAAAGGGTTGAAAATTGATTAGAAATTGTGCAATTATGCTGCTGATTTAACTTTAGTTTTTTTAAAATATATAATTGGTTATATTAATGAACGTTTTTTTCAGGGTTAATTGTATTAATACAGAATTCATATCATATAGAAGTTGTGAAGGGCATGCTCACCGAGCCAGGCTGTGCTTGCGTAGAATCCCATGTTGCTGCTGCTGTTGCTGCTGGGAGAGGAGGAGACCGGCTGAGCTGGGTGGGAGAAACCCATAGCCCCCGACTGAGGGACACACACAGAGACGCCAGTCACACAGGCGAATTAAGATGGAGTCATTGGCCTCCTTGGCAAGGGCCGTCCAACCCCTGGGCTGGCTCATGGCCATAGACCTCAAGGATGCCTTCCTGCACGTCCCCATTCTGGCTAACCAGCACCAGTGCATGATGGATCATCACTGCCAATTCTGTCTTTCACTTTACCTTACTCTGGGTTTTTTTTTTTTACCGAAGTCCTGATGGTCCTTGTGGTCATGCTAAGGCGGCAGGCCCACCACATCTATGCCTACCTGGACGACTTAATAATTTGGGAGGTAACCAAGTAGCTCCTAGAGTCCTCGGTGTGGGCAGTGATCTTGGCTCTATAGGCCCATGGCTTTGTCTTCAATGGGGCCAAGTGTTATCTGTTCCCCTCGCAACGCCTAAAGCATTTGGATGCTATCCTCAACACTGTCCAGGCTTTGGCTTTCTTCACACCCGAGATGGTGATTGCTATGTTGGGTTGGGTTGATTCTCTGTTGACCACTCGTGGTGGCTCGGCCCGGTCTTTTCTGATGCTCCTTGGCCACCTGTCTGCCACAATCAGTGTCCTCCCTTGGACCTGCTTATGCATGCGAGTCCTGCAGTGGTGTCTTTTGGCTCCATGGGACCCAGTCTCGGGCACTATAGGCCTCTCTCCGGACAGTCAGGGACCTCCACTGGTGAGCCCTTCCAGCCAATGTCAACCAGGGGAAGCCTCTTGGCTTCTTCAACGAGCAGCTTGTGGTTGAGATGGACCTGATCCTCCTGCTTACAATCCCTCCAGGATCAACGTCATCAACCTCCGCGCGATCCATCTGGCACTGTTCCATCTGTGCGCAATAGCCCCAGACAAGCGGGTCCTGGCTGTGACGTGACAGCTGTTGTCATGGTGAACAGGCATGGGTCTTCCCATCACCATGCTCTCATGAGGGAGTCCTTCATAGCTGGGTCAAGGCCCACAGGGTTCATCTAATGGCCAGGCACCTGGCTTGAACCGAGATCCTCACCGCCGACTGGCTAAGCAGAGATCTTAGCTTCTGGCGCGTGGTCTCTACACCAGGTGGGTTTTGATCAGCTTATGCAGCACTTTGGCTTGCCTGCTGCCAACTGGTTTGCATCTGTGGTTGAACTACCGTCAGCCCGCGGCTTTCGCCATAGATGCCCTGACATGTCCATGGGACCAGGGTCTTGCCTATCTGTTCCCGCCATTTCCCCTTCAGGGTGCTCCAGTAGGTGCACAGGGATGGGGTCAGGGCGGTTCACGTCACTCCCAATTGGGCGAGGAGGTACTGGTTCTCTGACTTCTTGGCACTGGTGGACAGCGACCCTTGGCCACTGCCTTCGCGCTTAGACCTTTTGTCTTAGCGGGGCATGTGCTACCAAGACTTGCGGGTGTGCTGAAGTAGTAACTAATTGGCACGTTTTGTTTACGTGACAAACCTTACTAATTGGCTTTGTGTGGTGGTGTGATAATGACACATATTTACACAATTTAACCCAAAAAACATCTTATAGATATTGGTCGCGAAAGCCTACAAGTTAAACTGAAGCAAACAAAAATCAAGCAAAAACAGCCACAGTGCATAAGATATCAATAAATGAAAAAGTTGGCTCATTCGAATTCACTTTTTTTACATTTGTAGAGGTGCTAACTACTCACTGTTCAGTAACCTGAATTGCCACTAGGTATCAAAGGGGCAGTGCAGCGTTACCTCTGTGTGAATAACGGTTGGGGTCAGACGAGGTGAAGTGGATCGTAGCCACAGTTTGGTAAGAACCAATCAGAGAGTTCCACGTGGGAATGTGGGATTGGTTACACCTGGCCACAAACGGGTATAAGAAGGGTGAGCGCGCAGAGCGCTGGGAGTTCTCTCCCTACACGAAGACCGAAGCCCGTGCTGAAGATAGCCAGGACCCTGGACCCAGCCTTCCAGCCCTTCTGAGGGCTAAGGCTCGGCGTATCCAGTGGTCAAGACCCACCGGGCCAGCGGTGGGTCAGATTGCCTCCCCTAGGTCCCAGCCGGAGGACTCTAGGTTAGCGGTAGACGTGTGAGTAAGTCCCGCCAAGACAGGAGGCTGTACCTCCTTAGGTTAGCAAGAGACCTGTGTGTAGGTCCCGCTAAGTCCAGAGGCTGTACCTTCTTAGGGTATCGGGTGAGGGGACCGTATACCCCTCTGTGTGTTAAGGACTGTGTAAGAGAAGCATTACAATAAACAGAGTGTGCCTCATAAGAAGTTTATTCGTCATTATAAACACTACACATGTGTCGTAAAATTTTAATTAAGACACTCGCCTGCTGCTGCTGCAGCAGCTGTGGGGCACAGCGGTGACCCGGGCAGAAAGGGAGAGTGCAGCTGGGCAACGCCCAGCGCGGAGCGGATGCCCGCCGGCGGGGACAGTGACAGCGCCGCGTGCGCCATCTGCCTGCTCGACGCGGGGACACGGGGACACGGGGGACATGAGGATACAGGGACGTGATGGCACAGAGACATGGGGACGGGAAGACAGGGAGACGGGGACATGGGGACGGGAAGACAGGAAGTCGGGGACGCGGGGAAATGGGGGACGCGGAACATGGGGGACACGAGGATGCGGGGATGCGGAGACCCGGGGACACGGGGACACAGCGACGCTGATGAAACTAGGATGCAGCGAGCCGGGAGCCACCAGCAAGTGGGGCACTGCCTCATACGCGGGAGTGCCCATACCCACAACCTCTGCTAATTCATTACTGAGAGTTCGTTATGGAGGCATAGCCCCTCTGACCTCACCCATTGGAGTATCGATGAAGTATCGATGGTTAAACCTCAATCGATGGTTAAATCTCAATCCGGGTGTCATGAAGCACGAGTGGTCGGGTTGGTGAGGGAAATAATAAAGCAGGCAACGTTTCAGGCAATGGTCCTTCTGAATAGCACATGTTATAATTTTAAAAGTATGTGCTATGAAGAAGGGCCATTTCCCTTTTAAGATGGTGTTATTTTCGCTGCATCCTCACGCCGCGGCTACCTTTCCACAAACAGCCCATGCGGATGCTGATGCAGCTGCTGATGAAGTTGGTGCCTCAGCTGGAGTTGCTGCTGCTGAATTAGACTGGGCTGGTGCAGGAACTGCTGCTGCTCTTGCTGCTGTAGAGGCAGGGGCCCCATTTTCCTCCGGGCCCCCATTGGCCCCGTCGCTAGGACCTCCTGCACGTCGTGACCGTGGGGATCGTGGGCCCACGCAAGAGAGGACGGCGCCGACGACGAACACGACCGCTCCAAATCTGGAAATGCTAAACAGCGGCGACGCCTGGAGTCAGCGGTGCTCGTGCTGCCCGGATCGCGTCAAGTCACCAATGTCGCTTCTACTGCTCACGGCACGTGCATATGGTGGCACGTGGAAGAATTATTTGTGTACCGTTTATTCTTTTACATTTTAATTTATACGTTACATAAACATCTCAGCAACTTAAACCGCCTTACATTGCATCTCATTTAACATTCGAAGGGTACATCCAGTGGGAAGCCTTCCAGTGGCCATGAGGGGTGGGCATTCGTCTGCCAGCAGTGCATTAATGACTGCTGCTGTGTGTAATCGCAATTTATTAATTTGGGGTGTGATTTTTAAAATGTGGACCAGGACACCGGCACACAATGGCCTACCCCTCTTTGGATGACGTCGCGGGATCTTTAATGCCCACAGGTGAAGCAAGCGGCACGCAGTATTAACCAGGCTGGCCTGCCTTATTCGAAGGTGCGACCGCTGAGCCACGTCACCCCCCCCCTCCCCCTAGTAGTAGATGCGCCGCGTGAGGAGGGAGCGAATGCACCTTGCTCATGCACCTTGCTCATGCAGGAGAGGGAGTCCGTGGTGGTCGCGTTCGTGGTAGGAGGCGGTGCGGCCCAGGACCGAGACACAGCGAGAGAAGCGCTGCCCCGGGGGGAGTTCGTGGCCATCTCCCGCCGGGCCCTCAGCCAGGCCCTCTGAGCGCCGCACACACGACGAGCATGCGGCAACATCCATCGCGTGTCTCACTAAACATGGAGCAGAGCAATTGTCTGTTGCTCAAATGAGCATTGAAGCGTCGGTGCTCATCTCCAGTTTATAGCCTTGCAGAGTCAGTGGTGCAAATGTCACATTCCTACGGCGGGGGGGGGGGGGAGTTTATCCAGAGAACAACCACTGACTTTCCCACAAGCGCTACTCATTTTGTGGCCTCCGGGGGATGATGATGATGATAATGATGATGGGCCGAGTCAACCCCCAACCAGGATCTGAACTGGCAGCCTTCCGACTGCGAGTGCCTCGTATTGGAGTGAGTGGCAGTGGGGGCCGTTCACCTGTGGGGGAGCCGATGCTTCGGGCCCTCTTCGACGTGGATTCGATCGCCTCCCTTCCTCGGCGCCGGTCCAGTGCAGCACCTGGCCCGAAGGCACGGACGGCAAGAGTCGCGTTGTGGGGGTTTCACTCGGGGCTGGCGTGAGCCGCGTCGCTGCGTGTGCCACGCCACCACCTTGGCGGGACTCGTCGCGATCACCTCTCTTGTGATCGATGCATTTTTGGAATTTAGGGTCGTTATTTTTATCAGTATTTTTTTATCTCTCATTTTATGCATCGTTTTTCCCCCCACGTTTATTCTGTCTCTTCTACACAACTATGTGTGTTCCATAACCCTATATCAAACATTCGTTTAATAATTTATATGAATCAGAAGCAATTTACTTTCACATTCACATCTTGATCCATGTATTATGAGCGCAGCAATCGAGATAGATGAAGAATCCTTGTGGATCTCTCCCAGAGTGATGCAACCATTCGTATTAGAGTACGACCCGCGTACTCTAACACGGAAGATCTCGGAGGTAGTTGGATATCACCGACCTACCTCCGAGATATCGCATCAGATGTTGGCAGTCCTGCACCAAGAGATAAAATCCACACAAAATGGACACCAATTTGATTTCAAAAGGGCCCGAGCATTATCGATTCAACTCGACTGAGTTTTTAGGACACTGGCATCGAAAATATCCAAAGGAGACATTTGCGGTTACGGTAACTAAAATAAGGGATGAGAAAGATGACAAATCTGACAGTCTGGATATCGCGGCTAATCCCTGAGCATAATCCGAGCCTTAACCTGCAAACGCACGGCTTAGTGCGTGGAGCGGGAGGGGCCACACGAGGAGCGTCGAGCGCCATCACGGACGCCGCTCGCCTGGATCGGCGCACGCCGCCCAGCTCTGTTCCCAGTGTCAGTCCTCGTGGCCATCGGTCTGCAGATTTATCATCGCTGCCACCAAGGGTGGCAAATGCTCGCAATCGCCATCTCGACGCATTTTATCTCTGGATCACAGACATGCATGGGCCACGATGCTGGCACACAATGGCCTGTTCTTTGCTTAATAACATCATGAGACCTTCACCGACCGCTGTGAAGCATACGGCGCATGTTGTATCGGTTAATGTGCCCACCGTATTGACCGGAGCAGCGGCCGGACTCGAACTGCAAGCCTTTGCAGCAGCGGTAAAGGCGCTACCACTGGGCTGTGTCACCACCCCCATTATAACCAGGTGATCGTCACGTGGGACGTGAATCGTGCTGTTTGTTGCTGACATCTTGGCGGTTTGAGCATTTGAGCTTGTGCTCAGCCACCATGATTTAAAAAAAGACCGAATACATTGATTTAATAAAGTGCAGCATTGCCTGTGAAAAAGCTGAGCCTTATCCAGACCACCAGTTCATGAGAACTGAATGCGTGGCCATTTTGTCGTCGTAGTCCATCAACTCAAGGGGTTGAGAACCAGTGGCGATGGCCATCTCTCCGTGTATTCAGCCGCCTGCCACTGGTGCTTCTATTGTGATGGGGCTGTTTCGTCATTTACAGACGTGAATTACCGGATGCATGCGACAGATTGAAAATGCCAGTTACAATCTTCGTCTGCGTAGGTGAGCTTGTATTTTTCAATCAATTAACGACATGGCCACTGCATAGAGACCACGAGCAAAACTAGACCTGCGAAGACACCCAAGAGGGACACGGGCATTCAGCATAAGCAGAATACCAGATGAGTGAGATGCAACAAATCGGATGCCCTGGATATCACGGCTAAGCCCTAGGCAAAATCCCGTCCTTAAACTGCAAACATGCAGATTAATGTAGACGGAGAACAAGCCACGCACACGCATACACGCACGCACACGCATACACGCACGCACACACGCACTCGGGCACACATGCACAGACAATAATGGAAAAACATTACAAACATCAACAACACTGGTGCAGCCAAGCCTCACCAGTAAGCCCGTTCAGGCCCACAACGTGAGCCTGGTCTGACATCTGCTCATGCGTTGGGGGCTGCTGAGGATTGTTGTCCGTGTGGCTGTTCCGAAATTAACGTTTCTGCTGAAATCAAACACAGCGGATGCAAACAGTGCTTTTGATTCTCAGAGTCACGTGCATTGAGAACAGCGGCTCGGTACAACTGCTAATGTACAAAGGACAGATTCAGCCAAAGCCGGAATCCTGCTGCTGTCCCACATCTGGGGTGGAGTACCCAATTCCTACTTCCCTGCACCTGATATAATTCAGAGTGAAGCATTTGGGGTGATTTCTGGTCCACGAACTCACGATTTTACTCCGATCACTCACTCACCGGTGGTCAGTCACCTTCTTTTCGCTCCTACCACTGTTGCTGTTCCCATGAACGTCATTGATTCCTCCACCCACATTGAGAACCTTGCTAAATTCAATAAACGTGTTAATTTATCTATTACGAAGTTGATAAGCGATGTTTGTTGCTGGTCATTAGGTATACGAATGGGTGTATACGTGTGTTACTACATGCTCGCATGAAAACGAGATGTCCCATCGCATGGGGTTTTCCCGATTAAATATTGAACACGGCTGTGCCGGCATGTCCAATGCCCAGCCACGTGCCCGCTGTGCTCCGCTGCGTGGACCGGGACACAGTCCCCCAGTGACAGAGATGCTACTCAATCTAAAACGGTGGAATCTGGATAAGGTTAGGTTTCCCATTGTGCCAAAAGTAAAAAAATATCAGGTCGAGAACTCATTACAAATAGTGACACCACTTCCAAAATCACCATAGTCGGTTTCCTCATCTGTTTATTATCACTTGATTTGAATTCCCTCTGTGTGGCGACCCCTAATCTCTAGATTAACTGGGCGAAACTATTTGGGATCAAAACCTTCCCATCCTTGTCCTGCTTTAAATGACTTTGTGAACTCAGATTTTCTTCCACGTGTATGTGCAATTGATCATTCTGTTTTGCAGACTTTAAGTTATGTTTTTTTGCATGTGATGTGTTTTTTCAGCCTTATTGTATGTTGTGCTTGCTATACCATGATGTTGCTGCACGATCTTGCGATTCAGTACTTCACCGTGCACTTGCTTTTGGATTGTTTCCCCCCCCCCCCCCCCCCATGTATTTTGCTGTACCCAGGTTTATGTAACCAGGTCCCCATCGAATATGACAATTTATTGCTCAATGGGTTTTACCTGTGCCAGAATACAAACCCTGAACCATTCATTACGGTCATACACTATTTGTGATCATCATTCACCGATATTCACTGGCACATGACTGCATTTACACATTAGTGGTACTAACAGCACTAAGATAGTGTTCAACTTAGTCCCAATAATGATTTAAATAACTCGGTTTTTATTCACTCAGCCCATCATTCCTCTGGGATCGTTAAAATTAGTACCACTTTGTAGAGAAGTCAGCAGTGTTCGTCCAATGTGGTAGACTCGCCCCTGTAATGGTAATGAAGAATTTTGCACCACTGGCTCCAGTCTGTAAACAGGCGATGATCAGGAAATCACTTTGACTCGACGATATCCAGCAAAGCCTCACGGACTTCTATGGAGAGTCCCGCCTGGGATGTTTCTCAAATTTGTCAGTGCGTACATTTGTGTGCAGGATGACACTTTAATGAGATAATCGTTTACAGAATATGACTGTGTCATGGGACCTCCCTTGCCAGTATTAAAATATAAGAATAGGGTTTACCCTTTCTGGCAATAAAACAGATGTAAATCACCAAACAGAAACCTTTGCAAAGAATCATGTCTGCATTAAGCACAATACTTGTGGTGAACATGCAATCAAAAGACACATGCTCCGGTAGTAATTATATGCATCGTCTTTGCATGTTTTTTATTTGTATGTTCACCACAAGTACACGTGGTTAATGCAGTTACATGGTTCCTTGCAAAAGGTTTCAGTTTGGTGTTTTAACATTTTAACACAAACTGCTTTAACATGTTAACACAACTGCTTTAACATGTTGACACAACTGCTTTAACATGGTAACACAACTGCTTTAACATCTTAACACAATATGCTTTAACATGTTGACACACCTGCTTTAAAATATTAACACAACTGCTTTAACATGTTAACACAACTGCTTTAACATCTTAACACAAATTGCTTTAACATGTTGACACAAACTGCTTTAACATGTTGACACACCTGCTTTAACATCTTAACACAACTGCTTTAACATGTTGACACAACTGCTTTAACATGTTGACACAACTGCTTTAACATGCTAACACAACTGTTTTAACATGTTGACACAACTGCTTTAACATGCTAACACAACTGTTTTAACATGTTGACACAACTGCTTTAACATGCTAACACAACTGTTTTAACATGTTGACACAACTGCTTTAACATGTTGATACAACTGCTTTAACATGCTAACACAACTGCTTTAACATGTTGACACAACTGTTTTAACACGTTGACACAACTGCTTTAACATGTTGACACAACTTTTTTAACATGTTGACACAACTGCTTTAACATGTTGACACAACTGTTTTAACATGTTGACACAACTGCTTTAACATGTTGACACAACTGCTTTAACATGTTGACACAACTGCTTTAACATGCTAACACAACTGTTTTAACATGTTGACACAACTGCTTTAACATGCTAACACAACTGTTTTAACATGTTGACACAACTGCTTTAACATGCTAACACAACTGTTTTAACATGTTGACACAACTGCTTTAACATGTTGATACAACTGCTTTAACATGCTAACACAACTGCTTTAACATGTTGACACAACTGTTTTAACACGTTGACACAACTGCTTTAACATGTTGACACAACTTTTTAACATGTTGACACAACTGCTTTAACATGTTGACACAACTGTTTTAACATGTTGACACAACTGCTTTAACATGTTGACACAACTGTTTTAACATGTTAACACAACTGCTTTAACATGTTGACACAACTGTTTTAACATGTTGACACAACTTCTTTAACATGTTGACACAACTGTTTTAACATCTTAACACAACTGTTTAACATGTTGACACAACTTCTTTAACATGTTGACACAACTGCTTTAACATCTCAACACAACTGCTTTAACATGTTAACACAACTGCTTTAACATGTTGACACAACTGCTTTAACATGTTAACACAACTGCTTTAACATCTTAACACAATATGCTTTAACATGTTGACACACCTGCTTTAAAATATTAACACAACTGCTTTAACATGTTAACACAACTGCTTTAACATGTTGACACAACTGCTTTAACATGTTGACACAACTGCTTTAACATGTTGACACAACTGCTTTAACATGCTAGCACAACTATTTTAACATGTTGACACAACTGCTTTAACATGTTGACACAACTGTTTCAACATGTCGACACAACTGCTTTAACATGTTAACACAACTGTTTTAACATGTTAACACAACTGTTTTAACATGTTGACACAACTATTTTAACATGCTGACACAACTGCTTTAACATGCTAACACAACTGTTTTAACATGTTAACACAACTGTTTTAACATGTTGACACAACTGTTTTAACATGTTGACACAACTGCTTTAACATCTCAACACAACTGCTTTAAAATCTTAACACAACTGTTTTATTGCCAGAAAGGGTCAAACATATTCTTATAGCATGTGACTTATAGCATGTGACTTATAGCATGTGACTTATATCATGTGACTTATAGCATGTGACTTATAGCATGTGACTTATAGCATGTGACTTATAGCATGTGACTTATAGCATGTGACTTATAGCATGTGACTTATAGCATGTGACTTATAGCATGTGACTGGCCCAACAATTGCCCATCGCCGCCTGGGCACCCCAAGGCCGGCCCGGGGCCCCTCCCTGCAGGGGCGCGGCGAGAGATGAGCTGGGCCCCACCGACTGTGAGGAGGCGGCGTGGGGCAACGGTGTGGCCAGGCTCGACACGCCAAGCCAGGCGCGTCGAGTGTTTTTCTTTTATGATTGGAGTAGGAATTCGAGGCTTAGACGTGGGATTAAAGCAGCAAAATATATATTTCCCACTACCCTTAGCCACTTTGAGGTTCAGTTTGGATTTCACACCGTGGTGTTACGGGATTCAACCGTTGTCATTGGATGTGATTCATGGAGCCCATCTTCCACTCACGTGATTATTATATAATTTTTTTCAGTCGATGATTGGCACAAAAGTAGAGGCAGCAAGTTGGGGGTGAGTAGTTTTACCCAATTTTATTTGATTCTGCTGTGGGCGTCTCTTGATGAATCGTCCATTCAGACTGCACGTGGCTTTTGCTCGTATTTAGCCTGAACCCAACTTGGAAGCCTTTGTCTTTACTCTTTGGTTCTATTGGGTAAAGTCACGTAGGTGAAAATAAATGTCTTTCTTCTCTACTCGCTGCCAGTAACATTTCTTGATGCTCATTGCCATTGGGAGTCACAGTGACGGTGTCATCCGCAAATCTGAGATGAATCACGTGCTCTCAATATTCATGCCTTTGTTTCTCCAATCCAATATTTTGGAAAACATTCTCATTCTATTGTGAACAACTGTGGCGCAGGTGTGTCACATTGTTAGCATATTGGTTCTTCATGTAATCTCAGTGTGGCTGCTCTGCGCGTTTATTTATTATTTATATGCTATATTTAGTCCTGGGTTTGTGAGAACCTGGATGACTGAATCAATGCTCTTTCATCGAGCACAATGGTAAATGACAGTCATTGGTTTATTCAAGAAAATATGTCAAGAGATTGACAAACGTCTCAATGACAGCAAAACGCACGACGCCAATGTCATGGGACACTTCAGTGCAAATATCAGCAAGAGGAACCGAGACGAGATCATGGTTTGTGCGTTTGGGATCGGAGAGAGGATTGAGAATGCATCCGAGACATGAAGATGCGAACACCGACAAGTCCAGAACGTGAAGGAGCCCAAATGGTGGGAATAGCAACGACGTGAGGTTTATTCTCACAAACAACCGCCATTCGCCACTAAGTGGCGGTGACGTCACAATGGCGCTTGTGCCAGGCTAGGTGCACTTTAAGGCCACGTAACGTATCGAACGCCCGCTAGCAGGAGGTCACGAGACAGAGCCAGGTGCTCGGGGTTGACTGAGATGACTGGCAGATGCACCGCCTGTGTCCCCTACTGTGCCAGGCGTCTCTGCCCTCAACTGACTCAATGGAGGCAGTGATTATATGGATCGGTTGCATACAAGTTGCACTTCCACAAATCGAGAGAGGGAGGCAACACTGATTGGAGGCGCAACCAAGATTGTGCACATAAAACATTGATGTCAATAGGTAGTTCGCTCTCAGCAACAATAAAATTGATGAAACTGGTGTCACCACTTTAATCTTTATTAAATACTAAAGTAGCGATTGACAGAGAATGAAGTTAGAAAGCAAGCGGAGAACAAATGGTATGAAACCGTAAAGAAAGCAGAAAGCGGAAAATTGTAGAGTTGTCGATGCAAAACTAGAGATGGAATGCACAGCACTCTGTAAAGCGATGGGAAAACGAATGAGAAAATAACTCTGAGAACACAACACAAAGCACCTTTGGCAAGGGTCGCATGGTGAGCAATGGAGGGAAAAAATCGATTATTGAAAAAGGTCGATGATTGCTAAGTCACAAATGTTCGCACACAGAAAATGACACCGTAACCCGCGATAAATATAAATTAGTAGAAGTACTTCGGCAATCAGAGCAACACTGAGGACGAGGAGGATGTTCAACTTGGAGAAGTCAACTCCGCCCTTTGCAGGATGACAAAGGTGAAAGCCTCTGAATCAGGTGGTACATCTGTCGACGTGCTCACAATCAGGGGCCATGTTCACAATCATGGAGAGCGAGCGGCTCAATCATTACGTTGCTCAGGGCTGAAACGAGAAATGAGAGCACCGCCTCAATGCTCATTTGAGCAGGATATCACTTATTCACCAGCGCAGGTGGCACTAATGTCTGCTCTGGTGCAAGGACTGTCACCCAGAGTGTTGACACCCACAAACACTCGATGGCCGTGTGGCGCACAATGCCGTGATCGTGATGATGACGCAGGTTATCAACTCACCACGCAGCTCCACGCAGACAAGAAGCGCCTCTCAACAGATGGGCCGGTGCCGAGTGGCGGATCCGGTCGCGACAGCCTTGTTACAAAAACCGCGTTCGGTTAATGCCTGATTAGGGCTGACAACGCCGAGCCTTAAGTGATGGCCAGAGGAGCGAGGGAGGAGGGAGCCTGGAGGGCGACTGTGAGCAGACCCCGAGGGTGACGATTAGCAGAGCATTAGCTACAGGTTCGGTGTGTGATTAGCAGCTGGGTATTTAGGGGGCAGTGGATGCTGTACTGTATTTAAGATAATCTGGCGGTGGATCAGCACAAACACAAAGAGCCGAGGCGTACGCAGAGCCTTGGTGCTGCCCGTGCGTTCCACTCTGCACAAAGCGCACAGCAGGACCTGGAGCGGCATGGTGCAGCAGGCCGTTGTCATTGTGCAGTTTCTGTGTCCGTCACCCACGAGTCTTTCGTGAATGAACTTGTCAGCATATAATTTGCATAGTTTATTAAATAAATACTAAAACGTGCGATTCAGTGTGTGGAGCACGGGGATTAGATATTGATATGCGTGTCGTTATAAGAACGCCTGAAATCCGATGCATGTATCACGTTTTGGAATTTATATTAAACGGCGGATTACGACATCGCTGCCACCACGTTTGTCTTCGCACTGCACCTCGACCTCTCAATGCGGGGGCCAAAGCGTAGCAGGACGCTCCAAGAACCTCGCTGGGCCACATATATCACCACCCATGGGTCTGAATTAATCTGTTAAAATATTAAGATCAGATGTCACATTCTTGTACTCTGAAACACATTCGCCTGATTGTACTGTTTACACGGGTCATTGTATATATGTTGATTTAACTTTTTTCGCACCGTACGTAGCCAACCGTGCTAATCAGAGGTGCGGGGGGAGGACAACACACTAAACACAACAATACATTCTAAAGAAGTTAGTTTTCAATCGAGATGATTTAAAAGTGCACAGCTCTTATGGGGTCCTAATGTTGGAAGAGCATTCCAAAAGTCCGCGGGAAGCGCATCCGAATGCGCGCGACGTAGTAACCGTCTTTGTATTGTGTAGCTTATATAGGATCATGCCCATCCTGTGAAGGATATATTCTCACTGCACCTGTGATTAGCACAGTTGGTTACGTACGGTAAGAAAGAAGCTCAACATATATACCCTGCGTATTGGAAGTAGCTGGAGCAGCCATGTGGAGCTGCTCCGGAGCCAGTCTTGAGATGGGTTGAGCTACCAGACTCACTGCAGAGCCACAGCAAAACGGCAACATTTTCCCCTTAAAAGTCTTACACACATATGTAGCAATACAAAACACACAAATAATCTCTAACATATTTTATTTATGGACGAGGCCCAGAGTCCTGTTCTAGCCCGGGTTCGAGGCAGCAGCACGCCGGTGGGTGAAACTGTGCAGATTTTTCTGCAGATTTATCTGGAGCGCCGAGGGTACAGCTCTAGAATTGCACACATCCCTCTCGTCGCTCCGCTGTGCTAGAATGCCATTCTTTATCTATGCATCTGGTTAAAACCATTGCAAAGCAGTATTACAATATCACCCTAAACTATCTGCGCAAAGAATAGGCCTCTGACCATTTGTCTTGTTCACACAGGTGGTCACTTACAAAGCAACATTACGGAATTGTCGAGCCGATAATTTTCATATTTAATCCGGCTCTATGTTGTTTACATAAAGTTATTTTTTTCAGGTTTAATGACACGATGCTTGATTTTTCAGGGTTTCTTAGCTAATTTAATGTTTCATTCCCATCCGAAAAGCTTCCCAAGAGCTGAGTGTTAAGTTAATAACGGCTTTGTGAGTTGGCAAGGCGGTTGGGAAGCGATCAGAGCTCGTGATGATGCACCGGAACCTTCAGCTTTACCTCCACGGGGTAGTGATCACTCACCTCCAGGGCCTGAGCACACAGCACCACCACAAAGTACACAACATGATAGTCTAGAGTTCGGGATCACAGTGGCGAGTTTTACATTACACAACAACAGCCGCATTCTCCACTAAGTATGCCTAAGGTGTAGTATACTTTGAGGCCATCACATGAAGTATCAACGATCGCTGGGAGGTCACGGGGCAGGCCCAGATGTTATGGGTTGAGTGCCTCAGGTGACTGGCAGGTGCATCACCTGCCCTCTCCCCACTGTGCCACCTTGCTGGGTTTTAGCTGCCCGGCGCTCTGATCATTGTTGTGTCATTCTTCTGCCTCTCATTATTGCTGAACAGTGGCTGCCTCCAGCTGCCCATGAGCAAATGTCACGAACCCCCTGCACAGAGGCCGATCTTTACACCTCTGGAACCAAATTTGGGTAAGTTCTTTCAGCTCCATGTCCCTCTATACCACATCAGCCTATCTCTTTTTTAGCCCATACCACACCTGTTTAGCCGTCTGATCATCCTAACCTTTCAAGCTGATGCGACACATGGGCTACATGGCCCAGCCAACACAGACTCACCTTTTGGAGAAATCCACTGATGGGACTTTATCGAAATCTATTCGTATCTGTAGGCTCCTCATGCAGGGAAACATGGATGAACCAGGATTTATGAGATGCGGATTGGCCTGAGGCAATAAACACACTGTTCATGTCAGAGAAGTCTTCTACCCTCTCAACAAGGACTCTATCACTGAGATAGAAATGGAGAGAGTGGAGTGTTTTATGGCAAAAATATTTGATGACCCACATTGATGTAGGATGTGGATAATGTCGTTATCGAAAGTTGCGACACAGCTAATCATTTGCCTGGTTGGTTCTCACCGTGATAGGGCCAAAGTAGTTGTATGTATGTATGTTGCACTTGTTTTGCACCGTGCTAATCTGAGATTTGGGGCATGTGGAATATCGGGGATCGGCTGTAAACTTATCGACATTGAAAATTACATTTAAAATGTCAGTAATTTTGTGGCACATGTGTAGTGGCCTTATTGACGTTGGAGACTGTTCTTTGGAGGCAACACGTATTTATTACAAACACTTCAATTACAGTGGCGAATCTGATACTTGAAGAGGTAACGGCCTCTTCACCCGTACTCTACAGAGGGAACGTTCCCCAAGCTCTAGCCCACGCCAGCTCCCTGGTTCCCTCTATCCTAGTCCTCAGGAGGCTATCTGACCTGGCCCAGCTTCGGCGCAGGTCCCGATCACCAGCCACACGAGCCCGGCCCTCAGAAGAACACAGGGCCTCGCGGCTCTGGTGTCACACCCTGGCTTGCTTTGCCTGGCCCTCAAAAGGACAGCGGGCCAAAGGAGTTCCAGGGTCTAGCTAATCGATCTTCTTTCTTTACTGGCTCTTCATCTTGCTTGAGTCGAACTGCCCCTCAGCTCTCCGGGTCCCACCTTTTATACAGTCCCTCTCTGAGGGGTGGGGCTGGGAGAGATCCACAGCATCCCCCACAGCCCCCCAGGGTGGTGGCCGTAGCGGACGTGTTTGTGGCCACCGCCCTACAACCGCGTGTCCCCCTCCCGTAACACCTCTACATATGTATACACACACGCATATTCACGTGGCATTTTTAAATAACGTTCTTGGAAAATAAATTATTCATCCTAATTTGCATTGTGCTATCAGCATCGTATCACACATTACAAACATCTCCACTCCGAACTCTCATGGCATCGCACAATGACTTTTAAGCTACTTCAATCGACCACTGTGCCCACACCAGAGGCCCACCTTTTATATACTGTAGTTTATGTCTTCTACAAAAGAGTTTGTAGCATATAAAATCTAAATTTGATTCTTAATATTAGTTTAGAAAAAATGTGTGCACTCAATGGTGACCATGGTGAGACCACCAACTCTCTACTCTTGAGAACCCAGTCCAATTGTGGACGGCTGCCCGAATGGAACCCGGGATCTCGGAGGTGTCGACTTGGCATTGACGCAGCGTTAAATTCCTTCATCCACCCAGCCGTCACTCAGCAGGTGGTCTCCGGAGACAGTACAGAGCCGTGGTACACGACATTGCTGGCGAGGGGAAGCCCCTTTGTGCTTTGCCCTTGCTTGCATGGGCAAGCGACCCGCATTGGATGCCAACCTTCTCATTGCTGAGTCCATACTTCTTCTGGAAGTTGAACGCCCTCGCAGATCCAGCAACCAGCGCACTGCGTAACTCCGTCCCGTGCACCACGATTCTGTCATTGAATACGCAAAACGAAAACAGCTACCCACCAAATTACCGATAGCGCACAAGTGTTGATTCCTCTGCACAAGCCTGAGTCTGTAGGCAGACAAATAGCGGGAGACACGGAGGTGAAGGTGAAGCCTCTGGACCAGGGGTGGGCAAATTTTTTGACTCGCGGGCCACAATGGGTTCTAAAATTTGACAGAGGGGCCGGGCCAGGAACAGATGGATGGAGTGTTTGTGTGAACTAATATAAATGACATGTAAAAATCATTACATGAAAGGATTTGGCCTTTAACAGGTAGCAAAGCATTTATTTGCAAGGCAAAGTGCGCCATCTAATGGGGAAATGGGGGTATTACAGGAGAAAGGTAAAATTTAATTGAATAATAATATTTGGACATTGTTCGACGGGCCGGATTAAAAAGCCCAACGGGCCGTATACGGCCCGGGGGCCGTACTTTGCCCATGTCTGCTCTGGACAGTGTCAGTTTGGTGTCTGCAGATGTAAGGCTCCATTTGTTATTCTGCCTCTTTGATCTGAATTTTTTTTATTTACAGTGGTCGTCAATTTGCTGTAAATGCTTTAAATTAATAACCGTGCCCTGAGTGTAACCCTGACGAGATCTCCACAATTAGCATTATCATGCACCGTTCCCTCACACAGGACTTCCTTCATAAGGCTTACATCTACATCTGTTTAGTCTCTCTCCCTTGTACCTCTGCCGTCTGTTCTGTATCCAACTCGCTCTTGTCTTGCTCCTGTCTCTCTTCTGTCTCCCTGTCTCATACGCTAAGCTGGGCAACTGAACAATGTTGAAATGTTATGAACTTTAAAATTATTAAAATGCCTAAGGCTCAAAATCTAAAACCTGCATTTGCAACTGCAACTAACCGATTTAATCCGTCCACTACTGATAGTGAACAACGGCAGTACACAATGACAGCTGATTGACGATGCCCAGCTGTGAAGGCCGATCTCAAATGTACACATTCCATGGCCACCGCTAGAACCTCTACTCCTCTTGGCCTGATGTTTTCAGCGATATCTTCCATCTGGACCGTATATGGGCTGTTCACATCTTTGTTTTTATAAGCAGTAACCACATTGTCTAAAACCAGTTTGCCGCACATACACATGTTTCGCGATAAAAATATTTTTTTTAGATTTTAACTGATAAATTAATGGAGCTGCCACAGTGTTCGGGAGAGCAGCGCACATGACTTGCAATCCAGAGGCCGCAAGTTTGACACCACAGCCCGGTGCGGCAGTTACATCTTTACATAACCGGGAAATGAGGACAAACGTACCACGCGGTGACTTGGACCGCCGTGCCGTTTGTACATTCGCGCGAGCCAATCGGTGCATTCATTCCTGACATTCCACAGGAATCGGTTAACGGTTCTTGACTTTCCGAACCGGTAATAAATAATGAGACAGTTGACGCTGTCGTATAACAACCCTAATACGAGTGCATTCTCTAATTTGTTTCTGGTCTCCCTTGCAAAAACATTTGTTGTTGTTTTAATGGGTTCTCAAGTTGCAATAAAATAAATGTTAGATTATTAACGTTTCTGAACGATCATATATCTGATCATTATGGGTGCACCCATACAGAACATAGCAGGCGTCAACCTGCCACGTGCTGTCTCTGTGACAGATGGAAATCGTGTTGGTCCATCCGTGGAAGGGCTCTAAAACATCGCGAATCAAATAAAATCGTGCCGTCTGTTGCTGGCCGCTTGACGACTTGGGCCTGTGCTCAGCCCCTGTGTTTCACAAAAACAAAGCCTCCTCCTCCTCCCCCCGCTCTGTTTGCTGGAGGAGGTCCGCGGTCCGTGCCGCCGTGGGTCGAGGCGCCGCGCGTACCGGTCGTAGGCGCAATCCGTGTTCTTGTTCACAGTGGTGTCCACATCGTCCCCGATCGCCCAGTGAAACGACGGGTCCCGAATGCGCACGTGGGACCAGTTGGTGGCCGAGACGTAGCCGCAGGCGGCGTTGAAGTCTCCCAGCAGCATCACGTTCTGCGGGCCAGTAATCGCGCCATGGCAGCGGCACCGTCACAAGGGCAATGACAATGCACCGTGTAGCCATCTGCCATCCACTACTGGATGAGGGCCTCCTCATGCCGTGATAATCGCGGGGATTATTTGACCATACTTCGTCACGCTGGTCAGTGCTGGTTGATAAAGGCTGGGAGCATAGACGTGGGAGCAAAGAAGTATAGTACAGCCCACCGTGTGGCCTAAGCCAAACCAACACGCTTGGTGGCTTCCCATCCAGCCAATGTCGGTGAATATCGCTCCTCATATTGTCTCAGTGGCATGGTGTCGTCTGTGTAATGGTTGAGTAGGAGAGTGAGTGTGACCGCATGTTGAGTATCCTCTGTGTAGGTGAGTTGAGAGTGGGCCGACAGGGTGTGCGTGTCCTGTGTAAGGGATGTGTGTTGGTGTGACCGACTGTCGATCCGCGTGTGTGTTAGACGTTACCTGGTTTCCCCAGAGCCGCACAACTTCCTCAAACACGGTATGCAGCTTCTGCAGTTCCGACACGGCGCTCTTTGGCGAGGTGTGCTGGCCCACCAGGATCAGATCCTGCACCGCTGACACAACAAGCAGGGCGCTCACGAGCAGCACGGAGAGCACGGGCACGGACCAGCCGGAATGCGTTCACCGCTTGGCTGCAGAGGCTTGCGGTACATATCCGGAAGGTTGCCCTGGTTAACTGCGTGGTTGTATTAACCATACATACGTGACATCTGCTTCACAGTGAAAGATACAGATCCCGTGACGCCATTTGAATACAAGTAGGATACCGCAGCTCCGATCAGCACGGTTGGCAACGTATGATGCGAATGAAGTTCAAAATACATACAATTCACGGTACACATATATATCGGTGTGTTGGTGTCACTGTACACATTTGACAAATTACTAGCAAATTACTTAATTGGTAAACACCTAGCAATCATCGCCTCCTACTGCAAATTGCAGGACTTACACGAAAATAGAGTCCACTCAGTGAGGCTTTCCTGTGTGAAGACGCGTAATTATATGATTTACATGCAGCCATACACACGTGGGGGCTTGTCATTTGCAGGTCAGGTGCAGGTCAGGTCGCGCTGCGCTGCAACACTGCATTGCAGACGCGTGTGCTGAAGGTGACCCCGTGTGCCCTGATAACCCCGCGGGGTCATTACCTGTCTTGGGTGAGTGGAAACGCACCGAGAAGGGCTCGCGGAGAAACACGCAGGGCCCCTGCGCGTCGTTCTCCTTGTACTGGTGGGAGTCACGCAGCTTCACCAGGTTGCTCCTGGACAACGAGAGAGCACACGAGGGCTGCGTGAGGTTCTCGTGAACTGCGTCGTCGTCATCGTCTATCCACGGCTCCCCCACGCCGTCTCCATACATCACAATCCGACTCGCTCCTACTACGTGTCAACGCCACGAAGCTTGACAACTTATTGACCAGCGTGCACTCATGTTCCATTGCATTTTGTCAGTGGCCCTTCTTCCGTATAGCACGCACTGATTATGATTGCTTCTTGTACATGTGGAGTTGTTTTGTTGAGTGTACGTCATGTGTTTTTGACAGATAAGCTTGGGGCACATTACACAACAACGGCTAAGTGTCGTAGTTGTGGGGCGAGTGCGGTTCCATTGATGCCAAACGAACGAGTGGCTGAGTCAGCACAGCGTGACGCTGGCAATTGTGGCTTAACCCTGTAGAGGTCAATGGAACGTAAACATGTGGGAGAGCGCCGCATGACTCGAGAGAAGCCGCACTTGGGTCACGGCACTGCACCCTGCCACGGAGTACACTTCGGGTCCGTTAGTTATCTCATAAAGGGGAGCAAATCAGTGATAGTTTTGCAAATTGAAACTAAACCGATTTAGGTGAGTTCATAACTGGATTACGCTGACATATCCTTGTGTGAGCATTATATAAAGAAAGAACAGATGTCGGCTATATCTGGTTTTAAATCCGTCACACGCTCGGTCTTGCCGTCACTCACCGGTAAACGAACGCGTACTGCTCCCTGTACGAGCCCCGTCCCAGGCGCTTGCTCGCCACGTAGGAGTAGGGATGCCCCCTGTGCTGGCTGCAATCAGATTCGTACATTGAGGGCACCCGCAGTGGACACAGTGTCTGTCCACCCATCTCACGAGCACCGGACTGTGGCCGTGCGGTGGACACGCCGCTCGCCGTTGTACGAACCTCGGCGGTGCCGAGACCAGCAAGGATGTATATGGGGGCAGTGGCGTGTGAGGAAGATACCACTACGAGCTCATGGGTCTCACTATGAATGTAACAATCAACATAGCTCAAACTGTGAAGTATTCACACGACTTATGCCCTCCCAACACCGCGCAGTAACTCTACTCACACCATGTCAGCCATTTCCCTTGTCCCCCCCCACTCCCCAAAGTGAGGTCTTACACTCACCCCCCAACATCAATCGTCCTGAGCAGGTTTCGAACTTGTAAAATTTGAACCATGACGCAGGCACACAATTGCCTACTCGTTTGCAATGCCGTCGGACAATCATTAACCACCATTGTGAAGCAGACTGTGTATGTTCTGGTTTGTACAACCGAAGTATGAACTGGGGCGGCCTGCCAGATTCGAACCGCGAACCTCTGCAACAAGCGGCGACCGCTGGACCTTGTCACGGCCCCAGAGTGCGTTGTGTAACAAACACAAATACTCGAGAGAACAGAGAGACATCACTTGTTGAGTTGCTCCATAAGGCGAGGGAGTGTACAGTTCTTGCAGTCCCGGATCTCCATCACGAGTGTGACGTCACACCGAGATATGATCTATCACAGACATGGAGAGAGGGGAATGGGCTCCACGTTTGCTCATCCATTTCTCAACAACATCTTCAGGGCTACATGAGCACTGGGGCAGTGCCTATCTCTCCTGGTGGCCCTGAGCAAGTGGTGGAAATTTCACGTTTCCATCGCATATCGCGTCTCTTGACTGCGGCTCCCAATCGCCACAACACAGAGTGGAGGCGCTGGAGCAAGATAATGAGTCCTTGCAATAATGAGGCCTATTTATGATCATCATGTAAAGTAGATGTGTCATGCCCAAATATATGTTATCCTGAGCGTTCCCTTGCCCATGTAAGGAGTTGTAAAAACAAATCGATGTAAATAATTGCGATTCCAGTTCCATGCTTGACCCATGCCAGATCCCATACTCAAACCCACGCTAAATCACATAATCGCGAACCCATGCTCGAGCCCATAATAGCTCGATTGCACGGACTTTTACTGGTAGGAACGAAGTTGTAAACTGAGTGTACCAGCCTGCAATAGATTAATGTGTCCGTCCCCTTTCAATACTTTAACAAAGTGAAATCTCGTGCTGTTGGGTGTAAAATCAGCAATAGACAGCGCAGAGACTTGTCCTACCAGCCCACCCTGCAGGGACCTGTTTTTGTCACGCCTCAGCGCACACTAGGGCTGGGGGCACTGCACATTGCAAACGATTCCTGCCTCTGCTCCCAGTGCATCATGCCACCGAGTTTTACTCAAATGTTACGCGACAAGTCAGTTTAGCATATGCACTCATTTTTATCCTCATCTACCGTGTTACAATACCTTTTTTTAATATGAAAGTTTTTGCTGCTCAAACGAGCATTGAGGGATTGGAGCTCATCTCCTATTTAAAGCCCTGAACCCAGTAGTAGAAATTCCACAAAGCAGTCTATATTTTATCGACCACAGAGGAACAATAAGCCTAGGAGTTGAGTATTTTAACCATTATGCAACTCCTGGGTCTGACCTTTACGATGATCTCCATCACGTGGGGCTTGGATGCCTTGGCTTGGCCAAACGTCTGAATGTTGAAGGAGCAGATCTTGAGGTCCGATGATGCCCCACCACACACGAGGGACAGCAGCAGCGACAGCCACAGAGCACCGGCATGGCCCCGCGTGGTCCTACCCTCACACATCTCGGGGACACACGCGGGCCCTGCGCTCCCGAGTCCCACCTCCACACGAGTCCCACAGCAGCAACAGCAGCTGCCACACAGACTGCCCCCGTGCTGGGTTATTGGGAAACACTTCCCATTCCATGCGCGTACAGTGTCCGTGTGGCCATTCGGCCACTTATCTTCAGGAAGCGTGTGGCTTCCTCATGTGAGTGGGGCAGCACTCGGGCAGATGGCACGAGTGGGTTCTGCGACACTTGCGGTATGGACTATATCATTTGAGACTGTCTAGAGTAATTATTACATACATTTACATACAAATTCACTTTGTAACAAACATTCAGGTCCATTGATATTCCTGACTTGTTATATCATCATTTATATATATATAATTTCACATTATTTTCATGTTATATTAAAAAAATGAAAACGCTTGTTTTGGGGCTGTGTTTCTGTGTCCCTGCATTGTAGACATTGCTCATGATGCATGGCAACCCCATTTAAGAGACATTTGTTGCCGGTTTCAAGGACAATGGACACTGGAGACATTGGAGAGGCCACACTCCTTGCTGGGAGTACAGACACAGCATCGTGGTGTCTCGTGAGCCAGTGAACTGAGAAACTGGAGGTCACCAGATTATGTAGACACCCTTTAGCATCAAATCTCACTCTGATTTATAGATGCATACGGTAGTTCACGTGCAAGGATATTTTTAGAAATACTGACATTTTTCACGCATCGCCGCAAATGCCCACGGTGGTGGCAACCCACGGCACCCACAGGGCGATGTCATGACTTTAGAAAGCACGGTTGGCTACTACGGTGCGAAAGAAGTTCAAAATGCATTCACGCATTGCTTCCAGAAACAGCGCACTGGTCCTTGAAACATTTCCTCGGAAGCCTGTACCAGCTGCCAAGGAGTGAAGAAGCAGTGTCCATGTCTCCATTCTAATATATCCAGCCAAACGTCCACCCAGTTTTCTAAAGATGGCCTTCCTCATATGTCTTAAACCGGTTCTTTACTCAACTTGCCTCGACCCACTTGCCCTGCCCTGCCAATCTCTGTACGACCCAGCGGAGAGGCCGTAGGGAAGAAATTGATTTGCATTCCTTTCCATATACTGTGCACTTTGATGTGTTTTGTATTGTTTGTTGCAACTTTCTGACCCGTCCCGACTGGACAATCTGTGAGAAAGAGCTCCATAGCTCATCGGATTTCTCCAGGATAAATAAAACCCTCTGTTGCCAACAAGTCTTGCCTCTAAGTTGACACGCAGATGCTCTTACCCACCCTTCTTACCTCGACTTGCGTTGTTGTTGGACTCTCGGTGTGTCTCGTGTGGGTCCCAGTGCTCAGTGTGGGATCCCAGTGTCTCACTCTGGACTACTGGGTGCACCCTGCTCATGCTTACGCGCTCGCTGCAATTTTCCTCATTAACACAGCCCCTGGGCGTAGTCAAACATTATCCTCATGGTAATTAACACCCAATTACAGTACTTGCATATGACAAGAAGAACTGAGAATGGTATGAAATAGCATAAAAACAAAGCGTTTGATTGTCTTGTTTTATTGTGAACCACGTAGCAACAGGCGGACGGTAAGTCACATAATGTATATTGCAATAGGGAGACCATGTATTTAATCGTGCAAGAGGCTGTGGGAACTTTACGGGTAACACATGGATTCAGATTTGTAAGAAAAACGAATGCTTCCGGGCAGCGAGGTGCCCGCTCGGCGGTGATGGAGACAGTGACAGCACAGGGTAGCCTCACGTGGTGGCTGCAGGTGTGGGAGGTCTCGCTGGGAAACCCTGGAATCAGGTGCTATACACGATGGCTATGTTTAAAGCACAAGTGTTCACTCAGTTAAAATTAAAAATTTTCACAACCGTTAGTTATTTGAGTGAGTGGAGCGTGTGTCGTGTACGGGTAATATGCGGATGAGTGATGTGTTGAATATAAAGGCTGATTTTATGCAAACACGACTTCAATGCCAGTATCATGCACGAGACGCAATACTAATGTCACCAACATGACTGTGTCTGCCCCCTCCATACCTCCACGACTGTCACTCCCTACCCCTATCGGTGTTCCTTGTGTCGATTCTCGCTCCCTACAGCTCCTCCGGCGCCAATCTAGCTACCTCCAAATCAATATTTTCTGATCACCGCCCCAGTCTCCAGTAAATATTAATCTTCTTATATCTGCCCAGTGTCCAATTCTTTTTCCATGCTCGATGCTCAGCTTCGATGGGGAATTGGCATCCTGTGTCTCTGAAACCCTGGCACACCCCGTCTGACCTAAGCACACTACGGTACTCTACTGGGATGAGCCATCCGCTAGGTACGTGACGAAGTCGCTCACTGCTCTGCCAATGATTGCAGGCCTCCCATCATTTCCTAAACCGATTTGAAAATTGCTTCTCGAAAAAAGATGCTCTTGTGCATTCCCACTCTTAATTCACGCCTCTAAGCCTTAAACTCCCAGTTATTTACCAACCTCTTAAAGTCAATCCCTTTTGGAATAACATCCTCCTTCCAGAGTGGGGTTTACAACGTCACCGTCCTGCCAAGCTTCTCCTCCACCACCCCTCACACATTTTACACATCCCGTCATCCACACAGCCTTCTGGGAGTCCATACTTTAATTCATGGCCCCTGCCTCTCCATTACAAACTTGACCTTGTTTCAAACATCTGCAATGCACTCCTTAAAAACGTCATCCTCGGTTTACACAGTCATCAAATCCTCATCTTATTCTTCCTCTGAAGCCCACATCGGTAAAGGTCGCATTATCACACGCTCGATTGGACATAAAACCCCACCACTAGTGGGTATGTAATTAATATGTAATTAATATAAAATGTAATTAAAGCACACAAATGTGATAACATACCTGGTTCAATACTGACAGTAACGAGCCCCTGGCACAGTGAAACCTGTGCTACAAACAGCACCGTAGTTCTGAGTGCGCAATGCGTGCAGATTTGGCCATTTGACACATGGCACAAAGGCCGTGGTAACCCGGGCTGACTGCTGACACAACAACAACACCGCTGCATCGCCGTGTTTTTCGTTCTGATGAACCAGCACGGTTAAGCCCAATTTGCTGCCTTAACACAACCACGGCCCCATAACAGAACAGAGCCGTACATGTGCCGGCTCAGAGTAACTCCGTGCAAATAAGTGCTGTGCGGTGCTTATCTCTGTTCGCAATGTACATTCTACCTTCTTATGGTGAGAGCCTGTCGTTACTAACCATAGAGCAGACGCTGTTGATTTCCTACAAAGTTATTCTCTTTTATTTAGCTCAGAGGAATGATGGTAGTGGAGCTACGTCAATAACTATAATGTATTTGTTCAGTATAAATTGTTAATTTACTTAATACTGTGCTGTATATTATATCAGCACCAACTCAAATCAATGTATTTTTTGTTTAAATATGTGGTGCCTCTGACACAAATCTGGGCCATTACATTAAAACTCAACAAAACTAGAGAGATTTTAAACAATGAGAAATATATATCGTTCCAAACATGTTTCATTGATCATCATGAAGCAATTTTCATACACTGCTGGATGAAGACCACATAAATCCACGGCCATCTCTCACGACCCTTCGATGTTACAATCCGCCTCGCGCGTGCACATGAGAGCTCCACCTTTACGGTTCCTGTCCGCGTATGCGCGTCCTGTCCACTGGCTGCCACGCCATGTCAGAATCAGAATCTTTATTTGTCCTGGAGGAATCCGATGAGCGATCAAACTCTTTTTCACAGATGTCCAGTAGGGGCGGGTCAGCAAGTTACAACGAACAATACAAACGATAGGAGCGCAAAATAGAGAAAAGATAAGCAAGTCACTATAAATAGATTTAAAAAAAAACATAACGCATACAAGTACAAATTGCATGAGTACATACATTCTTGCTGATTTTTCAACACTGAATGCAAGCTTGGGCAAGGCACCAAAACAACAAAACAGCCACAAACCACATCAAGACAACACAGTCCCTCAATAAAATTGCAAATTCAAATTTAACTGTAAATACACGGGTAAGGATCAAAGTTACAACCACATTACATTGCTAATGTGGTTGTATCCAGAACTAATCTGCTTACGTTTTTTTAAGGAAGATGAATGATTCTGATTTAAAGTTTTCGTGACTGCAGGGATTCATATTCTTGGTTCTTTCGGTAAAGTCACGTAGAAGGGAAACAATAAAATTATAAAAATAAAAATATTTTTTTTATATTTGTATTATTTTGTTTCCCTTCTACGTGACTTTACCGAAAGAACCACGAATAAGATGAATGATGTTAAGGAAGGAAACAAGGTTGTTGTTCGAAAACGTTAGTGCCATAATGGCAAAGGCGTTGTCGGATAATTTGGGGGGGGGCACGTGCCACCCCCCCCCCCCCCACTGGCTCCGCCAGTGTTTAGGAGCAATTTTAGTGTTGACAATTGATATTGAATTCAGTTGAAATCATTTTGGAGATTCTGTTTGACTTCGTTTGGAAATTTATTCGATACGAGCACGACAGCATAATCAGCAAAGAGATTAAATTCTGAGCGATTTAAGTTTAGTCCAAGATTGTTAAAATGAACAGAATTGGACCCAGCAAAGAGCTTTGTGGAATATCCTTTGTTATTTCAATGTGTGGACGAGATGTTATCACTGTGAATTTCTAGAGCGGTCTGAAAGATAACTCTTAAATCAGTTTATTGTATTGTCAGAACATTTTAGTTGAGCAAGTCTTTTGAGTAGAATATCATGGTCAACAGTATCAAAGGCATTTGACAAGTCGAGGAATAGTGCATAGCAGTAGCCTTCATCCAGATTACTGAAGATAAATAAATATGTGATATATTCTACGGAGGGCTAGAAATCTTAAATTTGGCACACGTCTTTGGGAGTCTGTGCCGAACGCCGTAAGGAAGTTCAGGATTGTGTCAATCAACTGCTTGGGGGCCATATTCTTGGTTCTTTCAGAAAAGTTACGTAGAAGGGAAACAATAAAATAATAAAAATCTAAAACAATACAAATCTCGTTTCGACTGCAACACAAGCAATCATCATCAGGTGTGCAAACCACAGCAAGAAAATTAAAAAAGTGG